GCTCAAAAGATGTGTGGCTTATCAAATATGATACTCCGACAATTCAAATCTAGCCTTGAAAGCATTAGGAGGATTGGTGGCTGTTCAAAGGGATTAAAACCTTTCAGATTTCAAGGGCAAGAACCATTCAGGAAGTACTAGGAAAGCCTATTGTTTTTGCCTCTGAAAATAATCCGAAAGATGCTATGGATGAAAACAGAGATGTTGATAACTGCAAATAAGCTTATTGCCAAAAACTGGAACTCATGGAAAATTCCAACCATGAGGGAGAGGTTGCAGAAGGCTTAGCTTGCTAGGATCTTGCGTAAAATTACTGCTATAATCCATGCTCGTGAAAGCAATTCAAGGGCAAGGCAAGTATTTGTTTGTGACTGGGAATTGTTCATCTGTTTCTTTGGAACAATGCATTTACTCAACATAATGTCAAGGAACACATGCTGGCGATGTCATAGACTAGTGATTTGCAATTAACTTAATTGAAACTCCCTTTCTTTTCTGCTCTCGGAGACTTTTTCTTTTTGGCATTTGTGTGCAATTTGTAATAATATTATTAATATTTGTTTAAAATGTTACCCATTCTGTGGGCGTGGGAGGAAGGGAATCACATCATCTAGTTTGTAGCATCTCGGGCCAGCCACACAAGAACAATTTGTACCAAAGTATTTCAGGGAAATCCTTTGTCAATCAAAGTGTGTTACAGCTGGCCTACCAAGCATGGTAGGTAGCTTCATACAAGCAAGCGGCTTTGGCCCAAACTAGATGTGCAAGGCAACACCTATGTGTTAAAAGTTTATCCTGTTCACATATAAAGTGGGGAATGGAGAAGTCTGCTTTTTAAACAAAACAGAAGCTTGTTAAGGATTTTTCTCACTGCCAGTATTAGTATTATCGTTATCATTATCAAAAGCATCTGCAAAGCTGCACACACATCAAGAGATAAGACAACGTCTGCCATTGGACTCAGAATCAAATAGGCATGATACAAAAGGAAAAGGGAATGAGGAGGGAAGAGGAAAACACGAATTGAAGCAGTTCTCTTCAATGGATAGCGCCAGGCTGGCCTCTCTCCCCATGCCATGATGTTCACTGTCAGAGGCAAGGAGGTGTAGCCTCCCAGTGACTCTTCCTCTCTTGGCTGCTGACGGAGGACAGAGGGTGCCTTTTTCTGGTTTTGAAGTAATAGAACTGGGCCAGGGGGAAAATGCTTAAAGTTATAAGGGGGGAGGTGAGGCATGGGGAGAGGGTTGGGTATTGCTTTCCTCCCCATGCATACCATTTTGTGTAAAAGTGCAACACCACCAACCTGCTTTATACATGAATAGGGCAAAAACATTGTCCCACGTGTTTAGATTTGACTTTTGGGCAAATCTAGAACACTAGCTCTTCACGGACTTCCTAAATCAGGCATAGGCAAACTCGGCCCTCCAGATGTTTTGGGACTACAACTCCCATCATCCCTGACCACTGGTCCTGTTAGCTAAGGATGATGGGAGTTGTAGTCCCAAAACATCTGGAGGGCCGAGTTTGCCTATGCCTGTCCTAAATGAAGGTTTAGAGACTTAAAAACATACTTTATACCAGGCTTCGCCAACCTGATGCCCTCTGGGCTACATTGGCTCCCAGTACGTTTCCAAGCACAATTCAAAGTGTTGGTGCTGACCTTTAAAGCCCTAAACAGCCTCGGCCCAGTATACCTGAAGGAGCGTCTCCACCCCCATCGTTCTGCCGGACACTGAGGTCCAGCGCCGAGGGCCTTCTGGCGGTTCCCTCATTGCGAGAAGCCAAGTTACAGGGAACCAGGCAGAGGGCCTTCTCGGCAGTGGCACTCGCCCTGTGGAACATCCTCCCACCAGATGTCAAAGAGAAAAACAACTACCAGACTTTTAGAAGACATCTGAAGGCAGCCCTTTTTAGGGAAGCTTTTAATGTTTAATAGACTATTGTATTTTAATATTTTGTTGAAAGCCGCCCAGAGTGGCTGGGGAAACCCAGCCAGATGGGCGGGGTATAAATAATAAATTATTATTCTTAATTCTGGGCTACAATTCCCATTAGCCAGATGGGCAAAAGGTGCCGTATACAGAGTCAAATATCTTCCCTCCCTGTGGTCCAGTTAATGTCTTCACTGTTTGTAAGCAACTCTGAAGTATCTCAGGCAGAAGTTTTGGCACAACATTTAGTACCCGAGATCCTTTTTAAAATAATAAATAAATCAATCTGAAGATGTGAAGCATTGAACTCAGAACCTTCAGCATGCAAAGTGTGCTCTGTGCCACTCAGCTATAGTGGGCTTTTTGAAAAAGCTTTATTCTTGATTACATTTTAAAGCAGGGATGGGGTCCCCGTACCTTCCAGGTGTTGCTTCCAGGTCCCTACTTCCATCAGTTGGGAGTATGGCCAGTGGCCACAAATGATGGGAGCTTTAGTTCATCAACATCTGGAGGGCTGCAGGTTCCCCATCCCTCATGCGGCCGAATGACATGACAGAGCTTTACCTGATAGTGATGTTTACCCAGTAGTGATGTTTTCCCAGTAGCGATGTATGGAAGTGAGAGCTGGACCATAAAGAAGGCTGATCGCCGAAGAATTGATGCTTTTGAATTCTGGTGCTGGAGGAGACTCTTGAGAGTCCCATGGACTGCAAGAAGATCAGACTTATCCATTCTTAAGGAAATCAGCCCTGAGTGCTCACTGGAAGGACAGATCCTGAAGCTGAGGCTCCAATATTTTGGCCACCTCATGAGAAGAGAAGACTCCCTGGAAAAGACCCTGATGTTGGGCACAAGGAGAAGTGGACGACAGAGGACGAGATGGTTGGATAGTGTTCTCGAAGCTACCAGCATGAGTTTGACTAAACTGCGGGAGGCAGTGGAAGACAGAAGTGCCTGGCGTGCTCTGGTCCACGGGGTCACGAAGAGTCGGACACAACTAAACGACTAAACAACAACAACATGACTGCCAAACAGAGTATCTGGAATATAGTGACCCGGAGACTGCAGTACTTTGGCCACCTCATGAGAAGAGAAGACTCCCTGGAAAAGACCCTGATGTTGGGAAAGATGGAGGGCACAAGGAGTCAGAGGACGAGATGGTTGGACAGTGTTCTCGAAGCTACTAACATGAGTTTGACTAAACTGCAGGAGGCAGTGGAAGACAGAAGTGCCTGGCGTGCTCTGGTCCATGGGGTCACGAAGAGTCGGACACGACTAAATGACTAAACAACAACAACATACAGTATTCCTATCTTACCTTTTGCATTTAAGCTGGCAATTTCATTCACAACTGCTTATCTCAGAACTCTTGCAGCAGTTTCTTTTTTTTCCACAGCGCAGTTTATACCCTATCAAAAAAAGAAAAGAGAAAGAAATCCAGAAAACAAATTATACAAGGAACAATGGTAGGGTGGAGACGAAGAACTCTGGCTAATGTTTCTAATGATTCACTGTGTCCTTTCTTTAAACTTCAGTGAACTCATTCAAATATGCAACTCCAGTAAATGAACAGATTTGTTTATGGTTGTAGGTTTCCTTCCATGATGGAGTTGGTGGCACTAATTTCCTATTGAAAAATAGCCTATTAATTTTTACTGGGTAGCTAATTAGCTGCAGAGTCTAAAGAGGTAGGGCCACCAGTTGTCGGAGGTTGACTTGCCAGGTCGTTTGGGGCAAACCAGGAACACCTTTCCATCATAACGACATTAGGCACGGAAACGTTCAAGCAGTAGTCACAAAGGGAGACCCAGGAGCACACTCTGAACACGCTCCCGATTCTTCCTTTGCAGTTGCAGTTTGAACTCAACGCCTTTTGATTTTGGCACCTTCTTCAGTCCCCTTGCATGCGGTCAGAAAAAGAAGCCAAATTTTAAAAAGCATTGAGTTCAAGCTGCAACCGCAAAAGAAGAATCAAGATTATTCTTGCATCTTGAAATCAAGCCAGGATTGCACAGGAAAAAACTGAACAGCAGCTGCCCATGGTGGAATTGAAACCAAACGTGAATGGGTTGGATTTGCAGTGGTGTCCTGGCCCACCCCAGCTAAGGAAGTCTGATAGTTAAGTCTTTATTGATGAAGAAGCACTTACAGTGGTACTTCGGGTTAAGAACTTAATTAGTTCTGGAGGTCCGTTCTTAACCTGAAACTGTTCTTAACCTGAAGCACCACTTTAGCTAAGCACCCGCTGCTGCTGCGCTGCCACTGCACAATTTCTGTTCTCATCCTGAAGCAAAGTTCTTAACCCAAGGTAATATTTCTGGGTTAGCGGAGTCTGTAACCTGAAGTGTCTGTAACCTGAAGCGTCTGTAATCCGAGGTACCACTGTACTTCAACTCTGAATGTGCTCTGAGTGCGCATGCACACACATGTTTCTAGCCACTGGGCACTGTCCCCCATGGATCTGTGCCTTACAGAGCAGTTGTAGCGACAGCAAAGCCCCCCCCCCGGCTTATATACACTCCCCTGATGGGTTGCGCTTCCACATCCTTTGAACCACATCAGCAAGGCTGAGGAGGGGGGGACAGTGCCCAGTGGCTAGAAACATCCATGTGCATGTGCATTCAGAGCACGTTCAGAGTTGATGTACAGTGGTACCTCGGGTCTTGTCATCTGAGTAACCCAGGACCTCCATACATGCTGCCCTGGCTTGCAGGAAAACAATGCAAGAGGCAGCAGTTGCAAGTTACCACTCTCTGCAACCACAGCAGGCACTGTGATTCCTCAGCGATTTAACTTCAAACTCCGCTGTCTCTCGAGACGGACGGATGCCAGCAACAACTCTGCTTCACTCCTACTTTTGCCTTTGGGGAATGCTGTATTAAAATGTGTTTGGGTTGAAATGCTCTAGGGTGGGAGACACTGACAAAGGCAAATCATTCGACAAACTAAGAATAATTCCAACCTCGCTTTTCTCTTGTATGCAGGTGCCCCTGGTTAACAAGAGCCGTCTCTCCAGCCATCCCTCTATACAATGGGCTCGTGTTCCTGTTTGTACTCGCAAACTTCAGCATGGCAACCTTCATGGACCCTGGGGTTTTTCCACGAGGTAAACCTGGACAGGATGAGGGTGGGTGGCTCGGGGAAAATATGGGCAGGAAGGAATGAAGGCAAACAGACAGATAACAACATCAACAACAACAACATAATACATTTATTGTCAATGTACAACCTTTGTACAATGAAATTAACTGAGCCTCCCGCCCCCCAAACACTCAGTCTCATTGCACTCTGTGTGCTTGTCGCACAACACACCAATCCTGAAAGTCAGTTGCACTATATTATTTTCCGTTCAGCAGCCTAACAGCCCACGGATAGAAACTGTTTTTTAGCCTACAAAATGGCACAACCAGCTTTTATTCCCCCCCCCCACTATTAATACCCCTAATAGGAAAATTAGTTACCTGATTATGCAGCCTTAATCTGCAGTTTCGAGAACTCCTGTTCAGAGTTCCTAGCCAGCCAGCTGTGCCCTGTTCCATCCTCCCCACCATCACCAGTCTTGTCCTGTCCCCCCCCCCGCAACAGATACTCTGTGTTCTGTTGCTATCGAGCATGCTCAGTCCTCATCAGACTGGTGGGGGGGGTGTTTCCTTCCACTTAGGTTTCCCCCTACCCAGATTGTTGGACTTCTGTAACCCTTTGGGGTTCCTCTGAACATGTTGATACCTCCCTCCTGGATGGTGCAATTTTGGCTGAGTCGTGTTCTATAAACAGAGAGTGAGTTTACTATTGGTAAATATCAAGGATGGGCAGATGGGAGTTGTAATTCAGTAACATCTAGAAGTGCACAGATTCCCCATCTCTGGTATATTGGAGTTGTTGTTGTTGTTGTTATTTAGATGTGTTAGTCACCCGTATCCCAAATAGGATCGTTCATTGTTTATTTGCAACGGATTGCTGTTGTGAACAGCGACAAATGCTCTTGTCAGGTGTGTGTGTTCGTGTGTGTGTCTGGCTTCAACTCATGCAACATGCCAGCTTTTATCACGTTTGATGGGAGATGTGCTGGTAAACACTATGCAGATTCTTGTCTGGATAGCTTAGCCTCTTTCTTTTGAAGTGTCTGTCCTTTTAAGTCATGAAACTAGCGGCTTGTTCCTGCCTTCTCAGGAGCCTTTAGCGCAATTGCTGCTGATGTTTGTTTTTCTGGGGTTTAGGTTTTATTCAATGCGTTACCTCTGCTGAGATTTCCTAGTGACGCCAAGCCTGTCACAAATGGTAGAGGAGGGAGGTAAATTTATGCTGCAGGTGGGCACTCCATGGAATATGTATTTTTAAGAGCAGAAAACACTGAATATATAAAATGGGATGTGAGGAAGAAGGGTTATGTTAGCCTAGCCTTCTTCCTTGATATTCTGATTTTTAATGTGCTGGGGTTTTTATTTATTTATTTGCACTTCCACACCTTAGATTTAAAGCACATGACTTCCCCCCAAAGAATCCTGGCAACAGAAGCAGCCTTAACAAACCACAGGATCCCAGGATTATTTGGGAGAAGCCATGTGCTTGAAATACGTGGTGTGAATGTGACTGTACAGTTTAGACATGAGTTTAATGTATCATCCCCTCTGTTCCCAATGATCAGACTACAGTGGTACCTTGGTTGTCATAGTTAATCTGTTCCGGGAGTCCGTTCGCCCCCCGGAACTGTTCGAAAACCAAGGCGCAGCTTCCGATTGGCTGCAGGAGCTTCCTGCAGCCAATTGGAAGCTGCAGAAGCTGCGTTGGAAGTTTGGCTTCCAAAAAACGTTCGCAAACCAGAACACTTACTCCAGGGTTTGTGGCGTTTGGGAGCCGATTTGTTTGGGAGCAAAGCCATTCGACAAAGCCACTTCCGAGCTGGAGAGGAGGTGGGGTTGCGGGCCCACCCCCTCCCCACGCATGCGGGGGCTGGCTTACAGCCCCCGCGAGAGCAGGGGAATCCTCGGGCGCGTCACTGCCCCGGCCAGCCAATCGGAGGGCCGGGGAGGCGTGGCCTAACACATTTAAGGCTGGCGCGCCCGGGGACTTTCCTCTCTTCCCCGTTCCAGCTGTGTGTCACTGGTAGAGAAGAAGAAGAGTTTGGATTTGATACCCCGCCTTTCACTCCCTTTAAGGAGTCTCAAAGCGGCTAACATTCTCCTTTCCCTTCCTCCCCCACAACAAACACTCTGTGAGGTGAGGGGGGCTGAGAGACTTCAGAGAAGTGTGACTAGCCCAAGGTCACCCAGCAGCTGCATGTGGAGAAGCGGAGACGCGAACCCGGTTCCCCAGATTACGAGACTACCCCTCTTAACCACTACACCACACTGGCTCTCACTGGTAGGGCTATAGTTCAGTGACTGCATCCTCTTGCCTAGACAGTGGTGAAGGGCCAGAGCTGCGCTAGAGCAGGTTCTTTGCATGCAGAAGGTCCAAGTTTCAGTCCCTGGCATCTCCAGCTGGGGCTGGGAGAGAACTCTGCTGGAAAACCCAACAGTGGCAGTGTAGGAAGTACTGATCTAGATGCTCCAGTAGTCTGACTTGGTACCAGGCAGATTCCCATTGTGTTGCTCTGTATTACGTTGTGCTGTGCTCTTAGCGGTTTGGCGCTAACCATCTTCTGCCTCCATCTAACCATGTGTTTTCTCCTCCTTTCCCGGGGACGGGGTTGAAACCTTTGAGCAGCAGACGAAGACGAGGATAAAGACGACGACTTCCGAGCTCCGCTCTACAAGAACGTGGAGATTAAAGGGATCCAAGTACGGATGAAGTGGTGCGCCACCTGCCATTTCTACCGCCCTCCGCGCTGTTCCCATTGCAGCGTCTGTGACAATTGTGTTGAGGTAGGACAAGGCCCCCCTGCCCACTTTGGGGGAAGAGACTCTAGCTCCGTGGTGGAGCCATAACAAAATATGACTCCCCAGTACAGTCAAACCTTGGTTGTTAAACATAACCCGTTCCAGAAGACCGTTCAACATCTGAAACATTCGACAACTGAGCCGTGGCTTCCGATTGGTTGCAAGAGCTTCTTGCACTCAAGCGGAATCCGTGGCAGACGTTTGGGCTCCAAAAAACATTCAAAAATTGGAGCATTTACTTCCGCGTTTTGGCATTCGGGAGCTGAAATGTTCAAAAATGGAGCCGTTCGAGAACCAAGGTTTGACTGTATCCTTGAGCATTTTGCGGAGAGGGAAATCATAGCTTAGTTTTAACTAGTTTAATTTTGCTTTTGTTTGTTTTTTAATGTTGCATACCATCCTGGGATCCTGCATTGATATAAAAATGTATGGTGGTAGTATTTAGCATGAATATTTGGCTCAACAGCATTGAGCTTGAATCCCTGGGTTCAATAGACTTTTTCAGCCATTGACTTTTTTTGGTGAGGTCAGGACTGTTACTTTTTTCTTTTCTTTTTTAGCTTCAGCCCCCTAATAGCAAAGTATAGTGGAGATTTCTAGCCTGATCTGGTGAAGAATGCAGCCAAAGAGACAAGGAAATGTTGTTTGTAAACTAGAGAACTGTGACTCCAGGCTGTTACTGTCAGGCAAGGTGTAGCTGTCCTCCATACCAAAATTATTCAGGGTCATTTCTGTTGTGAGGCCATTTCTTTCCATCAGCTGGTTGACTAAAGTTGTAATGCTAACCCCACTGAACTCAATAGGACTTACTTCTAAGAAAGTAAGAGTAAGAAAGCACTGTTAAGTCTTTAACACAATGTTTAAAAGTAGTCAGCTGTGTAATTAAAAAAGGAGGGGAAATCTAATCAGTTGTAATAAGCAGAAACTCATTAAGCGAGGTGTCAAAGGCAGCCAGAGTCAATTGTAAAGCATTCTGACTGTAATCACAAGATCGGTCGCAATGAAAACTAACGGAGCAGAATTCATTCTCCGAGAAACAAGAACAGGATTTTAATTCTAACAGCAATTAAAAAAAACCAACCCTAACAAACCTTTAAGAGGGTTTCAACATTCTCTTTTTTAAAAAATAAAATCTTCTTAATTTTGAAATTTACAAACAATTATCAAACAACCAAATTAAAAAGAGAATTCCATAGATTCTCCTGAACTTCCCTCCTCCCCTTTGTGGGTCCTTATGTTAACTTTTTTCCTCCTGCAACTTCTCTATTAATCCCAGTCTGTTAAATCTCCATTACAACCATAGGTCAACATTAAACTACAAGTTTCATTCCAATCCTATTAATAATATTAATTGTTTACAACGATAAATTATATGTTTTCCCCATTCCTTATTAAAATTTGGGTCTTCCTTATTTCTAATTCTTCCCGTCATTTTGGCATACTTCATCAGTTTAATTTGCCATTCTTCCCTGGTAGGGACTACTTTCCATCTCTGGACAAGTAACATCCGAGCAGCAGTGGTCGCATACATAAATAGTCTTTTCTGATCCATTGGTATTTCTGTACCTAGAATTCCTGGAAGGAAATCTTTGGGGGTTTTTTTTAGAAAAGGTTATTTTAAAAAAAATTCTCCAGTTCATTATATTAAAAAAGGTAAAGGACCCCTGACAGTTAAGTCCAGTCACGAACGACTCTGGGGTTGCAGTGCTCATCTTGCTTTACTGGCTGAGGGAGCCGATGTTTGTCCGCAGACAGTTTTTCTGGGTCATGTGGCCAGCATGACTAAGCCGCTTCTGGCAAAACCAGAGCAGTCCACGGAAACGCCATTTACTTTCCCGCCGGAGCAGTACCTGTTTATCTACTTGCACTTTGACGTGCTTTTGAACTGCTAGGTTGGCAGGAGCTGGGATCGAGCAACGGGAGCTCACCCCGTCGTGGGGATTCGAACCACCAACCTTCTGATCGGCAAGCCCTAGGCTCAGTGGTTTAGACCACAGCGCCACCCACATCCTTACTTCATTAAATACAGTCTCCCAAAATTCTTTTACTACTTTACAAGTCCACCACATGTGATAGAAGGTACCTTCTTTTTCCTTACGTTTCCAGCATGTATTTGACCTTGTTTTATATATTTTAGCTAATTTACCAGAAGTACCAACGGTACATCATTTCAATGTAATTTTCTTTCAAAGTACAATATGCTGTAAACTTCAAATCCCAGTTCCATAACCTCTCACATGCTGTAAGTTGTATATTATGTCCAAAGTCCCTCACCCAGTGTATCATAACCGATTTAACCTGTTCATCTTTTGTATGCCATTCTAATATTAGTTTATACATTTTAGAAAGCAACATTCTCATAAGGTTCAACAGGTGTCGACACTGTGCTATACTGGAGCCAGATAATTCTTTATTGTATTGTATTTAGTGAAGTATTATCATAGAATTTTTGAAGTCTTAACACCTGCTGAACTTAATGACAATGGAAGGGAACGTGGAGATCATCTGGTCCAGTGGTGAAGAACCTCCAGCCTTCCAGGTGGTTTTTTGGGGGGAGGGAATACCCATCTGCCCATCACCTGATGTCATATGGCTGTCCTGACCTGTGTGGCCTGAGGGAAGGCAGAAGCGAGGAGGCCCAGAGCAGGGAGGACATACCGTACATCATCAGCTCCCAGTGACCTGAGATGACTGTGTCACTCTACATATTAGACAACGCAGTTGTTTCAATGTTTTAAACTTGTAAACCGCCTTAGGTGCCTTGACAGAAAGGTGGTATATGAATCAGATAGACAGATAGATGATAGATAGATAGATGATGATAGATATAGATAGATAGATGATAGAGATAGATAGATAGATAGATATAGATAGATAGATAGATAGATAGATGATATAGATGATAGATAGATGATAGATAGATAGATGATAGATAGATAGACAGACAGATAGATAGATGATAGATTGATAGATAGATAGATAGATAGATGATAGATAGATAGATGATAGATAGATAGATAGATAGATAGATAGATAGATAGATGATAGATAGATGATAGATAGATAGATAGATGATAGATAGATGATAGATAGATAGATAGATAGATAGATATAGATTGATTGATAGATAGATAGATGATAGATAGATAATGAGAGATGATAGATAGATAGATAGATAGATAGATAGATAGATGATAGAGATGATAGATAGATAGATAGATAGATAGATAGATAGATAGATAGATAGATAGATGATAGATAGATAGATATAGATAAATAATAGATAGATGATAGATAGATGATAGATAGATAGATAGATAGATAGATAGATATAGATAGATAAGCCACAGTCCCAAATTAAAAAAGAAAGAATCTACTTCCTTTCCAGCCTCTGTTTCAACATGGCACTTTTTAAAATTTCCCACCTTTTTCTGCCACCCTGCACAGCAACAGGTAAAGACACCAGATTCAAAAAGCATTGGATTCAATGCCTGTTCACTCATCCTGTTTCAAGACCCAGACGTTAGACTACAACTCCCATGATTCCTGACATAGGCCATGCTGGCTGGAATGGATGTGAGCTGTCTGGAGGGCGTCACGTTCTCCGCCCTTGAACTAGATGATGTTGAACTAGAATTTGCAAGAGCCATTTGCACAAGAGAAAGCCCTAATCTGAGCAGGGAGCTCACTGTGGAAGCGCACTCACTGAGGCCAACCTTCCATTAGGGCAGGGATAGGGAAACTGTGGCCAGGTGCTGGACTACAACATCCATCATCCCTGAACATTGACCATGCTGGGTGGGTCTGATGGGACTTGTAGTCCAACAACATCTGGCGGGCATCCAAGTTAGGGGAGGTTGCCCTACAAGCTTTCCCCCGAGGAAGCACAAAGGAGACCAGCTGTCCTTTTTTCCTCCCAGTTTTCCAAGTGAGACATAATGCAGACCATCTTGCATCACTTCCCGTCCTGGTTTGCTGTAGCAGACAGCATTCCTACATTATTAAGCTTTGATTGCTTACCGAGGAGAATAAGCAGAGCCATTAACAAACCTTGAATCAATAAGCTTTGTCATCAGGCCAAGCCGTCTATTGATTTCCCCCTCCCTTTTTGGCGAGGTGAAACTCCTATGTGCTTATGTATCACACTGGTGCCAGGAGACTTGGTCACAATGAAGCCTTTATTGGCGTTTCAATCCAGAGGCTCCCTTTAAAAGGCAAGAGTCGTCATTCATTTGTTTCATTCACATCCAGGTTTTAAATTTCACAATCACTTCCAATGGAAAGCATAACTTAAATGCTGCAGGGCGAGATAGCAAATGCGTTAGACAGCCAGTCCCCACAACCATTCTACTCGCACAAGACAAGACCAGTCTTCCTTTCCCAGCGGTGCGCGGGATAAATTGGTTCTGTCCACACATGCCTGAATTTTGCATGCCGCCATTCAGTTGGTTCCAGTTTTTGGCGGGCCCTTGAGCAGGTAGACCTCCCTCCGTCCCACCAAACTTGTCTTGGAAAGGATGGCAATGGGTAGGGCATGCGACTCAATATAGTGCCCTGCAGTAGGGGCACACAGTCGTTTGGTAATGAATGAAAGATTTAGCCAAATGAAGCCCTACATTCAACATTAATCCCATGAGTAACAATTGGGCTTGTTTTCAACAGCTCGTTTGTCCCGGTCACTTGGGGATAGGCAGTGGGCCTAAATTTTGCAGGTGCCTTCTGATGGCTACCACTTTATTTTCCCAGAATGCCCCAGAAGTTGCCACTTTGCATGGGTATTGCTGGGAGAAAGGGGTTGCTGCCACCACCTGTGCAGGCTGCCATGTTCCTATGATGGCTGCTGTTGTTTTTTTTATCAACCATTAAGAGATAGAGGGAGAGAAGAAATAAGTTGGTTACAATATTGAATGATGACTTCCATCTCAACCACCAATGAATGCTCCAGAATGAGGCAATATCTAGAGCAGCGTCTTCCAACCTTGGGTTGCCAGGGAATTTTTTTGACTACATATTCCATCATCCCTAGACATTGACTTAAGCTGTCTGGGGCTGATGGGAGTTGTAGTCCAGTAGTGTTTGGGGGCCCCAGGTTTGAAAAAGTCTGCTTTTATACTGCTGTTCACCACCTTAGTGTTGTTGACAAACAACACTACAGCACACTTTCTACTGTTCAAATTAGAAACCAAGTTATGTACAGTTCAGGAAAATGTGAGCGTGAAAGCTTTGCTTTCAGCAGTTTAACTTTAAAGTGGTGTTTGCGGGGAGGCAGAGAATTCACCTTCTACCTGGGCATGGGGTGAAGCCATCAGGTACCTTATTTTTTGCTCTATAAGATTCACTTTTTCCCTCCTAAAACGTAAGGGGAAATGTGTGTGTGCTTCTTATGGAGCGAATGCAGGCTGCGCAGCTATCACAGAAGCCAGAACAGCAAGAGGGATTACTGCTTTCACTGCGCAGTGATCCCTCTTGCTGTTATGGCTTCTGAGATTCAGAATATTATTTTTCTTGTTTTCCTCCTCCAAAAACTAGGTGCGTCTTGTGGTCTGGTGCGTCTTATAGAGAGAAAAATACGGTAATTACTCTGCCATGTACCAAACTATGATGCAGATATAATCAACCCACATTTTCTCTTTACATAGAAGTCCACTTTCTCATTGGGTCTTTCTTTGACAGGAAGGGCCATAGCTCAGTGGTGGAGCATCTGCTTTGCATGCAGAAGGTCGCAGGTTCAATCCCTGGTGTCCCTACCTGAAACCCAGGAAAGTCACTGCCAGTCAGTGTTGACAGTGCTGATCTAAATGGACCAATGGTCTGACTCGCTGCAAGAGAGCTTTCTGTGTTCCTTTTTTTCTAAGCAATGGGACCTAGGACCAAGTTTAAAAATAACGAAAAGCTCAAGATTCTCATAATAGTGCAATCCAGCCCGATTCTGTGGTTTTGTTGTTGCCAACTAAATACCGGGCAAAGCAAAGTTGGAAATTGTGGGTGGCATCTGTGATAACGTTGCTTCTTTCCATAGCTGTATGTTATGCTGTATCTCTTCATTTCTTTGCAAGGATTTTGACCATCACTGCCCTTGGGTTAATAACTGCATAGGACGGAGGAACTACCGATATTTTTTCCTTTTCTTGCTGTCCTTAAGCGCCCACATGATTGGAGTGTTCAGCTTTGGGCTTATCTATGTTTTACACCATGCGCAGAAGCTGGGGGCGGCACCCACAGCCATCACGTATCCTTCCTTCGGTGTTTGGGATGTTCAAGAACTGGGCAGAAGGAACTGGGCAGATGGGGCCTCCCTTAGGACCTGCACAAACAGCTGGCCCTTCAGTCATGGTAGTTCTACGACTTCTCCCAGCCGCATGGCCGGTGATTGGGGACGATGGGAGTTCTGCAGCCCAAATAGCACATGGAGGGTCCTAGGTTCCCCATCCCTGGTGCAGATGTTTTACGCAGCTGTCAGCTAACATGGCATGATGCAGGGTCCAAAAGCCCTCCTGGCCTCCTCTGTTTCTGCTGGAGAAAGGCTGTAGCCCAAAGCTAGAGAACCTACACTGCCTGTAAACGGTGCCAGGTTCGATCCTCAGCATCTCCAAGGTAAAGTAAAGGTAAAGGGACCCCTGACCATTAGGTCCAGTCGCGGACGACTCTGGGGTTGCAGCGCTCATCTTGCTTTAGTGGCCGAGGGAGCCGGCGTACAGCTTCCGTGTCATGTGGCCAGCATGACTAAGCTGCTTCTGGCGAACCAGAGCAGCGCACAGAAACGCCGTTTACCTTCCCGCTGGAGTGGTACCTATTTATCTACTTGCACTTTGATGTGCTTTTGAACTGCTAGGTTGGCAGGAGCAGGGACCGAGCAACGGGAGCTCACCCCGTCATGGGGATTCGAACCGCCAACCTTCTGATCTCCAAGGTAGGGCTGCCCAAAACTCCCATCTGAAATCCTAAAACGCTGCTGCCCATCAGTGTAGGAAATACTGAACTAGATGGACCAGGAGTCTGACCCAATATAAAGTAGCTTCCTGTGTCCCTTTTTCATATTTCCAGCTGGGTGCAAGGCGAGTTGCAAAGCAGCTGCACTCGGCGTACTAGCACACTCCATCGTTCACCCTTAGCCATGCTTTGGCTTAGTGTTGTGTTTTGAAACAGACCAGTTTCTCTCCCAGCTAGTGCAGAGTTTTCCCCTTCTTCCTTCTAATTCTGTTCCCTTTTGTGTCTTGTTTTCTAGATTGTGGGCCTGCAGGCCCAGGGCCTGATAGTTTTTATTCCTCTACAGTTCTTAGTGTATTTTTAGGCACCTTTATCAATAATAAATTATGATAATTAAGAAGAAAGCTAAGTAAAATCTCTGTAGTCAAAGGCAGTATACCACCGACTGGTATTTGTCAGAGGACAAACAAATGGAGGGAAATAAGTTTCACTGGGTCTTCCCTGCCCCCAAATGGAGGACGATTATATTCCAGGTTATATTTTCTTCTCCTTCAGTCATTTCGTCATCCTTAAGTATAGAATTTCCTTAATGCATAATGCATACAGTATGGCTGTCATGTGTGTGGCGGGTTTGTTCTTTATTCCAGTCATTGGTCTCACAGGTTTCCATATTGTTTTAGTGGCCCGGGGACGCACTACTAATGAACAGGTAAGATGGCATTATTATTATTATTATTATTATTATTATTATTATTATTAGCAGTAGTAGTAAAAATGTATACCCTCCCTTAGACTGCATTAGCCAGGCAGCATACATGAAAATATTAAAGATCACCTCCAGATTATCATTATTTTGGGGGAGGGATTCAATTGTGTTCTGGAAATTTGGGTTTGCACAGTTAAAGTCGCACTCTGTCGCACTCTGTTGCAACAAACCTGCATCTTCATTTGACTTTTTCCACTTATGAAGGTGACAGGGAAAGGCACAAAAAAGCGTAAGGTAACAACTGATTAGCGTTCAATAAAGAGCAGACATCTTATCATCTCCAAACAAGCTCTGTATAAGCAAATCAGAGATGGATGCTCAGTAAACAGTTTGCCTAGAGGAACTCAGTGACGCAATAAACACATTCAAAGATGCAAACAGCAGATAGATAAAAGCAGGAATTTGCATGGTAATGTATATTTCCATGGAAACATGTGGCCCTCCAGGTGTGCTTGAACTACAGTTCTCATCAGCCCCTGCACATGCAGCCAGTGGCCAGTGATGATGGAAGCTGTAGTTCGGCAACACCATTTCAAAACTTGACTTCTTTCTCCCTCTTTCTGCAGTTCCTTAAATTTGTTTTTAATATCTTCTGCCTATCCAAATTAACTTAATTGGTTCCTTTATTCATCTACTTTAAAAATATACTCTTATGAAACTGCAGGTTATTACAGTAATCCTGCCAAAGTTCTTACCAGTTTACAATTTGTCTGTAAATAGTCAATAAACCATTTCCATTCTTTTATGAAAAGTTTGTTATCTTGATTTCTTATTCTTCTGGTAAGTTTCACCATTTCTGCATATTCCATAAGTTCTTCCTGCTGGGACTTCTGCTTCTTTCCATTTGGGGGCAAGTAACATTCTTGGTGCTATAGTAGTATTCATGAATACCTTTCCGTACAGTTTGGGTAGTTCTGTCCCTATACAGTGGTGCCTCGCAAGACGAAAAGAATCCGTTCCGCGAGTCTCTTCGTCTTGCGGGTTTTTTCGTCTTGCGAAGCAAGCCCATTAGCGGTTTAGCGGATTAGCGCTACAGTATTAGCGGCTTAGCGGGCTTAGCGGATCAGCTGATAAGCGGCTTAGCGATCAGCTGTTAAGCGGCTTAAAGATCAGCTGATAAGCGGCTTAACGATCAGCTGTTAAGCGGCTTAGCCATCAGCTGATAAGCGGTTTAGTGGCTTGGGAAAAGGGGGGGGGGAGGAAAAAAACCCCGCAGGAACTCGCAAGACATTTTCATCTTGCGAAGCAAGCACATAGGAAATTCGTTTTGCGAAGCACCTCTAAAACGGAAAACCATTTCGTCTAGCGGGTTTTCCATCTTGCGAGGCATTCGTCTCGCGGGGCACCACTGTAATTCCCAAAAGGAAAGCTTCTAGGGTTTTTTTTACAAACGTTATTTTAAACACCCTTTTCCATTCATTATATATCATTTTCCAGCAAGCTTTAACCTTACTACAAGACTACCACATATGATAAAAATAACCTTCTTTCTCTTTACATTTCCAACACTTACTTGATTTAGATTTATACATTTTTGCCAATTTACTCGGTGTTAGATACCATTGATATATCCTTTTCATATAATTTTCTCTTAGGCCATAACATGCTCTCAGAATTTTTCACTGAACTTTTGCTGCCCCCCATTGCCAGTAGGGTTTATGTAAATAAAGCAGAAAAACAACTTTCCCCTACATGTGGCAGGAAAATGGGAAAGGAGATGGGGGCTTTAGGGCAGGGAAATGACAGGCAGGGGAAAGGAAAGTAAGTACTCCCTTGCTCCCCAAGGAGCTTTGCTATTTAAATTTTATTTTAAAGGCATCTAGGAACTGCTGTGGGCTGCTGGGAGAGGTGTATTGTAGTCTTCCCCAACTTAGTTGCCTCTAAACGTTGGTGGGACTACAGTTTCCATCATCTGTGACCACTGTCATGCTAGCTGTGGCTGATGGGAAATGGAGTCCCAACAAACATCTAAGGCAGGCATGGCCAAACTTGGCCCTCCAGCTGTTTTGGGACTACAGTTCCCATCATCCCTGACCACTGGTCCTGTTAGCTAAGGATGGTGGGAGTTGTAGTCCCAAAACAACTGGCGGGCCAAGTTCAGCCATGCCTGATCTAAGGGGAACCAGTTTGGGGAAGGCCAGTCTTTTCTGGCACATAGAATTTCTGGAAGCACCAAGTTGGCTATTGCTCGAAAGAGAACGCTGTGTTAGATGGATCTCTGGTCTGAGCAAGCAGGATCCTTCTTAAGGTCTTACGATATGGGGCACAGGTGATCAATGTGTTGTTGGTTTCTAAAGGGTTAATTGATGCTTCACGTACCTGTTCAAAGTGCCCTGAATGTTATAATTCCAGGTGACGGGTAAGTTCCGTGGGGGAGTAAATCCTTTCACTCGAGGATGCTGCGGTAATGTGGAACACGTTCTCTGCAGCCCTCTGGCACCCAGGTAAGCTAGGAGGAGAGATATATGAAACTCTAGCTACTGACCAAGGGTGAATCCCCACTGTGTTTAGTGTGTGCAAAAGTCAGCTTTGGGCCTGGACAGCCTGTTTCAAATCTACCTCCTTGACTTATTCACATGTGGTGGGTGGAGGGTACATATCAGTGGCTCAGAAAAGGTTTCCCCTCTCTTCTCTCACGTAGGAGGTGGTGCCTCTTCTAAGATGGTGCTAACAACCTTAAGGTTTTCTTAAAATATACTTGTATTAAATAAATTTAATCCTGCATGTTTCACCGGAGATGTCATCTTAGAAGAGGCAGGAGAGAATGCCTCTCCAATAATGATGGCTTTCTCATGGCAGGCATCATAATCTAAAAACAAAAATTATATCCTATATACTTTCCCCCTCTTTAGAATGATTGCTTTTTCTCCAATTTCCATTGTATTCAGTTTTAATGGATTAATCAACTTTCTTCCTTCAAAATGAGTGCCCCCCCGCCACCGCCAATTTCAATTGTAAGCAGATTTAATAGATCAACAAAAAAACCATATACTTTTTTCTCCTTTGGAATGATTGCATTTTCTCCAATTCCCAGTGTATGCAGATTTAATGGATTAATTAACTAAAACCATGTCCTTTCCCCCTTCAGAATGATTGTTTTTTCCTCCAGTTTCCAACGTTAGCAGATTTAATAGATTAATCAACAAAAACCCATATACTTTTTTCTCTCCTTTGGAATGATTTTCTCCAATTTCCAACGTATTTATTTCACAACATTTCGATGCTGCTTGATTGCTATAAAACCCTAAGCGGTTTAAAGTTCGCAGACGTAATGAATTATCTAAAGCCCGTAAACAGATCTGTTAAGGCAGAATCTGATGAGAGTTGTAGTCCAAAGCTTCTGGATGTGGGCACCAGGTTGGGGGAAGACGATGCATGCCAATAAGACTTTGTCTTCAAAGAAGAATTGCTTACATACTTTCTCAGGTACATTGTTGAGCCAAAGAAGAAACAGCCCGTAAGTGTGAAACCACCGTTCCTGAGACCAGACTTAACTGAGCGACAGATCACAGTGAAGATAAGCGACAATGGCATCCAAGCCAATCTCAATCGGAGCAAGGTAAAGCATTCATGGCATCACAGATTTGGGGTCTCTCCAGATTGGTGGCGGCTTGGGGCAGGTATATTCTGCAACATGTCAATGATGCAATAATAGGGCACGAGTGATGGATTGTTTTCCTTGTTCTACCATTGTTCCGTTTGTTATTCTATAATTCTATATGGTTGTAACCTGCCCTGGGACCTCATGGTGATAAGTAAAATACAGTGGTATCTTGGCTGTCAAACTTAATCCGTTCTGGGAGTCCATTCGACTCCTGGGACTGTTCGAAAACCAAGGTGCAGCTTCCAATTGGCTGCAGGAGCTTCCTGCACCCAATTGGAAGCCGCGTCAGAAGTTTGAGTTCCAAAAAACGTTTGCAAACCGGAACACTTACTTCTGGGTTTGCGGTGTTTGGGAGCTGATTTGTTCAGGAGCCAAGCTGTTCGACAACCAAGGTACCACTGTAATGCTAGACACTTGAAACTGATAGACATTCAGGACCATTAAGTTAAACGGAATGGAATTTAGCTGGATGCGACCCAAAATAAAATAAATAGTTTGGACCTGACCCTTTAATTGTATTTGCAATCAGAGTGTTTTAAAGACTGAGTTTTATTTTGAATGCTTGTTTATGGATTGAGCTGGAATTCTAACAGGTACTAGAAAGGCAGTCGGAGGGAAATAATAATTTCAGGCTAATTACTTGAAGTAAAAATGCTTGTGTGTGGTTGTGTGATGCATAAATATATAATCTCATTCATTAGTTTGTTTACTAAGCACGTTGCTACCTCTCAAAGCTAGTAGGAAAACAGATGGAAATGTGATCAAAAGATTCTAGGACTGTGTATGTACTCCTGTTAATTCTGCATCCAGTGAACTCCACTGGAAGTTTGAAAAGAATATGTATCTATCCTGTATCTATCTTGCTGTTTCTTATGAAATGCTGCATGCTGGTGTCCACACATACACACACACCCCGGACACAAACCAGTTTTGCTCTGAATTGAGAAGAAAAACCATCTAGCTGCATTTTAAACCAGTAATGTGTTACACAGCCTCGTAATTCAGGGATATGTATTCTGGGGGCTCCATGCACTTGCGAACCAAATCTAGCAGAAATCCACGCATTAGCTCTTGAGACTGACTTAAGTGTTTTCATTTGCACCCTGACAATTTGGAGAAGTAATTCAAAACAGTGCCAAATTCCTGCAAAATGGTATGGTCGGAATCAACCTCCTTGCTTGAAGAGATTGCGCCACTTCTATGCCGCACTCTCTGGTATGGTATGGAAAGACCTCATTTGCTTTGTGGTTATTTTCAGTCTAAAGTTAGCCTGGAAGGGCTGGAAGATAAAACCATGGATATTCAGCCTCCTCTACCCCCCAAAGGAGATTCCAGCAAGTACAGTGAGCTGGGGAGCAGCGAAGGTACAGTGCCCTGTTTTGTGCTTTGTACTTTTAAAACCAGGGAAAGTATCTTTGGTCTCTTGAAACTTCCTTTCTGCTAGAATGTGAACATAGGTTGAGTTGGTAGCTGTGATCCAGAAAACTCTGTCCAGCTGGCAGAGGGGACATAGCCAAGCACATGTCTCATGTGCACAAGGTCCTAGGTTTAATCTCAAACCTCTCTGCTTAAAAAGATCTCATTGTGGATATTTCACCTCTCCCATTGCAAGCATCTTCTGACAATGTTTTCAGAAAGGAGGGGCGGAATCTGCTCATCGCTTCTTCCGCTCCAGCCTGACTCTATGGGAGTCTGAGTGTTATCTATGTAGAGATAAGATGACTGCTTAGGCAACTGTAACACTCATGCAGTCCAGTAGCCTCCGTTAGTTTCTAGTTCATTTTTAGTTTGCAGTAGCTGTAAAAGAATAAAGAAGTTATGCTTCGGAGCCGTCGTCCATGTAGTTCATCCTCTGCTTTGGCACTGAGTTTGGTACTCACAGCTCAAAGTTGAGAGTCCATTGCACTTAGACCTGCTTCCCTGCAGCGGAAGGTCTCTGGAAGTGCTTTCCCAGCTCACTTGTCCCAGTCGGGGTTGAAGAGGTTGAGCCCAGTCGTTGAGCCCAGCTCAAAGCTGACACTCATAGCAGGTGGTGAGAAACACCTTTATCCACCTGAAGCCTTAGAGAGCTACTGCCATTAGGAGTAGACTGGGCTCGCTCAATCAATGGTCTGACTTGGTATAAGAGAGCTTCAGAGAGATGTTGTAATATGGGGGGGAACCCACCACTTGCAGCGTTAGACCCACATCTTCTAACTAGCCTGTAGCCCTCCAGATGTTGGTAGACTCCCAGCTTTCATTATCCCTGACCGCTGACCATGCTCATGGACATCAATGCTGAAGTGAGTTAGAGTCCAACATCTGGGGGGCCCAGGTTAGCCACCCCCCACTTTACAGGGAAGGGCCACCTCTCAGTGGAAGAGCACACGCTTTGTCAGCAAATGGTCCCAAGTTCAGTTGCCACTATCTACAGGGAAGGACGTGGGTTAAACCACAGAGCCTAGGACTTGCCGATCAGAAGGTCGGCGGTTCGAATCCCCACGACGGGGTGAGCTCCCATTACTCGGTCCCTGCTCCTGCCAACCTAGCAGTTCGAAAGCACGTCGAAGTGCAAGTAGATAAATAGGTACCACTCCAGTGGGAAGGTAAACGGCGTTTCCGTGCACTGCTCTGGTTCGCCAGAAGCGGCTTAGTCATGCTGGCCACGTGACCCAGAAGCTGTACGCCAGCTAAATAAAGCGAGGTGAGTGCTGCAACCAGAGTCAGCTGCGACTGGACCTAATGGTCAGGGGTCCCTTTACCTTTACCTGTTACAGGGAAGGTTTGGAAAGACCTGTGTGGAGTCACTGCCAGGCAGTGTAGACAGTATGAAGCAAGATGGACCCGTTTTCTTGCTTGGTAAAAGCAAGCATCCTATGTATTTTATATAAGAGCTAGCAACCTACACTGTTCAAATCAAGATGTGATTCTGCGGGTGGTATTCAGCTAATTTTTACTCAGAGCAGACCTGCTGGCATAAATCACTGCAACAAAGGCTCATTAAATTTTCAGGTCTACTCTGTGTAGAACTTAGTTGCACGCCACCCTGCATCTCTGCAGTTTATAGTTCTCCAGCTGGTGTTCTCCGATATCCCTTTGCCGTTCCTCTGGGCCACCCCCTCTTTCCTTTATAGAGTAACAAGATGCAAAGAAAAACAGGGATCTTTAATTGTAGCTATCCCTACGCCAACATCATCCAAATCCCTGTATGACAAAACTAGACCAGCCAAAATGACTTCTTTGCTTGTACAAATAATAAAAGGTAAAAGGGGAGCCATGTTCTCCTTTGGTCTTGGTTCTTGGTGTCTCCCAATGCTGATATATTTGGCTTTTTTGTCCTGGTATTTTCTCTTTATGAAGGTAGTTGGGTGTCTTGGGTGTCTGTCTGTAGAAAAGTAGGGTATAAATTGAATCACAGAATGTAGTCTGTTTTCACAGCTTTCCCTAACTTTCCTCAAGCCCCTGATTCATTTCCTAGACACCCCTTCTCCTCATTTTATGACTTTTTTGACTGCATTGTCCCTCTGAAGAGCCAAACAAATCAGTCAATGGCAACCAAAGACTCTTGCCTGCTTCACCTGCTCTGTTCCATCTATGCCAGTCTCTGCCAAACATTTTATCACCACCTCCAAATCCTTTTGCACATTGTAACACGAAGGGGCTGTAGCTCAGGGGCGGTTTCGTACGCTCAGTGTAAATTATCCAGGGGAACACCTTGTTTATCCAGTGATACTACACATGTGCTTATTTCATATGCTTGCACGTCAACATGAACAAATTATTGTCTTATCTGTGACTGTCCCAGCTTGCCTTGAGGTTCCCGGGTGAAGCTGGGTTGAAGTGGTGGAACTTACTAGAAGAGCAGAATCCTATTGTCCAGGGCAGAGTCAAGATAGGTTACAAAGGATTGCAGCAGGCAAGCAAAGCACAGTCTTTCAGGACCCTGGACAGATCACTATGGCAAGGGCTGGCTGGAGCTCACCCAGGGAGAGCTGTTGTCTCAGCAGCATGCTAAGGCCTTATGAAGGCTGACTGGTCTGGACCTGCTGTTAACCCCTCCCCGTTTGAGGATAGGATTTAAAGGGGCATTACTTGAAGCTGCAGGTACTAGCTCCTATGGCATGTTGGCGCTGAGGACTCCATTAGTGGGAGGGAAGCTGTCCACGTCAGGAGCCTAGGAGCCACGTAAAGCCATGTCTTCTGGCCTTGTAGGTCCTGGAGTGAGGAGGCTGCTGATCCTCTGCTTCAAAATAGGGCCTCTGTTCTGGCTTTTAAACTTGAGTGGCACTGAATACTAAAAGACACTATACCTTGTGGAATAATATATGGTGTCTGTTTATATATCAAAACTGAAGAAAGCCAAAGGGGGGCGGGTTGAAGCCAGAGAACGTGACTTAGTGGAAAGAAAGAGAGTAAGTGAGTTTTCTTTCCTCTTCCCCACAACCAGAGAGCAGCCTTTCACCCAAACTGATGAGCCCTCCCACACCTGCAATGTACAAGTATCGTCCAGCTTTCAGCAACGATCCCAAAGTGCACTACCACGGAGCATCTGAACAGGTAAGCCTATCAATAGTTTGCAGTCTTATGGACACTTAACTGGGAATACAACCCTTTTGAATACGGTGGTGTTTACTACCAGGTCAAGAAGCACAGGATTACATTGTAGTAAAATAATAAAAATGTCTTTCCAAAACCAGCAATTATGCAGGAAAAAAACTGCATGAAGAACAAATTTGAACCTCAGAAAATTTTTATCATTCATTTCACTTCTGTATTACTTTATATTTTTAAGGATGGGAGATCTCAAAGCAGTTTACAAACTACATTAATTCATCAAATCAAACAATCCAGTATAAAACATTACAGAATAAAGTAAAATATAAAGTATACATTCCAAGCAACATAATTAAAAGGGAACTAAAATATTATCTTCAAAAAATTCCAAATGAAACATTAGAAAAGGAGGTCAAGGACAGAATGCACATTTAACGCAGTAAAGTTAACAAAATATATATATATTTACATTTCAAAAGAAAACTTAATTAAAAGAAGTCAAGTATAAAATGCACATTTAAAACAGTATAATTAGCAAGAGAATAAAATATTTTCTTAAGCAAAATACATATCTGCTGCTGTTGCTGCTAATCTTGCCAATGGTGGTTCATGGCAGGCGATGACTTGGCAGCCCCGGCTCGATGACCTGGGTCTGCACTAAGAGACAGCCAAGATTATCTCTGTTCTCTTCAGCAGCCTCAGATTTTGCAGCTGGAGTCAATCTGGGCTCTGCCCTCCCAGGCCAGCAAGGGAGGGAGCAAGTCTTGCAGGTCTCACAGCCAAGATGGTCTTTATTACATTTTCTAGCAAGAAGAACCAGAGGGGGAAATTCAGAAGTGGACCTTTCTGTCCCTCCCAATTAGCTACAGTGCGGGCCATTTTATTTTTTACTCTCTATGAGCTGAAGTTTCTTCTCCTCGCATAAAGCAATCCCTCCGTCCTTTTTAACTTTAAAACTGAGGCAGAGACACCGAGCGAGAACTTTGGTTTTAAGAAACATGCAGGGCTTTTGTTTTTTGGGGGATTGGAGTTCAGTGTGGTGACTCATCAGTCTCTCTAAGGGGACTTGTCTGCTGGCTGATGGAGGGAGAGCTTTTGAAAGGGAGCCTTGCAGTGCAAGATTACAGCACTGAGTTAGCCTTGGCTGAAAAGCTTATTATCTCAACCGCTTCAGCTTATTATCTTGACAAATGGCTTGCTGCTTCCCTCCGCTATTGCTTTATGTGTGCTTCGGCTAGTGCTGAACTTGTAGCCTGGAACTGAATAGATCGAGCCGAATCTTGGTAAAATGCAGGATTATGAATACTATGTGGAGCTTCCATGCTCATATGCCACAGAAGCAGGATGCTGAACGTTTGTCAAGTCCAACAAGGCTCTTTTTGGGTTCTTACAACTTTCTGTATATCGCGGTCCTGGGCAAGAAAAGCAAGCAAGCACAGAATTGCAGCTTTTAGCACAGAATATTCAGCATGATACAAGGGACGCGGGTGGCGCTGTGGGTTAAACCACAGAGCCTAGGACTTGCTGATCAGAAGGTCGGCGGTTCGAATCCCCACGACGGGGTGAGCTCCCATTGCTGGGTCCCTGCTCCTGCCAACCTAGCAGTTTGAAAGCACATCAAAGTGCAAGTAGATAAATAGGTACTGCTCCAGCGGGAAGGTAAACGGCGTTTCCGTGCGCTGCTCTGGTTCGCCAGAAGCGGCTTAGTCATGCCGGCCACATGACCCGGAAGCTGTACGCCGGCTCCCTCGGCCAATAAAGCGAGATGAGCGCCGCAACCACAGAGTCAGTGGTGACTGGACCTAATGGTCAGGGGTCCCTTTACCTTTATTCAGCATGATGGCCATGTTCCACCTCTGCTGTTGGAGGCAGTATGCCTCTGAATACCGCTTGTTCGTGGGCAGAGTGCTGTTGAGCTTAGGTCCTACTTCTGTGTCTGTCACAGGCATCTGATTGGCCACTTGCGAGCACAGGATGCTGGACCAGATGGGCCATTGGCCTAATCTAGTTGGCTCTTATGTTCTTATCTACCCCCACAAAACAGGAGAAATGATGCAGTTTACAAGTGGGGAGGGCTTCTTGTTTGACTCTGGTCCTACTTCTCACAGGCATCTAGTGGGCCATTGTGAGACTAGGATGCTGGACTGAGGGGGTGGGCAGGGGAGCTTTGGCCTGATCCAGCAGGGCTGCTCTTATGTTCTTAGAGAGGTTAGATAAATTCAGCAGCCTAGGCACTCAAACAGAGATTGGGAAACAGGTTTTGGGACTTGAAATCCCTTCGGCCCCAGCACGCCTGAGGGCCCCACCATCTCCACCAAGGACTTAACAATGGGCATTAGGTGTATTTGATGTGCATTTTAATGAATGGAATAGAGTGAAAGGTTATGAGTCTTTGAGTCGTGTGGAGTGTGGAGTGTGTATGTATGAACTTAACAGTGCTCAGCTTATTTTTTCAGTTGCTGCTATAGATCATAAATGCCATATTGATTTGTTAATCATACAGGCAGCCCCCCATTTGTTCGGGGGCTACATTCCAAGGCACTGCACACACCAGTGAAATTGTGTATAATTGAAATCCATTGAAAAAGCCTTCAAACGCCCCGCCTCCATTCTGCCCTTTTAGTGATGTTTCAGTGATGTCTTTATGACGTTTTAGGGTCACTTCCGGCGCAATGCGTGTATGCACAGTCGTGTGTATATTGAATGCGATTAAACAGGGCTCTCTGCCTGTATAATATTGACCTTTGCTACAATTATGACGTTGATCTTATTTTTTAGTTGCTGCTTTGCTAACAGGGTTTTATAGATTGTAATTGTTTCATTGGTATTTTTAAATTATTTTATATGATTTATGCTTAATTTGTGGTGCTCTTGTTATGTTACTGCTATTTATTGTTTGTCGGCCACTTTGGGATTTATTTGAATGAAAAGCAGCATAGAAATTCCATCAATCCATCAATCAGTTACCAGTGCCAATGGTCAAGGATGATGGGAGGCTAGCAATATCTAGAGCAGCAGTTCTCAACCTTTGGGTCCCCAGATGTTGTTAGACTACAACTCCCATCACCCTTGAGCTCTGGCCTTGCTAGCTAGGGGTGATGTAAGTTGTAGTTCAACAACATCTGGGGACCCACAGGTTGAGAAAGGGTGATCTAGAGGGTCATGAACCCATCATCCCTGCTACAAAACCTTTACTCAGAAGTTGAGTTTAGGAGAACTGTACATTGATGGCAAAAGAGATCTGTCATAGCTTGAGATGTGGGAACAACCGTCAACATTTTACTGCTCCTGACCTCCCTCTTCATATTTACTTTTCCATCAGATCTCCATTCAGGAAGGACACAAGCCAGGATCTGTGATGGAGGAGAATGACAGCAGCCTCGATTACCAGTCAGAGCCCAGCCTAGATATCCCCAACTACCGGAAGAGTTCCCTTCACAAGACTTACCAGTCGTCCCCGCTGCAGATAGATTCCTTTGCTGTCAACTCGAGGTCTTTGAGCCTGAAATCTGCCAGCAGGAGAGGAGGAACAGACAAAATGCCCCTGCATCCCATGAAGTCAGAAGGGGCCACCTCCACACCTTACAAAAGCATCTTTTCCCCCAACTCCCTCTCAAACAGGAATGGGAGCTTGTCGTATGACAGCTTGCTCAACCCCATGTCCCCCTCAGGAAGGAGGTGCATAGCTCATTCCGCCGTGGGCTCCGTTGGGTACCACTCACCGTACCTGTCTGCCAAAATGTGCCACCTGCGGGGCAGGGAGCTTCAGCGCGTGCCCCCGCAGAGCTTCAGCCCTGTGCTGGGCAGCTCGGCCCTGCACCCACGTGACCCCTCGCCAGTGCGCTACGACAACCTATCGAAAACAATCATGGCATCCATTCAGGAGAGGAAAGAAATGGAAGAGAGGGAGAAACTCCTCCTCTCTCACCCAGACTCGGTGTTTGCAGACTCTGGTGTGTACGACACCCCTAGCTCCTACAGCCTTCAGCAAGTCAGCATGCTGTCAGAAGACCCCCGTAGCATAGTCATGAGGTATGGCTCTAGGGACAACCTGATGAGCGGCAACAGCTTTAGCGTGAGGAATCCTGTGCTGCAGGCATCCGTTTCTTCGCTCTCAAGTGCGATGACCAGAACGTCAAGGACTTCCACTCCTTCCCTCCAAGCTGACCTAGCCAATAACAATGTCCAGGCCCATCAGGCATTGCAGGGCAGGATGAGCAATGGCTCCTATAAGTCACCCAGCCACCAAGTCCCATCATCCCCTGGGGGGATTCCCAGGTCGCCCTCTTATGGAGGCCCTAAAGCTGTCTCCTTCGTTAACACCATGGAGATAACAGAGGCACAGCCTATGGGGACTCCAAGGTACGGATAAGCTTTCATATCACTGTTGTTGTTGACAGCAGGCATGCAAGAAAAAGGGGGAAGAAGCACTTCAAATGAACAAAGAGTGCTTTGGTGCTCACTGATGAAAGACTTGTTATTATAGCTCAGTGCCTCTCAGAGTATATATAAAAAAAGCAAAACTCCTTGAGCTTGACATCTCTCTCTCTCTCTCTCTCTCTCTCTCTCACACACACACAGAGAGAGAGAGAGAGAGAGAGAGAGAGATTCTTAAAATCTAGCCAACTATAGAAACATATTGAAAAAGGAGTACAGAAATAACTAAATGATTAAATCTTTGTCCACCTTTTTCAAGCTGTTTCTGTAGTTGGGTATATTTTAAAAGCAGAAGTCCCCCCCCCCCCGCTTTTTTTAATGAAAATAAATAAATTCTCAAGCCTCTGAAGCTTCTAAGGAAGGCACTGAGCAATAATTAAGGGCCTTTTGTAACATCCCATGGAGAAAGAGGCAGGACTCATCTGAAGTTGCAGGACCATGGATAGCTCCAAGTGAGCAACGTGCTCCAACAAGGGTTGGGGATCAGGCTGAAGCCTTGGGAAATGCTGTTCCCAGGCTCTGCCCCCTGCTGGGGAATGCCATAGCTTTCAAGGGCCAATCATGTGATCTGGAGACGGGCACTTCTCTGTTCCATAACCTCCCTCCTGGTGCCCTCCTTGCATTGCTGGCCCAGCGGCATGCAGGGGGAGGCATCTGGCTCCAGGCCCTGATCCTACGGGCCCTGCTATTCTGAGAGGTTCTTCTGGGATCTCCTGTCTGACAGCCTCAAGCACAGTAGATTTCTGATCTCCAGCAGTCACCTCACAGCCCTGAACTCTTTAGCTGGTGCCTCTGACTCTCTGTGTCTGGATTGCTGGTGAAACCAGGGTTAAGACACCACCTGTGGCACTCCTGATGTCTGCGTAGAGGTGCTGCATATAGGATTGCAGTGTTAACCATTAATTAACTAATTATTAATTAATTAATTATTCTTCCTTTCTCCTAGTTCAGGACCTAAGGCAGCTCACAATATGAATTAAAAACAGATAGAGTGGGTTTTTTTATTTTAAAAAAATCACCCACCCGTTATAAATATATAGCGACCTGGATCGAGGATATCTGCTGGACCTAATGCTAACCCTTTATGAGCTAATGTGTTGGGATTTCTTTGCCTAAAGATATGCGGTACAGGCAGCAGCTCGTTTTAAAATTGGAAGGACAATTCCTGGGATAGTTCCCGGGGAATGTAGCAGTTTCATTTGAATGATGTGTGGGAACGTGCAATTTTTTTAAAACAACAACAATAACTGCATTTTGCCATGTTTGCATTGGAGTAGAATAACATTTAGGTTTTCCTGATAAGTGTATGAAATCCTCCTTTCCTCACACTTGTAAGGGGTGGACCTGGCATTTCTGAAGCATTTCATTCTCAAGTAGTATGTTAGCGCCTGTCTTACTGGACGTGGAGAAGGCAAACATGGGTTGAAATACTTACTGAGCCATGAATATTACTAGGTGGCATTGGGTCATGGGCTGACCTACCTCTCAGGGCTATTGTGAGGATAAAGTGGGACAACCTCATGTATGTCTTCTTGAGCTCCTTGGAGGTCAGGCAGATAACATTCAGAAATTACAGTGACAGGACTTGGTATGTTTGTGTGTTTCTCCTGAAGCTGAAGCCCAGCTTCCCCACCACCTTTGACAGCTAAATGAGACCAGGGCCCTGCAGGATTTAACTTCCTTCCACAGGGCCTGTAAGACAGAGCTGTTGCACCTGGCTTGCAATCTGAACTTAGCCTGATCTTTTATTGCCCTTCCTTCCCTCCCCCTCCCCATTTTATGAAGATTACCTGCTCTGGGATCCCACAGCTACTGTATTTTTTGCTCTATAAGACTCACTTTTTCTCTCCTAAAAAGTAAGGGGAAATGTGTGTGCGTCTTATGGAGCGAATGCAGGCTGCGCAACTATCACAGAAGTTATTATTAGATCAGTCAGCGAATCAAGTTGCAGTTCATTAGACACTGCCTTTTGCCATGCTTCAACTGAGCTGCCCAATGTTGAAAAATAAATAAAATGGCACATATCTGTTAAATTAAATGTATGCCCATACTTCACTCTCTTCTTAAACCAGATTTTTTTTTTAAGCGTTGAGTAAAGACTGCTTTGAGTATGTGGGTTAGTGATATTTCAGCGAATCCGTCCTGTACACAGCATGTTTTCGTTCACCATAAACACATGGAACCATTTTCTTCTGAGCTAATTCCATATCACAAAGATGGAGACTTGTGGCCCTCCAGACGTCGTCGTACTGCACCTCCCATCATCCCCAGCCAGCATGGCCAATGTTCAGGGATGATGGGAGTTGTAGTCCGGCATCTAGCGGGCTACAGATTCCCCATCCAATGCCATAGGGAAAAAAGCTGTCTTCCTAAACAAAACTCAGTGACTACACTCCAACAATGGTTCACAGTGGCGTAGCGTGGGGGGTGCAGGGGGGGGCGCGCTCGCACTCGCAGCTCTCTGCCCCTACCTGGCTCACTCACTCTCTCTCACTGCAGTGCTGGCTGTGCGAATCCGAGGGGGTGGGTGCCAGGCGTGCGGTGTGGAGAGAGAGCGAGGGACTATCTGGGGGAGGGACAGTGCAGCGCCGCCCAGCGCAGCGCTGAGCGCGGGAGAGAACCACACCAGACCAGACCAGGCAGCAGCAAGAAGAAGCTGGCAGCGGCGGCAGGTTAGGGGTTAGGGGGCGCAAATTACTTGCCTTGCCCCGGGTTAGGGGGCGCAAATTACTTGCCTTGCCCCGGGTGCTGACAACCCACGCTACACCGCTGATGGTTCATATTAGGTCTTTCTGTCTGCTAAGCAAGTGGCTTTTGCGAATGTGTTCTCTTGGCTGTTCTTTGCAGAACCAGAGCATAAACAACCTCTTGGAAGTTTATGTTGAGCTTTGGCTGCTGTTGCTTTCTGTCTACTAACTCCCAATCCCATTGTCTTTCTTCCAACACAGGGAAGACATCCAGTTGAAGACACCTCACAGTAAAATTAATGGACAGCCAAAAGGAATTTCCAGAGTAGAGTGTCGACTAGGTTCAACGTCTAGCTCTCAGGGGCCCCCCATGAGTCCTGCTAGACACTCAAACGTTAAGAAAGTGTCTGGAGTGGGTGGAACAACCTACGAAATTTCAGTATAAAAAGAAATTCGTAATATAAAGAGCCATCCGCAAACCCAGCCGTGAAGCTAGGTGCACTGTGAAGAGTCACACAATAATGCCAACAAGATGAAAAGTAGGAGCAGCAGCTGATGGTGACCTTTCTGTATTATTTTGTGTTGTTTTTATTAAAAAAAAAATACATACACACAATCTTTTTTTTTTCCTGGCCAAAAACCAGCTGCAGCCTTATTCTTGAAGGAATCAGACTTTGTACAGCTCATTGGAAACTATCCTGAACAGACAATTGGGAACTAATTTAACATCTACTGACATATGGCACCACAATTCAGAGGTTTTTTGGGGTTTTTTGTGTGTGGAAGAGAATGGGAAAGCTATTGTGCGTTTGTCTCTGTCCACCAAACCTTGTCATGTGGACATTGTCGTGCTGTAGTCTAAAAACAATTTCATGTGGGCTTAGTGTTTTCTCTTAAACTCTCCAGGGTTGACGGAAAAGAATATGAAGGAGCAGCTGGGCCCAACAAGGGTTTTATATATTTGGGTAGTGGGTTTGGCCTACAAGTGATCAAACTGTTCAACTGTTTGGAGAAGTTGAGTATGTAGCAGACCGTTGCCCCCAATCAGCAGGGTTGGCTTGTTCCTTGCCTACAATGGTTTCTGGTTCATTTCTGGGGAGAATGCAGATTCCTTGTGCCTGTCCTCATGTTCATGAGGACAGATCTGCTTCTTCCATTGGAATGAATGGGGAAGCTCACACGTACATTTGAAGGTCCTGCGCACGAGTGACCATGTATGGATCTCTGCATTGGTGAGCAAACACATGAGGAAGAACTCCCAAGTGATGTTGATTGTATCCCTCTTCAACTGAAGGAGGCCAGTGGGTTCCCAATAGTCATCCAGCAACCGTCTTGGAGACTGGTCTATATGGGCAAAATAAGGAAAGGGGCAGTTTTTTAGTTACCCTATTGCCATTTGTGGTCGTGTAGGAGATTCTGTGTCAACAACTGCATCTGTCCATGTCCTAGAACCGTTAAACAAGTAAGGAACTTCCATTCTTCCTTGGACAATTTTAGGTAGGTTTTTTTAAAAAAAGAAAAAAGCCTGTCTTGCTCAAGAGAGAGAGAGAGAATCAAATATTCAGATGGTAACCTATTAATGTAAACAGCCATCTTCCTCCTCTTTTTGTGCTACTGGAGATGGGCTGTAATACAGTGTGTTGTCTTGCACAGGTGCAGTGTGTATACTCTCAATGCAAGGTATTATATGATCTGTTGAAATTTGCTGTGTGTGTGTGTGTGTGTGCACGCACATGATTGCGTGCGTAACTGATAGTGTGTGATTGTCAGCCGGGCACGTGCCTGTAGGAGATAAATTTTATTGCTTGCCTGATGATCAGTGAACGCTAAATATTTAGAGACAAGTCAGGTATATTCCAGTGCTGGTGCTCACAGTGGCTAGAGCTCACATGAATGCGAATCTGGAGACAAAAGAAAATCCTCAAGCGTCTTGTTTACAAAGATTCAAGATGTTCGTTCTCTGAATTAGAAAGTGTTTCTTCTCCTGCCACCCCAGAGTTGTCAATCACAGACACTATTGGATTTGCACGTTTTTGGAGAAAAGCAAGTTGTAAAAGCATTGCATTTAGGGACCTGATGCTTAACGTGATTGCCTTAAACCTTTCTTTTTTATTATTCAAATGATTTCTTTTATAAGTGTCCCTAAGTGAAGGGGTAAGAATTTTAAAAAGTTTAACCTCTACATCCAGGTGTATAAATGAGAGGTGACAACAGAGACCATTTGCAGGAGACCTGAATGAGATCATGACTACAGTGCTGAGTAGGGAGGAGGTAAATCCTGTTTTATTTACTAATTAAAAATGGCCTCCATTAAGTTTGTATTTGTTCTGTGCAGGGAAACCTGGAGGTTTTCCCTTGCAGCACAACCACCAGCTACGAGGCAAGGGAGTCTCCAAATAATAGCTGAAACAGTGATGTCAGGTGCCAGTCGAACTGGTAGGGTAGAAGGCAGGGAGGCCAACAGTAGGTGGCGCCAGAGCAAATGACAAGCAGAGCCAACTTATTCTATTTAGTCCCTATCCTCCTCCCTACTGTGTTTTACAAGGGCAACAGTTAGACTAGGGCAGAGGAAGGTGACAGTCGGTGCAACCTCTGAATTGGTTGTAAGTAAGGAGGGAGGCAAGTAGGGATTGGCTGAGGGCAGACTGAGGTTGGTGGGGGAGTACCCTTTCGCCCTAATGGACCAACAGCCATTGAGTGGAAAAGTTAGCCCCTGTTTCCTCAGCAGAAGACGGAAAGATGCCTTATGCCTTGTATTTGTTCATCTAGTATTATCTGCCCTTACTGTCAGCGGCCCACCAAGGGTCTCAAGTAAAGAGTCTCGCCCATTGGCTGATCCTTCCACCCAAATCTTTTTCAAGCTGCAGGTGCCTGGAATTGATTCTGGGACTGCCTCTACCACTAATCTAGGATCTCACTGCAGCGCCAACAATCCTGATCTTATTCTTGCCCCCTCCCTGCATTGCTGCATATAATCACGCACATCAAATTAACTAAACACGGCAATAAATACAAACACACACAACTTCAGCGGACCATGCAGCCAAGTCACGTCCAGCTGACACTCAAAACAGCTCTGCTTTCAAAAACTTGAGTGTTTTGTTTTAGCATATTTAGGCCCTCTCAGTCGAGAGCCCTTCAGCCGGCACTGGCACCCTGCAAATTCACACAGCTGGTGACAGCCACAGCTGGCTTCCTCTCTGCAGGGTGGTTTTGATAGAAGAGGCATGGATCCTTCTCTGGGGCATGCTTCCGGTCCTTCCGGTCAACTACTGATAACGAATGGGATCCACGTAGGCGGGGAGTGGTGAAGTTACCGTATTTTTCGCCCCATAGGGCGCACCGCCCCATAGGACGCACCTACTTTTTGGGGGGGGGGAAATAAAGGGGGAAAAAAGATTTCCCCCCCAGGCGTGGGGCTGGCACTGGGGGAAGCCCGAGCTTCCCCCAACCCCAGCCCCGAGAACAGCCTGCTATCCGCAAGCCTAGGGAGCCTGGCGGGAAGTCACGCCGGTCTCCCAAGGCTTGCGGAGAGCTGCGTGAAGCCTGGGGCGCGCTCTTCAGTGCGCCCCAGGCTTCGGAATGCAGGCAGCTCTGCGCAACCCTCGGGAGACCGGCACGACTTCGCGCCGGGCTCCCAAGGGCTGTGCAGAGCTTCCTGAAGCCTGGAGAGCGAGAGGGATCGGTGCGCACCGACCCCTCTCGCTCTCCAGGCTTCAGCGAAAGCCTGCATTTGCCCCATAGGAAGCACAAATATTTCCCCTCCATTTTTGGAAGGGAAAAAGTGCGTCCTATAGGGCGAAAAATACGGTAATCCTTTCCTCCTCTGCTGCCACCAGAGGAAACTCCTTAATCTGGAGGTGACGTTTGCATTGGAAGGAAAGTTACCATTGATATCAGTGGTGGGATTTCCTCCCCAAGTCAATGCATGCTTCAGAAGTGGGGAGGGCCATACTTCAGTGGTGGAACATATGCTCTACATGCAAAAGATCAGGTTCAGACCCCTGCACCTTTGGGTAGGACTGCGACAGAGCCCTGTTTATGACCCTGTAATGCTGTGACCAGTCAGTATAGACAATACTGAGTTAGATGAGCCAATGATCTGACTCAGTATAAGGAGTTCCTAAGAAGGTTTTCTCCCCAGGATGGCCACATCGCAAGAGGAAATTGAATTCCCCCCTCCGCTCTTCTCTTAATCCCATTGTAAATGCGTCATATTCCGCCCCCAGCCTCCAACTGATGGATTTTGCATTTGACTAAACCTGCAGATCAGATGCAAAGGTGTATTCAACACCATGTCTGGTTTGAACCGTCAGTGCCTTTTTAAGTTTTCTTCTCTCATCCTTGTTTCATTATTCTCCCAACTGTTTTGGTTTCTTAGATAAGGGGAGCGGGGGACTGCTAAAAGATTCTAAAGAGGAAACAAAAAAGGCTGAAAAGGTTCTAAGTCTAAACTGCAGACAAACCCCCCCCCCCCCAAAAAAAAGAAGTTTCATGGGAATGGTACAGGATTTTGCACCTGGATAAGCACATCGCTCTATGAGCATTCTGGATCAGGAAATGTTTCATGGCACCTGTGGGTTTGTTTATTTGTTTTGTCATTAGTCTTCGTCTTCTGAAGCCAACTAGCCCTGTGGTTCCGTCTGCCTGGGGTTCTGCTAAAGTGTCAGCGCAGTGGAGGCCATTTGTCAAACTACAATTTTGAGACCCAGAAGCATCATTCTTATCTTCACAGAAAGGTGCAAGGATATTTATTACCGGAATAATGAACTTCCGAGCGAAATTTCAACAGAACATGTGGGCAGTTTTGTGTCATCTCCAATTTGGAAACAGCGCAAGGTCTAGCAGAATGAATACAATCTACTCAGTGCGCACCAAAATGTGTGGCATCCTCTGGTCCTGCCTTCTGAGAGAATAAGGGTAGAGGAATCATAGAAAACTGGGGAGGTGCAGATGGAGGAATGTACAGCTGCATCACATGTTCCATCATGTATGTGGTATGTATGTGTGAGTGGCTGTGCATGCACAGATCTGCCGCCCGAGTGCATGTATGGTTCTGGAGACTTGTGTGAGCCTGCCCTTGCTTCCCTGTAACTGCGCACAGGATCACAGCCTGGGGCTGGAAGGCTCATGCCTGCAGGCTTCACATGGGTATATGTGCCAACAAAATATATGAAGCTAATTTAGTACCAGAGCATGAACTTGGTCCAAGTGTTTCAGCTGATCAGGAAGTTAGACAATGAGTTAGGTAAAGGTAAAGGGACCCCTGACCATTAGGTCCAGTCGTGGCCGACTCTGGGGTTGCGGTGCTCATCTCGCTTTATTGGCCGAGGGAACCAATACAGCTTCCGGGTCATGTGGCCAGCATGACTAAGCCGCTTCTGATGAACCAGAGCAGCACACGGAAATGCCGTTTACCTTCCCGCTGGAGTGGTACCTATTTATCTACTTGCACTTTGACGTGCTTTCGAACTGCTAGGTTGGCAGGAGCAGGGACCCAGCAACGGGAGCTCACCCCGTTGCGGGGATTTGAACCGCCGACCTTCTGATCGGCAAGTCCTAGGCTCTGTGGTTTAACCCACAGTGCCACCCGCGTCCCATAGACAATGAGTTAGCCATGTCCATTAATTTCAGTGGGTCTGCTCTGAGTGGGGTTTACCATTGGATACAAGCTGTGGCTTTGCACTGCGCTGGTGAGGTGGTTCAAATTGTTGCAGTTTTAAAATGGGACAGTGAAAAGCAACAGTGGTGTGCAGAGGGCTGCCTCGGGATATTGGAGCACCAGTATTAATAGTGCTTACTGTTTGAAGACAGGATGTGTGTAATTAGACTACAATGTCACAGCAGGCAAGGGGGTGAGGTCTTCCCTTTCGCTGGCACTGGCAACCTAGCACCTGATCCTTTGCATAATAAGCAAATTCCATATTTTAGGGGAAAGACAAATGTAATGTTTAAGAAGCAATGTGACTAGCCTGGGAATCCTTTTACAGTATTCAGTCCAACCGTAAAGACTCCTTGTCTCCAGGGCAAAACTCTGAAACATAATAATTCTGAAAGTCTGCAGCCAAAGCTGGCTGGCTGTTCATGATGCTGATTGGCTGGCTTTCCATGACATCAGCAAGAAATTTCTCCCTTTCCAATTCTCTGGGATAGTTTTGCACCTACGGCAACAACAGTGGAAAGTCTTGTGGCACCTTATGTTGTGACAAATACATTGTGTTAGAAGCATTCATGGCCCCAGGGCCCACTGCAAAAGAAGATTAACTGGTGCTTGGAGATTATTAGGGCATATAATTCCAATTTTACTTCATCTGCTTTGGTAATCTGTTTGTTTCCAGGCTCAATTTAACGTGGTGATAATTGGCCTTTGAAACCCTAAATGGTTTAGGACTGGATTATCTCAGAAGCTACAGTACCTGCTTTTGTGTGAATCTGCTCAGGCTTTGTAATCAGCCTTACAGGCCCTGAATCTCTACAATATTGTCCAGATGTGAGATCTGGCAGGGAGTGCAGGGCATGAGATACAGAGCCTTTTCTGTGCTGGCACCACAATGAAGAAAGTCCTTTTGGGGCAAATTTGTTAGGCTCCTTCTGTGCCTTTCGATGGATGGTAAAATATTTTCATTCAAGCTAGAATTTAATTAGTGATTAGCATTTAGTAATTGAATACATTATAGTGTGGGTCTTTTCCTGGAGTTTTAGTACTGTTGTCTTTTGACTGTTGTTTTGATGGAGGTATTATTCTACTGTTTTGTTTTCCCTTTTTGGTAAGCTGCTTTTGTTATCTGTTCATTGTTTGTATTCTGTTCTGTTCCTAAAATAACTGCAATCCTATGCATGCCTACTCAGAAGTAAGAGAAGCAAGCCCATTGGTAGGCAAACTAAGGCCCGGGGGCTTGATCTGGCCCAATCGCTTTCTCAATCCGGCCCGCAGACGGTCCGGGAAGCAGCATGTTTTTACATGAGTAGAATGTGTCCTTTTATTTAAAATGCATCTCTGGGTTATTTGTGGGGCCTGCCTGGTGTTTTTACATGAGTAGAATGTGTGCTTTTATTTAAAATGCATCTCTGGGTTATTTGTGGGGCATAGGAATTCGTTCATATTTTTTTTCTTTTCAGAATATAGTCTGGCCCCCCACAAGGTCTGAGGGACAGTGGGCCGGCCCCCTGCTGAAAAAGTTTGCTGACCCCTGCAAGCCCATTGAGTTCAATGGGACAATGCAGTTGTGTATGAGCTTGCAGACTAATCTCATCAGATGCATTGTGAATTCAATGAAGAAGGTTCTCAGGGTCATGAAAGTCTGTATCCTAATAAATGTGTTAGCATTTAAGGTGCAACAAGATTTATTATGGTTTTGGCTTCAGTAGGTTAGGGATAGCTACCGTATTTTTTGCTCTATAAGACGCACCAGTCCACAGGACGCACCTAGTTTTTGGAGGAGGAAAACAAGAAAAAATATATTCTGAATCTCAGAAGCCAGAACAGCAAGAGGGATCGCTGCGCAGTGAAAGCAGCAATCCCTCTTGCTGTTCTAGCTGCGCAGCCTGCATTCGCTCCATAAGATGCACACACATTTCCCCTTACTTTTTAGGAAGGAAAAAGTGAGTCTTATAGAGCAAAAAATACGGTAAATCATTCAGTTTCTGGACCATCTCACTTCCATAAGTGTTCACGCAAGTCCCTTCTGCTGTGCCCTGTTTCTGCATTCATCTTCAATTAAAAAACAACTGCTCAAAGGTTTGCGTTTAAGTACATATTTAAATATGTATTTTTGAACACATTTTCTATCAAAATATGCATTCCTATTTTGATATTTTTTTTAAAAAAAAACTAAAACTTGAGAGCTGCATTGCAAAATTTGGCAAAATGCAAAGACAAATGGCTGGCTGTGTTCCCAGAGTTGTTGCTATGTACTTAACAGATTTGGGACAGGGGCCCAAATACACAGAAATGCATAAAATTAGCATATGCTGATTTGTATGAATAGAGTCAAATTTAAAATATAAATGTCACACGCTAGCTAATTTCCCACTCATTCCTACTCATTGCACCCAATTCCCCTTCCCTCACCTCCATTCATTAACCCCAGATCATCTCTAGATAAAGCCATCTCAAATCAATTTATCGTCCTCAAAAAATGATGATGATGATGATGATGATGTACCCAGTGACCTAGTTCACCCCCCATTACCCAACCCAGAAACACTCAGAGCACTTAGGAAGAGATTTGAGGCCTTGTCATCCCATCTGTGACAACACCCCTGTTTGTTCCAATCCACACACTAGGTTAGGTAAAGGTAAAGGGACCCCTGACCATTAGGTCCAGTCGTGGCCGACTCTGGGGTTGCGGCACTCATCTTGCTTTATTGGCCGAGGGAGCCAGCGTACAGCTTCCAAGTCATGTGGCCAACATGACTAAGCCGCTTCTGGCACACCAGAGCAGCACATGGAAACGCTGTTTACCTTCCTGCTGGAGTGGTACCTATTTATCTACTTGCACTTTGACGTGCTTTCGAACTGCTAGGTTGGCAGGAGCAGGGACCGAGCAATGGGAGCTCGCCCCGTCACAGGGATTCGAACCACCGACCTTCTGATCGGCAAGTCCTAGGCTCCGTAGTTCCAACTAAATTCTACTCAGAGTAGACACATTATAATGAAAGCACCTAAGTTAGCCATGTCCACTAATTTCAGTGGGTCTACTCTGGGTATGTGCACAATCTATTCATTCAAGCGTCGTCGTTCAAACTGGTTCATATTGGAACTCACAAAGATGGAATCTTGCCTCACCACAGACGCAACCAAACTAGTGCAGCAGCCTCCTTTGGATTTTTTTTCTTAATGTTTAAAAACACACACAATAAGGCAGCAAATAACTTAAGCACATGGGTGCTAATTGCAGTGCTCTTAAAACTTATTTTTAATATGTAAAGGGGGCAGCTGGTGCTCAGAGAGACTGGCAGTGGTGCCAGTTTTTGATTCACTGCATTGCACTCATGTCCTTTCAAGCTGTGAAGCCCAAACGGCTGAAAGGCCTTTATCTATTATGTATTGACTTCACCTTTTAACTGATTTAGAATGCAGCCTAGTTTACTGAAATGTCAGCCAAGTGATAGCAGTGCTTACCTGACTTTGTGGGGGAAATATCAGCTACAGATGATTGGTAAAGGTTAACTTCAGTGTTGCCCACTGAAGAGACACACCTGAGACTTCAGAATACCTGCTCAAAGTTAAGACCATGGGTAGGCAAACTAAGGCCCGGGGCCCGGATCCGGCCGAATCGCCTTCTAAATCTGGCCCACGGACGGTCCGGGAATCAGCGTGTTTTTACATGAGTAGAATGTGCCCTTTTATTTAAAATGCATCTCTGGGTTATTTGTGGGGCCTGCCTGGTGTTTTTACATGTGTAGAATGTGTGCTTTTATTTAAAACGTATCTCTGGGTTATTAGTGGGGCATAGGAATTCATTCATTTCCCCCCAAAAAATATAGTCCGGCCCCCCACAAGGTCTGAGGGACAGTGGACTGGCCCCCTGCTGAAAAAGTTTGCTGACCACTGGGTAAAACTATGGACTGTATCCAATGCTAGTCCAGTGCAGAGCAGGCCCATTGAAACGGATGCACATGACTAATTTTGGTGCATTAACTTCAATAGGTCTACTCTGAGTAGCACTTAGTTAGATAAAACCCTATTTTTATGTGGGGGTTGGGTGATTCTGAAGCTTTCATTGCCAAGCTGCAGTAGCTGTAGGGATAGAGGTTGAAAACTGAATGCATTTGGGGGAGACATATCATTAGGTTAAGATGTATGATGGATCCGTGCACACACAAGCTGCAAACAGTAGCTTGTTAAATCCAGACACAAGACTCCTCTGGGATGGGGAGATACATTTCATATTAATAGGCTTATGATAGCCACAGATTCCACCCCCCCCTCTTCTTCTTTGAAGTTTGCATTTAAAATAGCCTGAATGGCCCAGAGACGACAGTAAATTATTCAAATCTTCCTGGAAGTCTGCATCTGCAGATTAGCATTAACCTGAAAAAAGGCAGAGGCACCCAGTTCTGCCCTATTTCTGTCTAATGCTGTGATTCTAAATACATCTGCTAAGACGAAAGGCCCAGAGAGTTCAGCACAGTTTTGGTGCACGTACGGGTTAGGATGAGCTTGTCAGGTGTCAATCCAGAGATTCCTTCCGTTTTGCTAAATTTGCCACTGAATTGGGTAGGTTTATGGTGGCAAACCATAAAGACAGTGGAAGACAGAAGTGCCTGGCGTGCTCTGGTCCATGGGGTCACGAAGAGTCGGACACGACTAAACGACTAAACAACAACAAATGGTGGCAAACAGGATTGCAGGGGTGTCCGTGGTAGGTGGGGGAGGGAATGGACAAAAGGTGGAAGGTTGTGGAAAGACAGGATAGTTTCCTGAAGCAGTAATAGATTTACAGTGGTACCTCTGGTTATGTACTTAATTCGTTCTGGAGGTCCGTTCTTAACCAGAAACTGTTCTTAACCCGAAGCACCACTTTAGCTAATGGGGCCTCCTGTTGTTGTTGCTGCGGCGGTGGCGGAGCATGATTTCTGTTCTCATCCTGAAGCAAAGTTCTTAACCCGAGGTATTATCTCTGGGTTAGCGGAGTCTGTAACCTGAAACGTATGTAACCCGAGGTACCACTGTAAATAGATACCTTTGGATCAGCACTTAAGCTGTGGATCTCTTATGGTTCCGCGCATGCTTCTAAAACTTCGGTCACAAACATCACTGGAACAAGAGGCTGCACATGGCACCCTATATGAACAGGGCTATTGCATCCCATAAAAGTTTACAATTCATAGGTGCCAGTTTTGATTCGCACACAAGCTCTGATCCAGCCAGGCTTGTCTCAACCAAGGTGCTCTGAAGACCTGAAGGGGTTGTTTCTCTGTGTACTGATTTGGTCTCTCTCTCTTTTGTCAGTAATATTATTTATTGCATTTGTTTGTCGTTTTGTTTAAAAAAAAATAAAATGCTGCAGGGCAACTTAAGAGGAAGATAAAGTACCAACAGATAAAATAAAATAAAAGCCAAAAAAATTTTAAAAAAAGAACACTGCCATGTGCTTATCCAAAAATAGAATTAAAAAATATGAATCCTATCCCACCCCGCTAAAAGCTGAGCACCACAATTAAGGCTAGAATCACGCAGAAGTATGATTTCAAAACCATAAACCACCAATAGCCTGGGTAAATAAAAATGTCTCTTAAGCCAGTGTCTAAAAAGTGACAATAATGATGCTAGGGCTGTTTCTTTGGCAGTGGGGTGAGCCCTGAAATAGCCCGTTCTCCATTGAAAAGAGCCTATCCAGCATCAACTGTAAGCAGGGGGGTGTCGGGGAAGGACAGAGCAAGAGAAAATGGAGGGAATTGCTTCTCCTCCTTTAGGTTACCCATTTACCTGGCAATTGCTGAAGTAAAGGTAAGGGACCCCTGACCATTAAGTCCAGTCGTGACCGACTCTGGGGTTGCAGCGCTCATCTCGCTTTACTGGCCGAGGGAGCCGGCGTACAGCTTCCAGGTCATATGGCCAGCATGAGTAAGCCGCTTCTGGCAAACCAGAGCAGCACACGGAAACGCCGTTTACCTTCCCGCCAGAGTGGTACCTATTTATCTACTTGCATTTTGATGTGCTTTCGAACTGCTAGGTTGGCAGGAGCTGGGACCAAGCAACGGGAGCTCACCCCGTTGCGGGGATTCGAACTGCCGGCCTTCCAACCGGCAAGCCCTAGGCTCTGTGGTTTAGACCCATGTCCCAAAGCAAATGGTATCCCATTATTATAAGACTTAGGGCATATGCTCTGATTTCACATACACCCCATTGGATCTTGGCTAACTCTTTTAACTATCGGGGGACACAGGCATCCAATCAAGTTCAAGCAAGCTGGTGTGTTTTTCCAGCTCCTGATTGGGTAAAACAAAGGCCGATGTGAGAATGAAGCTACAATCCTATAATCTGGGAGTCAAGTCCCATTGAACTTGGTAGGGCTCACTTGTGACTAGTTATGTATGGGATTGCTCAGTCATTTATTCTGGTTGGTTAAATTAGATGGAGTCACCTATGGGAGCCATAACAAAACATGCCAAAGATGTAACTTGGGTTCCCCTCATTCTGGTGTTCTACACCAGCCATGGATCCTTTATTATGATCAAGGCAGAATAAGCTGACAATAAATGATCGAGCGCAGGTAAATCTTAGTTTTCTCAAAGCCTGTCCTTCAAACACCCTTTCAAGCAAATCTTTGGTGGGAGAAGCAGGACCGACGAAAGGAAATGTTTCGCACAGTGTGATAATGGAAAATGCAATCGCAAGATGTCTCAGTTACCATCAGTGTGGACAGGGATTGGACAAATTCATGACAGATCAGGCTATCAGTGGCCAGGAGTCATGAGGCTATGTACTACCTCCAGGACTGGAGGTGAGGCTGTATGCTGCACTCAGGTCCTGCTTATAGGCTTACAGGTGCATCAGGTTGTCACTATGAGAACAGCATGTTGGACCAGGTAGGCCTTTGGTCTGATCCAGCAGGAATCTTATTACGTTCTTAAATGTGGTCCGTACAATTCAGCTTTTGCATTGAAGTCTCCATCTTACTGAAGAAACAGCAATAGTTTTGCATTGCAGATTTTGGGGTATGCCATCCCGTCTCCTCCCATCACTGTCATTTCACTGAGTTGGGCAAACTGCAGTATTGTAGCTTGAATTCACGATAAAAGATGCTGAGATTTCTGGCATTATGTGGGTTTTATATTTGCAGAGAGAGAGAGAAAGAGAAAGAGAGAGAGATTAGTTTTGATTTTTTTGATTATTTTTTTTAACTTGAAGCCTTAACATTTTACTTCTTTGTCTGAATTAGCAACGGAGAACAGTTTATGAGAGACACTCCATGTACTATGTTTCTGCTTGGGTTGAAGACCAGAATTTACCCTGATATGCTTTTTTTAAAAAAAAAAATCTAGTTGATGATGACAAAGAAAAGGGCTCTTGCAATGTTAAGGATGGGAGAACAGAGAACATTCCTTTCGGATATATATTTTTCATGGGAATGGCTGACAAGTTTTCAACTGTGTTTTCAGAGGTATCAAAGAGATTCCCAAGGCCTTTATTATTTTGTATATATATATATATAAATATATATATAAGTGAAATGAATTAATCTTTCGGTAGATAACCTCAACTGTAAAAAAAACCCAACAACCACACATACATGCACACATGAAAACTATGCAGATGTATGCTTTAATGTTGAAAATCCGATGTGCAGCAGCAAAGTTGGCTTGCTGAAGAAGGCAAACCCAGGATTGTGTAAATATTTGCCCAGGTTTATTGTATTATTGGGACTACAAGGGAGCCTCTCCCAAGTGAGGACTACATGCCTGTAGGAGGACCCTAAATCAGGAATGGGGAAACTGTGGCTCTCCCAGATGATGATGGACTACGGCTGCGATCATTCCATGCTATTGGCCATGGCCAACTGAGGTTCATGGGAGCTGGAGCCCAACAGCAACTGGAGGAGTTCCAGGTTCTTCATCCCTGACCAAAATGGTGGCCACTAAAGTGTTTGGAGTGATCTACACCAGAGCCTAAAAGATAAAGACAAAACTGACTGGAAGACTGGAGGCAATGTTGTTACCAAGTGCATGGTTTGAGGACCTTGTCGTTGGGATCTCTTTAACAGTCTGTATTTCACCTGTTCTACTACCTTGAATTTTTGGAATGTATCTGTGCAGGCTTTGTGGACCTCCGTCTGTAATTCTAATTTCTGTGGCTCTCAATACATATGTATATATTTTTCAGCTTCTTGAGTTAATGTGGTTGTTTTTTTGAGGGGTGTGTGTGTGTAAAATTGCAGCATTTAAGCACTTTGTTTTGACTTATCGACATAGTGGGTTCTGGGAAAGAGGCGCAAAAGTACCTCATACCACAATTTTGTATGGGATATAAGGAGCTGTATGCTGAATCAGACCACTGTTCAATCTTGTTAGTCCATTACTGTCTCTTCTCCACTGTTCTGGCTCCAGTGTTGGAGGAAGTATGCCTCTGAAGGCCAGTATCTGGGAATCACAAGTAGGAAAAGTGCTTTTGCTTCTAGGGCCATCTTGCAGGCTTCCTATGGGCAGCTGCCTGGCCTCTGTGGGTACACAATGCTGGATGATGTTTGTATTTTATGTACTGTGTCTAATTAGTAATGGCTCTTGACTGCGCACTATAGTGTCACCAACAAAACACACACCCTGCATAAAGAAGAAAAGAGGGTCCATATTTGCGTAAAATCTGCCTGTGCCAATATATGCACGAATTAGAAATAATCACTATAATTTATGGATCTGCCCTGGCCTTATAACATTTGGTTCAGATCTCTCATCGCTTCAGGGAGAAGCCCAATCTGTTCTGAGACATTCTGTGGTCTGTCCTAATCGACTCATGTGTCAGGTCTGTAGCAACTTCGTTAAAAATGAAACACCATTTCTTCTTATGGGGAATGTATTTAAAATGTCTGTAACTCCCTCCCGCCTTTTGGCAGAAGTAGATGAAATTTGCACACACAGCCACCAGAGTAGATTAAGCCTGCCAAGTTGCAACCGAATAAATCAAGGGCCTGTGGAGGCCAGGCACATTATGGGTGAGTGGCTCCTATACATGGCAGATAACACAGCCTTCACATGTTTAAGAAGAGTGGGATACTCTGGTTGGTCCCAATCCCTCCATCATGTCACAGCGTCCATCCCCATTGTTCTCCTTGTGTCGGAGGGGAAACATTGGCCTTGAGCATCCAGCCATCAGGAGCAGACTTTAGTCTTTAACTTTTCAGCGGCGCCCTGTGCATGCCCAAAATTTGGCGGCACCACCCCACTGTTCACCTTCCTTTCAGCTAAATTCACTGTGCCATAGTTGTGATGCCCTGTGTCACCCCCTAGGCTCGGTGCCCAATGTAGTAGAAATGGTCGTGCTACTATAAGTCTGCCTCTGCTGTTATACAGTGGTACCTCGGGATGCGAACGTGATCCGTTCCAGAGCCCTGTTCGCATCCTGAAGAAGAAGAAGAGTTTGGATTTGATATCCCACTTTATCACTACCCGAAGGAATCTCAAAGCGGCTAACATTCTCCTTTCCCTTCCTCCCCCACAACAAACACTCTGTGAGGTGAGTGGGGCTGAGAGACTTCAGAGAAGTGTGACTAGCCCAAGGTCACCCAGCAGCTGCATGTGGAAGAGCGGAGACGCAAACCCAGTTCCCCAGATTACAAATCTACTGCTCTTAACCACTACACCACACGGAACGCACGACGCGACGGCGTGTCTGCGTGTGCGCGGGTCGCGTTTCGCCGCTTCCACGCATGCGCGTGACGTCATTTTGAGCATCTGCACATGTGCAAGTGGCGAAACCCGGAAGTAACGTGCTCCGTTACTTCCGGGTTGCCGCGGAGCGCAACTCGAATGCGCTCAACCCGAAGCACATTCAACTCGAGGTATGACTGTATTTCCATTGGCTCCCTTTGTGGGGAACCATTGGCCCTCCAGATGTTGCTAAACTACAACTCCCATCGCTAGTCCATTAGAACAAATGGGGCACAGCCCCACCAAACTCAGTTGGTCTTCAGCCAGCCCCCAGCTACCTGCCTTCTTACTTACAACCTGTCCAAACTGGCTGTCAGCTTGCTCCTCCTCAGTCTCGAGTGTTTCCCTTGCAGAACTCGGCATAATGGGGACAAGACAAAAATCAGCTGCCTCTGGCTGTCTCTGTGTTGGGTCAACTTTCGGGCTCCTTGCCTTCCGAACTATCGCTTCCAGTGGCCACGTGGCAAGTGTGCCTGTTTGGCTGAGAGGATGGGCGTTATAGTTCAGCAACATCTGGAGAGTCAAAGGTTCCCAATACCATCATTGTGGGTCCCGACACTCCCACTGCTGCTTGGGGAGAGTACGGGGAAACCGGAGCACCAAAAAGTAAAAGCATCAAAATGAGAAGACATGGAAAGAAAGCCTCTGCCTGGAAGCTGCATTAAACACGCACACCCTTATGCTAATCCCTGCGGACACACTTTGGTGCTATTGTTAGCATCTGTGTGAGAGATGGCCCTGCACGGCCGTCAAGAAGATAATGGGATGGGGTGGAGCAACCGCTGGGCGTAGGAGTAGCACAACCGCAGCTGCACACCAAGTCCTGATTAATAGCCAAGGAAGAGGCACACAATTGGTAAGACAGAGCTTTGGCGTCAGTGTGTGTGTCCCTGCACCAAAACGAATATGAGTTAGGGATCGTTGCAATGTGGAGTGTTTTTTTGTCCAGCCTCCCAGTCTCCCCACTCCATTCGGCCTTCCCTCTGGTTTCCCTCCCCCGGCCTGCCACAGTCAGCTTTCCATCCCCATGGAGCGTGATCAGTCCTCAATGGCAATGAAATATACTCGGAGTAGAGAGTGGATTTTATGCTCTTTATTCAGCTCATAGTGGTGAGGAGGAATGGAAGTTCCCCCAGAATGTCTGCTTTATATACATTATTTACACAATGGGCCCCACGTGATTGGCTAATTCCAGGATTCTCCTGTAGGCCAATAAGGTTGCGGATTCTCTTCCACCTGGAGCTGGATTGGGTGGCTCCTGTAGACCAATCAGACTGCTGCATTCTGGATCGTATTGTTCTAGGACCAATCAGACTGCTGCATTTTGGATCCTATTCAACTCAGTACATAACAGGCAACACACCCTTTTATTTCCACTGGTGGTCTGTGTTCATTAGGACTGATAGGGTGGAAAGCAGGGAGCCCAACAGCAGGTGGCGCCAGAGCCAATGACAGGCACAGCCAACTCATTCTAGTTTTGTCCCCATCCTCATCCCTGCTGAGTTCTGGAGGGGGCAGCAATGAGCTGGAGGAAAAGGAAGCTGACAGGCTATATGTCACCCCTGAGTCTGGTTGGAAGCAATGTTGAACTGCAATTCCCATCACCCCTGCTCATTGGTCAAGCTAACTGTGGCTGTTGAGAGTTGCCCCCAGATGATGCTGGACCTTGGCTACCCCTGGGAGACAGTGTCAGCCATGGCTCCAACCTTTAGAGAGTACTGCCACCATTAGGACTGTCATGGATTTAAGATGGTGGTAAAAATTCTCCGTAGGGAAAATGCTGGAAAATGGCAACATGTTCATCCAAATTGAACGCTGCCCTTTTTGTACATTCCAAAATATATATACATGAAACTTTGGAATTATTTTCCCTCAGGCATGACATTTGTTTAAAACACAGTATGGTGTCGCTCAGCAGAATGCCAATCAACGTCGGTTTTTTAATTTAAAAAAAAAAAATTGGACAAGGACTTAAAAATTGCTATTAGTGAAAATGATTTCACACGTCTGACAGATCTATTTTTAACGAGGGCTCCAATTATGTACTGTCTGATTCTATGAAACAGACTCACTTGCCATTCATATTGAAATATCAGCATTTGTACAATCTAAATCCTTTACAATTGGAAGAGAACCAGCTATAAAAGGCTCAAATGAGTTTGTGTCTGGAAATTATCTCTCGCCAGCATCCCCCAATCTGTTTCAACGTTTTAAAGCAGTCCAGACAAGCTGAACAGCCCTTTTGAGAGTGGGGAGGGTGCTCTCAGGCACTCATTGTATCTGATTACATATAAAACAGGAGTAGCTTGAGAAGGCTGGGGATTAGATTGTCCTTGCACTGGAGTGATTAAAAAAAAACCCACAAGCGGATTCTTTATCCTATGATTCAAAGCTTTTATGTGTGGCCTGAGATTTTCTGAAACTCCAAAAAACCTTTTAATGTTTTTAATTTCCATAAATTTGGGCATACAAGTCACCTAAGGCAGTTTTAAACACAACCCTGTAGACCCCATATCACCTACGAAAAATAAACGTATTCTCTGTTCTTCCCTCCTCTTTCTTTGTTATGCACCAAATTCTAGATTGTAAACTCTCTGGGGCAAAGCTCTGCCATCTTGTGATATATTTCATACACATTTATTGCGCTATTGGATTTGGTTGGCATTCAAACCTGTGGTATGGGAAAGCAAAAGTACATAAAGGATTCCACAATCATATAATCAGAAAGTCCCTTGATAAAGGTATAGTTTTACACTTTTTATCTTTCGGCTTGCCCACAAGAAAGCATTTGCGGCATCTTGCCTCTTTAATGTTGGGGGTCTGTATTACGTTCTTCCCATCCTAGTGTTGTCCTGGACTTTTGCCCTTTTAAATGCTGGGGGTTTTGATCCTAAAAAATGATTAAAATAAAACCCAACAACAACCTCCATTTTAAGCGAGAAAGATTAGTGACAACAATGGCAGGGCAGGGCAGTCTGCATTTTGCTCCCAAGTGGACAACCCCCATTCTTCCTCCAAAGCATACCTGGTTCTCTAAAGGACCACTGGATGGTTAAGTCCAGTCAAAAGGCGATTATGGGGTTGTGGCGCTCATCTCACTTTCAGGCCGAGAGAGCCAGTGTTTGTTCAAAGACAGCTTTCTGGGTCATGTGGCCAGCAGGACTAAACCGCTTCTGGCGCAATGGAACACCGTGACAGACCAGAGTGCATGGAAATGCCATTTACCTTCCCGCCACAGTGATACCTATTTATCTACTTGCACTGGTCTGCTTTCAAACTGCTAGGTTGGCAGGAGCTGGGACAGAGCAACGGGAGCTCACCCCGTCATGGGGATCCGAACCACCAACCTTCTGATCGGCAAGCCCAAGAGGCTCAGTGGTTTAGACCACAGCGCCACCCACGCCTTTACCCTGCCTTCCTTATATCCCGATGACAGCCCTATGAGGCAGACTAGGTTCAGAGGGTGACTGCCCCCAAAGTCACGCAGCGAAATTCATAATGGGGCCTCGAGTTCTAGTCTTAACACTGCCTACTTCATTATTCTGGATCTTGCCATCAAATACCATCTCAGACTAGTTGTTCAAAACCTTTCAGGGGGAGAGGCAAGCCACCACAATATGGCCACCAGCGTCTACCCCCTAGAATTAAGTATGGAATGACACACAGAGCAGAAACATGTGGCAAATGGGTGTCCCCCAACTTCCTTTCACATGGACCACTTTAAAATTCTGAGGTTTACGGTGGGCCCCTTAATGATTGTTCAGCCAACAATATGACAACAACAACAAAACCTATTATGTATTCTATAAAGCGGGACTCGACAGGACTTTGGTCTGGTCCATATCAGCCGACTGTGCATAAGGAAGAATTTGAGCAGGTGTGTCTCTTTTCGCCCCTGCAGCGCGAAAATACAGAAGCTGCAACTTCTAAAATCCCCTCTCCTACACAACTGTTAAACCTACATGTTCTTAATCACAGCATCTGGTCCTCGTATATGCAAAGGAGTCTTGCATCCTCGTCCTCCACCGGATGCACTCCCATGCAACTTTAATTGTGAGCACATCCTACTGAGTTCAGTTGAACATCTTTCTGAATAGATCTGTTCTGGGTTATGCCACAGTGTTATAGCCTTACATGCTTACATGAGTAAGCCCCACTGAAGTGTAGTTGACTAGGGCCTGGGGGAGAAGGGTTCAAATCTGCTCTCAGCCATAACACTCACTTGGTGACCTTAAGGCAGTTACAATCTCTTGGCCTAACCTACCTTACGGGATTCTTGTGTGGAGAAAATCTGGAATATGGATGCAATGCAGTGTGATGCAATAAAAGTCAACGAGGCTTTTGAGCACATGTTTTACAATGTTTAAATTTCGTAAGATGCTTTGTGGGATAAAGATAATACATCTAATGGAACAGGCTCATGCGCCACAGCTTCAGTCTCATGCATGCTTACCTGGGAGTAAGCACTATTGGACTCAGCAAGCCTTATGTCCTTGCCCCAGATACTCCTTTCCAAACTCCTCTTAACACCTCAAAGCCCACTGTGATCCAAAAAGGGAGCAAAATTTGGCTAAGTACCAACCAGTTGCCCCCATTTGCTGTAGCAACAAACAGACTGCCCCCCTTGCGCCCTACAAATATGAAAGGGAACGAGCCTCTCTTTCAGATAAATTGGAGGCAGTAGATTTCACGCAGCAAAAAGTCCTTCTGAATGTTTTCCCTCTCCTGTTTGCAATACACAGTGCTTTTTTCCCTAAAATAAATGTTTACGAGTACTCTCATTTTCCTACTCATATTGAAATACTGCCCCTCAATGAGGCCAAACTTAGATTCACAAAATATTTAGGGGTATGTATCCCCCCAGGAAAAAAAGCACTGGCTATGCATATATATGCTGCAGAAAATGGCAACTTACTCAAACCAAGCATTTTGGGTGTGTGTACGGGGGTTTGATATTTAACAGTCACATCATAAATTTACATTTATTGTGGCCTAAACTCTCGTGGATTAGATGCCACTTCAAGTAGGCTTACTTGAAGTGGCCTCAAATCCACGGGAGTTTACGCCACAGTAAATTAAAATTGTTTATGTGGCTGTTAAATATCAAACCTCTAGGGGTCACTGTTGTTTTTAAAAAGAAGCAAGCGAAAGGAATTCTATAATTTCAGCTGAATTAAGCTAGCTGGCCTCCTATTATGGTTTATTTATATACAGTGGTACCTCGGGTTAAGTACTTAATTCGTTCTGGAGGTCCATTCTTAACCTGAAACTGTTCTTAACCTGAAGCACCACTTTAGCTAATGGGGCCTCCCACTGCCGCCGCACCGCTGGAGCACGATTTCTGTTCTCATCCTGAAGCAAAGTTCTTAACCTGAGGTACTATTTCTGGGTTAGCAGAATCTGTAACCTGAAGCATATGTAACCTGAAGCGTATGTAACCCGAGGTACCACTGTACTGCTTTTTAATCCAAGGCAACACTCCTGAATGAAGGTCTACGAAATGGTTTGATTTTAGAAAACCACTCCTCTTGCATCACCAGTGTTTTGTCATCCACTCTGGTACAGGCTTCCTCTCCAAACCCTGTGTTTTGTTTCACATTCTTCATTTAAGGAAGGTTGACATTAGAATACCAAACAAGAGAGCCTGCAGCAGTAACCACCCTCTCTGGGAATCCCATATCATATTCTTGAGTCCTAAATCCAGCAAAGATAGAAAAAAAGAACAAGAAGAAAGAGAGTGGAGGAAAGGTGGAGCAAGCCACAAAAACAACACTCAGAAATGCAGGGGTGGGGAGAGAGAGAGTTGGCCACATCTGCACCATATATTTAAAGCTATCTTATATCAAGGGTTCCCCAAAGGTACCCTGGGAACTGTATTTGTTAATATTTCCCGTGACATCTATCTGCATCCTTTTAAAAAACTAGTCCCAGGATTCGTTGGGGGAAGACATATTGTATAAGAGTGCTTTAAATGTACGGTGTGATGTGACATGTTATCATCTCACCTGTAATATACTACAGTATTTGTTCTTTCACAAGCACTGCAGCAAAATGTTGCAGTGCAGAGCACTCCCGTTCAGGTTACAGTGGTACGTTGGGTTACATACGCTTCAGGTTACATACGCTTCAGGTTACAGCCTCCGTTAACCCAGAAATATTACCTAGGGTTAAGAACTTTGCTTCAGGATGAGAACAGAAATCGTGCAGCAGCGGCACAGCAGCAGTAGGAGGCCTCATTAGCCAAAGTGGTGCTTCAGGTTAAGAACAGTTTCAGGTTAAGAACAGACCTTCAGAATGAATTAAGTTCTTAACCCGAGGTACCACTGTATTCCACTCAGGCTACTGCTTCTCATTCCTTTCTACTCCCCACCACACCTGCTCTAGAGTAAGTCTGTGGTGTGTTCTCACTGAATCCTCATTGGGCTGTTCTTGGGTTGTCAACCTCTCTTATCCTTCCATAGAGCACTTCTGCAAACCTGAGGCCTCCTGCCAAGGCTGTTGGTATCTGCCCCTTGTGCATTGGTGGTGCTGTTTTGGCTTCATGAGCGACAGCACCAATGGCACTCACAACCTGAATATTGGGATTTGATGAAATGATTTATGATTGGCTGATAAAGTGGCTGGGGAAACCCAGTCAGATGGGTGGGGTATAAATAATATTATTACAGTGGTGCCTCGCAAGACAAAATTAATTTGTTCCGTGAGTTTTTTCGTCTAGCGAATTTTTCGTCTTGCGAAGCACGAAATCCCATAGGAATGCATTGAAATTCAATTAATGCGTTTCTATGGTCAAAAAAAAGTCCAAACAAAGCCAAATTTGGTACAACAAGAGTTTATTAAGTGCTCTTTAAAGTCACACATACTGTAAAGAGCATTTCAAAAATTGAAGGAACAATAAATTAAGTTTCTAAACATGACAGAAAAACATTTAAAAATCAACAAAGTGTACAGTACATTTTCTAAGACTCTGGGGGACAACTCGAAGAAGGTTCCTCTTCCACTCTTTTCTTCTTGATGAAGAAACCCCTCCTCAACTGTTCCCCCAGCCAGCCACCACACAGAAATTCAAATCCAGAAACTTTTTTAAAAAAACAGCAGAGTGGCCCAATGGTCACAGAAAATCATAAAAATGCAGGAAAAAAACACACAAGCTTCCAGATTCTTGCAAACCCCTCCCCAACACCAAGTCCTTGAATTCCAAACACCCCAACCCAAAATCCAAAAACCCCCAAAAAAAGTTTTAAAAGAAGTTTTGGAAAAGCTTCAAAAATCACCAAAGTCTTCAAAAACCTCAAAAAAGGCTACCACACCGCGTTCTATGAGTTGCTCCTCGAAGTCAAGTCGCAACTGTATTAACGGTGTTAAGAAAAAGGAAACAAACTTGCAAGACGTTTTCGTTTTTCGTCTTGCGAAGCAAGCCCATAGGGAAATTCGTCTTGCGAAGCAGCTCAAAAAACGCAAAACCCTTTCGTCTAGCGAATTTTTCGTCTTGCGAGGCGTTCGTCTTGCGGGGCACCACTGTATTATTATTATTGTTGTTGTTGTTGTTGTTGTTAGAGCTTGTTGACTGAACACACACCACAGATTCAAATCACAAACCCCCAAAGAGCCCTTGGGAAGAGTAGTTTGTTGCAGGCGCTTTGGAACTGTAGCTCTGTCACAAGTAAGTTATAGTTCTCAGGATTCTTCTGTGGGGGTGGGGGGGAGGAAAATTCCTTTAAATGTATGGTGTGTATCAGGCTTCCTCAACCTCGGCCCTCCAGATGTTTTTGGCCTACAACTCCCATGATCCCTAGCTAGCAGGACTAGTGGTCAGGGATGATGGGAATTGTAGTCTCAAAACATCTGGAGGGCCGAGGCTGAGGAGGCCTAGTGTAGATGCAGTCAACAGGCCCCATTGGCCAATAATAATAATTTCATCCAATTCCACTATTCAGCCAAAACCTTACCTGTGTAGTCTAGAATTTTCTGGTATTTAGTGTCAGAAATTAATGACAATCTTGGGTTGCCAGTTCCATTTTATTTATGATATAGTGGTTAGAGTGTCAAACTAGGAACTGGTACACAAGGGTTCAAGTCCCCACTTGGCTATGAAGCTCACTGGGTGACCTTGGGCCAGTTACTGCCTTTCAGCCTAACCTACCTCACAGGGTTGTTGTGGTGGTGGTGGTGATTAAATGAGATGGGGGAAAACAATGTATGCCACACTGAGCTCCTTGAAGAAGAGGGTGGGATATAAATGCAACAAATAAATGCATTGATATTATTACAATTTTACTATTTTATCATTTTAACTTGTACGATTCATTGAGACAGATTTGTAATAGTTGGTATATACAGTGCTTTTTTTCTAAAAAAATGTTTAGGGGTACTCTCATTTTGACACAAGAAAATCACCATTTTTGAGTGTGGATTTCATGCTCTTTATTCAGCTCATAGTGGTGAGGAATGAAAGTTTCCCCAAAATATCTGCTTTATATACATTATTTACAAAATGGGTCGCACATGATTGGCTAATTCTGGGATTCTCCTGTAGGCCAATCAGGTTGCGGATTCACTTTCACCTGGAGCTGGATTGGGTGGCTCCTGCGGACCAATCATACTGCTGCCATGTTCTAGGACCAATCAGACTGCTGCTTTTTGGAGCCTATTCAATTCAGTACATAACAATTTTATAATTCAAATCGGGGGAAATAAATACAATAAATGGACAAAAGTACAAAGATTCACAAAATGTTTAGGGGTATGCGTACCCCTGCGTCCCCCCAGAAGAAAGCACTGGGTATATAAATTCACTGATAAATAAATGCAGAGAGACCATAATTACCCAAGGGCCACTCTTACAGCTGTTTTTCTTATTTTTTGTAGGTTTCACAAGCAACTGTAGCTCTTGCCACAAAAGGAAGAAAAGAGGAACTGAAAATAACCACAAGCTCTTCAGTTCTCTTTATTACACGCATATGATTCCATGTCTTTGTAAACAGAAAATCTTTCGCTCACTGAGGAAGGAGATGGTGTAGAAGTTGTGACAAGCTGTGGCAAGAGTGAGAAAATATTGAATGGAATGGGATATTGCATGCACAGCATTCACATGCCATTTTGCAATGCTCATTCACAAAACAGTTTGCAATATAAAATCAATAATTCATAATAGGTAGGGACAGTAATCCATTAAAATCAATATAACAAATGCCACAGTGTATTGTTGTAAACAAAAAATTGCCCTTTTCCCTTATGGGGTATCCAAGAGCCCATATAGAGTCCTTACATGGGTTCCCTATTGGTAGGAGAGAATAACAGAGGCCAACCAGAGAATATTGAGAAGCAAAGCCGCTAGTAAGCCTGATCTTTATTGATCTGTTGCAACAGGGGGCTCCCCTCACCCGCAGGAGAGGAGGAGGGACCCAGAAAAATAGTGTGCAAGGCCTTATAAAGACTTTTGAAATTGCCACCCTGTAGATCAAGCCCATCCCCCAGAAACATCATACATACATCACAGAAGGGGTGTAACCTAAGACCACCCCTCAGATACATCACACCTACATCACAGAAAAGGCGGTCTAAACAGAAATTTAAATGTTGTTTTTCTCTTGTCCTTGTTTATCTCCTGTCTGGCAGGTTACTTGAGTGGATTGCCTGGGGAGCCTGGCCATTCTTTTGTAGTGATAAATACTTAGTTCCTGGGCCAGGTCACAGGCTCTCACCCTATTCAAACACAGACATACCCTTAAGACAGGATTTGTGAAGAAAAAGACAATGGGGAAGCTTTTCCACTTTGACCATGGAGAGAAAACGTTTGCTCAGTTTAGGAATCAAGATGGCTTCAGGTTGGTCTTCCTGTGCTGATCTATGTACGTGCAGTTATGAACATTACCATATATCTAAGACCTCAAAATTCCTATCACATTATCCACGCTCTCGTAAAATCTCCCAGTTGGATTACCTGGAGTTGCTTGTGAAAACAATCTGGAGAGTTGAGACTGGTCCAAAACAGGGTAGTAAGATTGCTAACCGAGACTGGAAGATCCATCAGTCTTTTGCCATCTGCACTGATTTCCTGTTTATTTCTGGACTCCATTCAAAGTGCTGGCATTAACCTTTAAGTCCGGCGCCACCTGGTGGCTAAACTGTATATGACATGAACTGCACAGACTCAGTTTGCCAGCCCAAAGTACTGTAACTACCGTATTTTTTGCTCTGTAAGACTCACTTTTTCCCTCCTAAAAAGTAAGGGGAAATGTGTGTGCGTCTTATGGAGTGAATGCAGGCTGCGCAGCTATCCCAGAAGCCAGAACAGCAAGAGGGATTGCTGCTTTCACTGCACAGTGATCCCTCTTGCTGTTCTGGCTTCTGATATTCAGAATATTTTTTTCTTGTTTTCCTCCTCCAAAAACTAGGTGTGTCTTGTGGTCTGGTGCGTCTTATAGAGCGAAAAATACGGTAATTTGACAGCCGGCTGGATCAGCCAAAGAGCTATTTCTCTAGTCCTGCCTGCAATTCTCATAGTGGCGAACCAGGGGCTTATGGGAAACTCGCAAGTAGGACCTGAGCGCAACAGCACTCTCCCCACTTTTAATTCCAGGCAGCTGGGACTCTCTGACAGTGGAGGCGGAACATAGCCTTCTTTTAAAGCCATCCAACTTGATGAGCATCATAGCATCCTGTGGCAGGGAGTTCCATAGCTGAACTAACTACGTGTCCTTTCGCCTGCCCTGAATCTTCCACCATTCAGCTTCATTGGAGGACCCTGGTTTCTATTATTATGAAATAAAGAGAGAAACTTCTCTCTAACCACTTACTTGCTTAATTTTATGCGCCTCTATCACCGAAAAGCCACATATATTACATCAGTGACCAGAACTGAGCACAGTACTGTGGGTGTAATTTGGGGAAATGGGTGAAATTGCATCAGGTGCTTAGAGCATGTCTTAAGCATCCCACCCCCGTACCCCCACGTCCGGATTCTGCTTAAAGAAAGACCCCATTGCAATGGGGTGGTTAGAAACAGTCGAAGGTTAATGCCTAAAGCATGGATCATCCACGCACCCTTTCTTTAAGCAATCTGTGTATGTGCAATATCATCGGCAGGAGTGTGAGGTGTTCACTGAGAGCAAGGTATTTGCTTTGTACAAGGCATCAGCAGTGAAGGTAAAGGTTACATGCTATATGGTAGAGAATTGTGAGCTGGTATGGTAAAGTCCTAGTGGATCTCTGTAAACTTGTACATTTACAAGCTTTACAGTGGTACCTCAGGTTAAGAACTTAATTCGTTCTGGAGGTCCGTTCTTAACCTGAAACTGTTCTTAACCTGAAGCACCACTTTAGCTAATGGGGCCTCCTGCTGCTGCTGCGCCACCGGAGCACGATTTCTGTTCTCATCCTGAAGCAAAGTTCTTAACCTGAAGCACTATTTCTGGGTTAGCGGAATCTGTAACCTGAAGCGTATGTAACCTGAAGTGTATGTAACCCGAGGTACTACTGTATTTCTAAAACCCAGAGGCGCCAGCTTGCGAAGGCAATGGTGGGGGGGGGGCTATGACATGCACGTGATGTCGGAAGAGTCAGGGGAGGGCTGGCCCCCACCCTAAAAACATTGAGGGGGTTCAAAAGGGCTTGGCTCCCAAGAGCTGGCGCCCTTGCTAAAACCAGAAGAACTGTGCTATAGGAGATTAGTTCATGATGTACCAGCCTCTCTTAAAGTTTATGTTGCTAGTGTGTTTTAAGCTTGTCTTAAACACTTTATACTTTGAAGTGAACTGAGCAGGCAAGGAGTTTCCTTAAGCAAGAACTCCGTAAAAGATTGACTACTGGAAAGCAGGGGCGAATCTACACTGGTCGGTTATAGCGTTAAACATGTGTTATAAAAAGGTAACACCAGAGGGTGCTGTAGAGCAGCAAACCTTAGGCAATGGGAAATTGCTTTGAGAGCTACTGTATATTACATTGTTGTTTTTACAGATTTTTTACAGATCAGTGTAGATCCAGCCCAGGAAAACTCTGGTGTTCTGCTGGAAAACTCTGCTGGAGCTGTGCATGCTCCACTGATCACACAGGTCGAAGTGTGGTGTAGTAGCAACAACAGATGGTGGGCCTAAGTTTAACAGGTTATGAGTCAACCGACTTCTACAAGTCTAACAAATATTGTATAGAGCAGTCACACTTTGTGTAAGGGCATTATGATATGGACAGTCTTATTATCAATCAATTGTAACGACCCCTACCACAGAATTTATCTTTTTTTATTAAAAAAAAACCCAACTACAGCTGCACATTGGGTCAGCATTTGCATTCAGCTATGGAAATTCCAAGATGTGAAGTTCAGATTCTTTTGCCCCAATGTGCATTACTTTGCACTTGCTTACATTTAATATTATTTGTTGTTTTAATGCCCTTTCACCTACTTTGGAAATAATATTTTGGGGCTATGTGTGATATATACACATACATATAAACATGGCAGGTGAGGATGGAGTTAATTGGCAATGAACTGCTAGAAGTACAGTCTGTGACCCTACAATTGAAATACTTTTCACAGCAGCAGTGATTGTCAACACAATTGTCTTAGTGTTACTGGAGTCAACCTTTAAAACCCAAATAAGGCACAGAAACCTTTTTTAGGCCTGTGGATTGTTGAGTAAATGCTGTGGTCATCACCCTCTTAAGTCACTTATCTGAGGGGAATAGGTGTTTCTCAACAACTCGCAACACCTTTAAGAAACTAGTTCCCAAGTCTTTGGGGGAAGCCATGAGAATTTAAAGTGGCATGATACTGCCTTAAATGTATAGTGCTGATAAAGTCGAGAGAGAGGAATTGATTGAGTTTTTTTTGCTTTTTTGTGTGTGATTTTTTATATTAGTTTTGCACTAACCATGCAGATCCACACAAAGCATTTAAATCACATTCAGTGCATGTAATTTTCTGTGACACACACTTAAAGCAGAGGATTTCTCTCAAAGAATCTGTGAACCGTACTTAGGAATGCTACGCATTGCAGCTGTGAGGGGAGAAACTACAGTTCCCAAATATTCTTCATGTTGTCTGTGCATTGCATGCATTTGAAACGCATGGCGTGGATACGTTAAGTGTGTTTTGATGTAATTGCTTTAAACCTAACCTTGAGAAATGTCGCCCAGAAAACTCCTGTTAGGAGGGGGAAAGAGCAGATGCAAATAACAAAGCAAGCAAACACGCTGGTGTACATTCTTCGGGAAGTAACTGAACGCTAACTTTTGTTTTTGAACAGTTATTTTTATCTGCGAGCTGCCTCGAGTCCCGTCCGGGGGAAAAGGCGGCGTATAAAATAAATATATTATTTCAACAACTAGTATTTTCCTGATTTCGGTTCCCCACCACCACCACCACCCCTAGTCTTTTCCTCACAACTAGATTCGTTGGGGGTGGTGTTTTATTCCTTTTTTTCTTTTCCTTTTCCAAAGTGTATATTCAGGTAAAACCGGTATTTACGCTCTCCCCGCCACCCCCGTCTTCATTTTGTATGCGCACATCACGTACGCGAGGCGAGGCGTTTGTTTCGTTTCCTTTATTCGATTAAAATTTTAAATAAAAATAAAAATTGGAGAACGAGTAATATAACAGAATGAAAAAAGGAAACGCGCAAAAACAAGGGAGGTAAAGAGCGCGTGCGCGAGGAGGTTGGCGCCCCCTTCCCCCTCCCCTCCTCACCAGTTTCCTTCAGAAACGCTTTTCTCCTCAGGGACGGAGCAATCTTGTCCCACGCCGGGCGCCGTCGGCGGCGGGAGTCAGCTTGCCTGCTTGCCTGCCTTGCCCGCCTCGACAGGGCGGCGCTGTGAAGGGGGCGTGTGACGCCGGCTGCCGGCTGCTGTCTTTTCCTCCTGCTCCTCCCTCTCCCTCAGTCCGCCTTTCCTTCGCCGCTTATTTAGGCTCGGGCGCCCCTATTCCGCGCCGCTTCCTCGCGCGCTTTCTTTTTCGTCGCCTGCCTGCCTACCTCCCTCAGTTCCTTCCATGGCGTTCAGGCGGGTCGTTGCGGTGGCCGCGGCCGCCGCTTGCGGGTTGGCGGGCGGCTCTGTCTTCTTCTCTGCGGTGCCTCTCGGGAAGCAGCAGCAGCAGCAGGTGGTGGGTAAAAGCTCCGGCGACGCCCCGGTTCCCCTACCTCCGTCCGCGGCTCCCCCGCCGGGGCTGCTGCTTCTGTCTTCGCCGGCCAACGCAGCCTCCTGCCCCGCCGCGGCGCCTGGCTGGCTGGAGAAGCCCAACTGCGGCTATTGGGACGACAACTGGGACAGGTAAAGCGAAGCATCTTCAGGCCTCTTTGAGGGCGGGCGAAAATCCCGTTCCCCACCCCCGCCCCCCAAAAACACCTCCCCAAGGTAATAGGAGCAGGCCAAGATGCCGTAAGTTGGCAACCTTCAAAAGCACAGGAGCACGCCAGGCTGCTCACTTTGGGCAACCCCCTATCCCACCCCCCATGGACTTCGCCATCGTCATATTTTAATCGTTCGGTTGCTTTATTATTTATATAAAGTGCTTTTCCCTTCACCGGAAAAGAAAATGAAAGTGAAAAATGAAACGCTGCCTCTTCCCGGTTGTCGAAAGAGCTGCATCTCCAGACGATTTCGTGGGTTTGAATTGCAGTGTTGCTAAAAGTGAGGGGGTGGATTTTCCCGGCCTTTGCTTTAAGGAGCTGCTGCCTCTTAATTACATGTATTTGAGGGCATGGAGTGGGGGATAGATCATGGGCTTTGTAATAGGTGTTTTAAGACATCGTGATACAGAAATACTTTGATAAATCAGAGTTGGTGGTACAACTCTGATTGACTTTATTGTCGTTTGGTACAGGAATGACAGGCCCTTCGTCATGTTAATACAAAATTTGGCAAGAAATCCCTCGGGGAATAAGGGAGAGACTTTTGTGAGTTGAAACTTGAGAACTTAGTCAAAAAGTGGAACATAAATCTGCTGAAATAAGGATTCTAAATAGTCATTTAGTCCATGTGTCCCAAAAAAGTCAGGTAAATGTCTCCAGGAAGCTGCAAAACCCAAAGGTAATTCATAACTCCTGGGAATGCTCTCTGGAAACAAGTAGTTGCGGCTTAAGAGCCATTGTCTAATCCTAGCTGAAAGCCATCTAAGTTCCTCACTACCTCTACATCCTGTAGCAGTGTATTTCATTAATGATGTGTTGTGTAATCTTTATTATGGAGTTCTGGCATAATATAAACAGATGCAGGGACTCTGCCCTGGCACAAATGAAGGCTATGTGGGGGTCTTTGTTTTGTATGAGCTAGGAGTCCAAATAAAAATAACTTGTTTAAATAGAATTTATCCATTTTGAATGGGGCTTAGTTGATGAAACGTGCATGTGAGTAAATGCAATTCTGCAGGAAAGATGTATGTTTTAAGTTAAGTGCCTGAATTTGTTGCAGCGGGCAGTCTTCATTGTGGAGAGATGGGAAATGTCTCTCCTAATATAACTCAACCATTCCCTTCAGTACCTCTAATAAAAAAGTACAGTTTTAAAAATATCTGCAGCCTAATTAAACAAAAGCACATTCTTAACCCAAACACGTTGAGTAACTTTACTGAATTGCAATCTTAGAATGGATTATCTCCCTGTTTTTCCTGGAGAGTTACGCAGTCTATACACACGATCTGTTTCCTACCACATTTGACTCCCTGCTTGCCATTCTTAACATTGATTTTAAGGCCCATATTATCACTGGGAGAGAATCCCAATCAATTCAGTGACGGCAAAATGTTAAAAATACCTCAAATAACAAACTTGTATTTTTTACAAGCAGGTTTTTCTCCCATCTTTTCAGTGTTCAGTTATGGTTGCACATTCTAATTTGCATTAGCATTTGACTACAGCACTAAATGGCTGTAGTTTTTCCTTACTAAACACCTTGAGTGACAAGAGGTAAATGTGATCCAGTGTGTTTATTGCCAAACATTTATTCCATCGTATCTGGATGCTCAGGGTGCCCAGAAACCTGATTGTCACTTGTACTCAGCACTTGCTACCCCACCCACTTTCCAGCAAGCAGTTTTATATTTTCAACTATTTCTGCCACAGGTCAAGATTCATCCCTAGTTGTGGCTTGTATTGGCTCAGATGGCTTCTTACACAGCTTTTAACTACAGGCAGTGCTGAAATGCACATGTATGTTACTGTGAATATGTGATTTAGACAGACTTCTGGTAAATCTTGTGAGATGTGGTTGCTGAACTTATATCTGAGAACCACACTTGTACTTCTTGCCACTTCCCTATGTTCACCTTAAGAAATGTTGAGAAACTTAATAGGAGAAGTTGCATTTCAGTTTATGAAAGCTTAATGTGAACAAACCCTAACTGATGTCTGCCCCTGAACTGGTATTTATGCTTCACCCTTGTTTGCTGAAGCACAGCTGTGCCTGGGGTGGAAAATGAAAATTGAGGAGTATACCCAGCAATTTTCAGCAGGATGTGGATTCATTCTCTTAATATCCAAGGAGATTTAAATTGGTGATGAGTCAAAATTATGAATTCAGCACTCACATTGTTAATAAACTCAAGACTCTTTACCAAGCCACAACAATGCAAATATAATTCCCCACTAGACATATTTAGGTGGTTATGTTGACTCCTGACAGTTTAGGAGAGTCTTCTACACCAGTATTGGATGTGAAAGGACATTTTAATAATTGAGGTTAGAGAACCTTCAGAGAATCTCAAAATAACAGAAAGTTTCCTGATGAGATTGGGTATAAATCTATTAAATAATATACAGTGGTACCTCAGGTTACAGATGCTTCAGGTTACAGACTCTGCTAACCCATAAATAGTACCTCAGGTTAAGAATTCTGCTTTAGGATGAGAACAGAAATTGTGCAGTGGCTGCGTGGCGGGAGCGGAAGACCCCATTAGCTAACGTGGTACCTCAGGTTAAGAACAGTTTCAGGTTAAGACTGGGCCTTCGGAATGGATTAAGTTCTTAACCTGAGGTACCACTGGAATGAATTAAGGTACCACTGGAATGAATTAAGTTACTAACCCGAGGTACCACTGTATCTGCTTGCACTCTGACATGCTTTTGAACTGCTAGGTTGGCAGGAGCTGGGATCAAGCAACGGGAGCTCACCCCATCGCAGGGATTCAAACCGCCAACCTTCCGATCGGCAAGCCCAAGGCTCAGTGGTTTACACCACAGTGCCACCCGCATCCCACTGGGGTGATGGTAGATGTAGTCTAAAACATCTGGAGAGTACCAGGGTAGGGAAGGCTAAGCTAGAGGGAAGTGCTAAGCTTATACTTTTATTTAATTCCTTCCCAGATGGTTCTATCTCTGGTTTAATAACCCTAAATCTGAGCAAAAGTCCTCCCACCTCCTAATTTTATAATGGCTTGGCACCACTACACATTGCAGATGTGTGCACAAATAAATGAGAGGCTTATTACAGATATGTCATTTGGTGACATCTGTTCAAACTTGGCTTATTCCCTTCTATGGCACAGCACTGCAGTTTTTCAACTGTACCCACCATGGGAAAAACCACTTTTCTGTCTCACTTCAAAGTCTATACTATCTAGCTTTTCTTCAAAATCGTTCTGAGAGCAGTGAATAGGTAAACTCAGAACAGGTGCACAATCATGTGTCAGCTCATATGCTAGAATTGTAAACTTTGGTATTAAAATTTTGCCTTGCTAGCATGTTTCAATTTTTAGCATATTTAACTTTTATGCTGTGAACCGCCCTGTGATCTTCAGATGAGGGATAGCATACAAATTTTATAAGTAATATATATAATAAATATTCTTTGGGTCCCTGAGGACTTTGCAGAGAAGTTCCTTGGACCGGTGTGATAGCAATGAACAATTCGTTATATTCCTTGCCAGGCCAATATTTTTCATTTTAAAACTTCAAGTTTTCTTAATTTTGTTAATATGAAAATTTTTTTTAGAGCTCATCAAAATTAATTAGCCAGGCCAATAGTCCATCTAATTCAATATTGTCAACACTGATAGGCAGCAACTCTTCAGGGTTTCAAGCTTGGACCTCCCTCCCCCCCCCCCACTCTTTGGAGATACTGGGGATTGAACCTGGGACCTCCTATATGCTTTTCTGCTGAGCTATGGCCCTTCCCCAAAGCTGTGAAGGCCATACATGTCTTCTGTTCTGTATCTCATACCTCTTATCTCATGGTTCTGCTTAAACTGTTAAGTACTAAGATAACTTCTGGGTGTGAATGGGACATAAAACTATCTGTAAATAAACTAAAGGAAAATATGTGGGGTGGGTACAGTTCTGGCTTGTTTCTAACATCCAGACTTCGGAATTGCATTAAGTGGTGCATGTATTTGCAGTTGTGCTAGTGGTATTGTGGAAACTAAGTTGTTCCTATTGTAGCAACTTCATCAAGTAGCATTTACAATTTCTTCCCTTAAAAAAAATATGATTCAAACTTGGTCAAGCTAATTTGGGTTAATTTCTTAAGCACCAAATCGGGGTCTGAATCAAATCTAGTGGTTGGTGCACACCCCTACAAAGTATGTGAGAAGAGAAATACTTGGTGCTGCTATATTGCTGTTGTGAAATGTATTAATAGCATAAACATCATCAAAAAGATGTATCAATATTTAATGTGTTCTGTGTGATAGGGCTGTCTTATATATACTTTCTTTTGTGCTAGTCCACTTTGTCTTCCAGAAGTTAAAATAACTCTTTGACTCTTCTATAATATTCCAAAACTTTAAAAAACCACATTTGAGTACATAAGCTGATAATTACTTCCAAGAATTTCCCCTTTCATTGCTAAAAGCTGAGACAGATGTGAGAAATCAGAACAGAAGGAAAAGAATGGGGAAATGTTCCAGATGGATGATGGGAAAACCTACAATCTTGTACCCTGTTGGCAGAAAAGATCCAAAGATATTGGCTGAACTGGTGCATTAATGGGCCAGTGAAAATACAGTGATTAATAATTTCAGACACTGGAATGAAACTGAGCAACTCCAAATGGCTGCTTCAGAAGATGAGTCTTGGTATAGGGCTGGTTCATGTACTAATGCAGTGGTTCCCAAACCCCTCCCCACCATAGATCACTTAAAAATTGCTTAGGATCTTGGCAGACCACTTAATAAATTATTTGCCTGCTGTAGTAGTTGTAGTGCACTGTGCTTAGATGCTGTATGAATTTTTACGCACGCATCGCAGACTCATGCCTCAGTTCTTTGGTATGTCTAAAAGTGTTTCTTTGGGCACCAGTCATACCTCTAAATCTCTCATTGCCCTAGACTCCCGAAGCTTTGCATTGCTGCCTTTTCTTTCTGGCTTCACAAACTGCCCCCAAACTGCCTTTCTCAATGGGTAGAAATGAGACATTATTGAGATGTTGAACTTCTTAATGAGGGATTGCGTGGGGGATATAAAGTGAGCATTGTTACAGTGGTACCTCTGTACCAAACACTTCTGGTTATGAACGCTTCAGGTTATGAGCTCCACTAACCCGGAAGTAGCTGCTCCTGGTTGCGAACTTTGCCCCAGGATGCGAATGGAGATTGTGCACCAGAGGCAGGCCCCATTAGCGAAAACGCGCCTCAGGATAAGAACGGTTTCAGCTTAAGAATGGACCTCCCGAACGAATTAAGTTCATAACCAGAGGTACCACTGTAAATCTGGTTGATTTTGTCAAGCAAACACGTTGCGCTGAAAAGGATGTTGTTGGGTCACTTCATTTGCATGTCCAGTTATCTTATTACAGGAGTATCTTAACATAGAGCTCTATGTATGTTGTTGGACTCCCCAATTCCCACTGGCCCCAGCCAGCATGACCAATGGTCAGGAATTATGGGCATTGTAGTCAGACATCTGGTGAGCACTATGTTGGCTACCTCTGCCCCATCGTTTATTGATACAGAAATATAAACTTCAAAATGATTTTCAGGAGAGAACCACTGGCTCTTATGAACCTGAAAAAGAAAAATGAAGAGACTGGGGAAGAGGAGAACTCATCTCGTCTAGCCCACTACAAAGCAAAAGCTACCAGACACATATTCCTCATACGCCATTCTCAGTACAACACAGATGGGAACAGTGATAAAGAGAGAATTCTGACCAAGCTTGGTACGTATGACTGGCCCTTTCATACCTCAGAGCTGGGGGAGAAAGCAAACTTGCCAGTTTATTTACTGATTTGATTGCCTCTCGTTAAAATGTGGGGTAGGGAAACTATTCAGTCACCCTTAGTACTTCGTGGCAGAGACCAGAGTGTTGTTGTTAACAGGTAGATTATTTCCATTGTGAATTGGCATTTAGGCATTACAAACTTTTGTTGGTCAGCTGTGTAAATAAATAGTTGCAGTAGCTGTGTCATTTCATCCCCAAGTCTGTTGCCCAGCCTTTTCTGCCCCCAGTGCCTTCTCTGCCAATGCTGGAAGAGCAATATTTGGCCTAGTTTGCTGTTGCAGTAAGGAGCACAGCTGGACACATGATTTCTTTCCCTCTTCTCCAACATGACTGGCTTTTCTGATGCACAGGAAAACTTTATATTGCAGCATTTCTCTGTAGGTTCACTTGGTCTTGCCTATTAATCAAATCACTAAGTCTAGTGGCTTTCAAATCCCTCTTTCTCTTGCTTCTCATCCCTTTGCTCTTATTTGCTCATTGCCTGTACTTGACTACCCTAATCCATGTGAAGGCTTCCTGCTCTTTGAGAAGATCCCACCCTTGCTGATTGGTATGCTTTGAACTACCTCCCAGAATACCTGTATGTTGCCCCACCCCCCACTTCTTCAAATCTTTCAAAGCCCTCCTTTTCCATATAGTCTTTGGCTCAGCACCCTAGTTCCCATCTCCTAGCAACTATTCCTGTCGCCAAGGCTAAGCATATGTAACTGAAACAAATGCATATATTTTCTTTACACTTGCCTACGCTACCCTTCCCTTCTACTTATTTATCCTCTCTTGAATTTTAGATTATAATTTTGTACTGCTATAAAGCATCGTACATATATATTTTATAATATACCTTATATATACATATATATAAAACAATATTATTAAATAGTTCTACAAACAATGCAACCTTCTTCCTGATTAAACAAACCCTTGATTAGCAAGGAGGCCCCATCTGGAATTCTGCTTGTACTTCCACATTCTCAAAAATTCATTGTATCTGTTTGGATGAAGATACAAGTTGAAAGAACAGCAGTGCCAATAACTGTTTGTGTATCATTGTGCTGGGACAAAAGGTCTACATAATGTAGAAATCTTATTTTACACCCCCCCCCCCGAATGTGTTAAAAGACACACATTGCAATTTATACATTGCCTTAATTTTCAGGTCGTGAACAAGCTGAGTTGACAGGGCAAAGGCTTGCAAGCTTGGGACTGAAATTTGATAAAATTGTTCATTCTTCTATGACCAGAGCAACTGAAACAACCAACATCATCAGCAAGCATCTTCCTGGTGAGTGAATTCTCTTGTTGAATCAGGAAACATAATTTGTTCTAAATAGACAGTGTGGCTTTAATAAACACCGAGTGGGCCATGCAGACTAAGCTGGGTGCATTCTTGAATCAAAGCATTGACATATGGTGCCTGATTAAGCCCTTGCATAGGCATTTTAGATGGGGAATTTTAGTTGGAATTGGGCTTTATTCCCCCCTAAGTTTTATATCTTCAGTCTGCCTTTATGTTATTAAAAAAACAAAACACTACATTTGTGTGTTACGTGAATTGTTTGCCTGCCCTGGAATATTCTGATGAAGGCCTGTTAAGTGTTTTTGATAAAAATCTCCCATGTATTCCTAATATATTTACCGTTTATTAATTTTAATTGTGTGAGAACCAATATTGACTGCAAAGTGGGAAAGAACACATAGTGATATGTTTAAGAGAACATTAGTACATAGAATAATAGAATCATAGAATTGTATTGTACTGTTGGAAGGGACCACAAGGGTCATCTAGTGCAACCATGCAATGCAGGAATCTTTTGCTCAACATGGGGCTTGAACACACGGCCCTGAAATTAAGTCTTGCGCTCTACCGACTGAACTACCAAGGTGTTGCTGCAGAGGTTTGCCGAAATTCTTTCCTCTATGTTAGTGATGGGGAACCACTCTGATCCCCCATGTCTGGATGTTCTGAGATAGGAGCGCAGGTGCACTGGGTTACCATAGCAACAGAGCAAGCTCAAGTGTATGACTTGCTGAGTCGTTCACCCTTCCATTGGTTCAGGAGATATGCCTACGAGTAGAGACAGGTATAATAGTCACTGGGGCATTGCTTTCATTATGTGACATCTTGTCTGGTCCTATTCTGATGCTGCGCCTGTCCTGATATTGTTCTGTTTGCTGTCAGGGTCTGACTGAATCTGTGAGAGTTGGGGGAAGAGGTTTTACACAGCAGCGTTAGCTAGCATGGTGATGGTATTTGTGGGTCTGTACACATGTATCTTTACGTCAAGGACCAGAAGAACTGTACATAGTAGGTAGCAGTGCTTAGCTTTGTCTTGTGTCTGGAGACAATAAACTCTTTGTTACTTTGAACTGAGTGGGAGGAGTTTTTCCCTTAGAATTCCCTTGGAATTCTAGAAAAAACTGGCTGCTGGAAGCAAGAAATCTCTTAAGACTCTGCTGGGGGCTGCACATACTCTGCTGATACATCACACTGGCTGAGATGTGAAAAACCAACTGGCTTCCACAAGTCACCAACAAGACCCTTTCTCTTAATCTCTGTCTCTGACACGATGCACATTACTTGTACAAGGAGTACATTCTAGCACAAAACCTTCAGGCCATGTTTGTCTTCGTTGCTTGTCATAACATGAGTTTACAACCAGGGTATTAAAAGATTTGCAGCACCTTTGATATGCTAACTTACTTTGTATAGATGCAGATCTAGAGTTTAATGTCAGAGATGGCCCTGGAGACAAGGCTCTGAAATGCATGTCTTCATTTTTCTGCCCCCAGGGGTGAAGAAATCAAGCACTGACCTTCTGCGTGAAGGAGCTCCAATTGAACCAAATCCTCCTAGCTCCCACTGGAAGCCAGAAGCTGTGGTAAGATTTTTGTATAAGCAATTGCCTTAAGGTTGTGTAATCTTTGGCTTTACTTATAGCAATGTAGACAAGTTTCCTCAGGTTTCTTCTGTCATTAACAGAATATTTTATTAAACGACAGCAAAAGGAACAAACATTTCAGTATATCACTAGGGAGAGAACTCTAAAGAATGGGAGCCACAGCAGCAAGGTCCTACCTTTTTTCTTTAATCATTCTGAACTCGGTGAATGAGGAAACACAAAACAAAGCCCAACTTAATGACCTAATAAACAGGATGATGCACAGTTAGTAGCACCTCCTATAAGTTATCCATTGCCCAGGCGGTGTAGAGTTTAAAAGGCACGACCCAGCACACTGAGTTTGGTCCAGAAGAGGTATGTTCTGTGCAGTCCATTTCTATTGATAAGATGGACTTCAGATGGTGGAGAAAAATAGCCTTCAGTAGGGCAGTAATCTCAGCAGGTTATTGAGGTTGGATAATGACCCCTGTATCTTGATCAGAAATGTCAAAATCCTTTTCTGTAGCCAACGCTAATGGCGAGTTAAAGATGAAAAGCTTGTGCATTTTTTAATATATACATCAATAACCAATTATCTGCCTTTTAGCAGTATTACGAAGATGGGGCTCGGATTGAAGCTGCCTTTCGAAACTACATTCATAGGGCTGATGTAAAGCAGGAAGAGGATAGCTATGAAATCTACGTCTGTCATGCTAATGTCATTCGTTACATAGTTTGCAGGTAACTATGGCATTGAAACAAACTGGTGGGTATGGGAAACCTTCTGATATAGTTTAGATTGGCTCTTCATGACCAAAACAATAATGTGCTAACCCTTAACTTAAGCAATCAAATGCATTTAGGGGTTCTGAGTTATTTGGAGAGGGTGTGTGCACAGTAAAATGAACAGCTGTCCAGAGAGCATATGACGGCCAGATTAACTTGAAGCTTTGCTCTAATCTCTATTTTTGAGTAGGGGATTTTAAAACAAATAGACCTTCCATACTAAACGTATTATGAAATTTAGAAATGGAAAAATGAGAATGCAGCTTATCTATTGCTCTGCTTGCCAGAACCTCCAAATCCTGGACCAAAGTTTGGGTTAGCAAAACAAATTATTACTAAAATCCAAAGTAACTGTCTAGCAGGTCTTCTGCCCCCAAGCTGTGAAACTGGATTTCCCTTCTGGCATCAAATAAATGTTCTGAGAGATGTACAGTTGTCCCTCATGTTACATCCTGCTCAACTCTACCATTTTTGGTTGCATCTTCTAAGACAGTGTAACCTTGGTTTCTTTGAACTGTGCTGAAGACCTGTTTGGGTTGAAAGAGATGCTGAATTTAGTTAAGTGCTTCTGTTTTGGAAGTGCAGCATGAGAACAGAGCATACAGGCTTAAGCATCCATAACTAAAGTGCACTTAGCCTGCACTGCATACTTGGGCTTTTAGTGCTAAAGTTTGAGCTCCCTGGAATCAATTACAGTTGTACCTTGGTTTTCAAACAGAATACGTTCCGGAACTCTGTTAGACTTCCAAAATATTTGGAAACCAAGGCACAGCTTCCGATTGGCTGCAGGGGCATCCTGCAGCCAATCGGAAGCTGCGGAAGCCACGCCATAAGTTCGGCTTCCAAGGCAAAGTTCGCAAACCGGAACACCTACTTCCGGGTTTGCGGCGTTCGAGTTCCAAGTTGTTCGTGAACTAAGCTGTTCGAAAACCAAGGTATGACTGTACCATCCAAACTCACGATGTTTAGGTGCCTACTGAGGAAATTTCTGTTTAAGGATTTGGCCCAGGTTGTGACTCAGTTATGAGTGGAATACCAATATTTTATATCTGAAATGGTAGTTTTGCTGCTTTTTTCGTAGGGATAACTTTATTGTTTTTAGAGCTTGTTGAATTTATTTTTAGAGATTATGCTTATTATTGTTTTTATTATTGTTTTTAGAGCTTGTTGAATTTATTTTTAGAGATTATGCTTTTATCTTGTACACCACCTTGATGGCTTTATGCTGTGAAGGAATTAATTACCTATTCACAGGTTCCATTGGAGGTGGTGTGTGCTCAGAATGGGTTTGCTATCCAGGAGGAGTGGTTGAAAATATGTGCAGTGGTAGTTTTCTGGGAGGCTTAAACATTTCTGGGAGACATGGAGCCCAGTATGCCATCCATATATTAGAGGAATTGAACATTGTGAACTCAGAAAGTTGAGTATGTTAAGAGTTGCTTTGTTTGCGTAGGCAAGAAACATTAGGTAGGAATAGCTAGTATGAGATCAAATATTCCATCAGAGCTCAGCTGTTTTGAGCTGGACTATCTTGTTGCAAGCCTCATGCACCTATCTGCATTTGTTTAACAGTGTACTGCAAACAAGTAAGAAATGAGCTGGCAGTCAACATTGCAAAAGCAAATGAGACCTGAAATTTCAAAAGTTGATAAGATCACCTTCTTCTGGATAGGGATCTGCCTTAAGGAATGTCATATCATGTAGTGCAAGCCTGATAAGAGGCTGACCCTGTTCCTACAACTTTCCACATTGAAACGTGACTATTGCCACATAGAGAGGTTAAAAGCCTTCTTAGTTGCAGATTAAAACCTAGGGTGTCTGCTGACCTTTTGCTAGATTATAACCTCCATAACAACCTCTTGTGTAGCTTCCCTTTAATATTTAATATCCTGTCTATATTAGTACACATCTGGTACATTACATTTCTAATAGAGGGTGACATGTGTGCTTGCGCTGGCTAACTAGATTAACAGTGCAAGTCATAATGAGTAGTTTATGTGTGAACCATATTTCAGTGTATGTAGAAACAGATGGTACGTTAAGCTCTTTGTATGGTTTCAGAGTTGTACTGATGTCTTTCTGCTGAACTTCTAACTATCAAGCTATGCCAACAAATGTTCATTTTTTGAAAGAGTGATTTGTATTTGAAACCATTGTAGTAACTGACTCTTGCAAAAGATGGACACGGTTGTTGGACTTGAGGCAAGGTGGTTGAGTATTACACTAACTTAAAAGAACAGTTTACTTTAGTTTCTGGGACTATTGTTCAACTTAATGTATCTCTTTGGAATTCAGGTCAAAGGAAAGATCATGCAGGTCTGCCTCCTTCCTCAAAATTGGGCACACTCATTTAAGTATTTATAGCCTATACCCCTTGAAACAATGAACCTTTTTTCTTCCCCCCTCCCACATTTCACCGTTCATACAATCCCAAATGTTTGTTTTAATTTTGAAATTTAACAAATATTACATGGGCACAATGAAATTCCATTTTTTACATTTCTTAAATTACGTATTGGTCTCTGGTGGGACTTTTCTCCTGTGCACATAACCACCTCTCTCTTTTGATATTGTTTCACATAAGAAGGCTTGCTGACTACATTGTAACTTTGTCCCAACGTATCACCTGGTCAGTGTTTTTTTAAATAAATGTAATGGATGCAAACTTTACCATTGTGTTATAAAAAGACTAGAGAACTTTAAATCTTCATTCGTCTGGCCTTTCACTGCAAAATCACAAATTATTTCCCCAGAGTATATTTTTCTTCCACGTTTACAATTAATAGGCAAAATAGCTTAGCCCGTGTGCTAGGTATTTTCTTGAATGTATTGGGCCTCTAAATCCAAGTAGGATTTTATTAATTGCTGGAAACCACAGGACAGGGGAGAGTTCTTGTGCTCAGATCCTGCTTGCTGGTTTCCCACAGGCATCTGGTTGGTCACTGTGAGAACAGGACACTGGTCTAGGTGGGCCATTGGCCTGATCTAGCAGACTCTTATGTTCTTAGGCTATCTCTGAGATCAATTCCACTGATGCTCATGGTGATTTGTTATTCGGCTGTCTCTTCTTCCTACCTGGAAGTGATAATCTCATACAGTGCAAGAGCCAAAAGGTCCTTTTGCTTGGAATAAATTTGCCTTATGAATTGGGGTTGAGTCACTAGATGGTGAGGGTGGGTGAACCAACCTTGGAGATGAGGGATAGGTAAGCTGGCTTCACCTCTTTGTGTGATGCCTCTGGAAACCTATCTATGGATTCGCTGGGTGAAGTTTAAAATCCCTCAGTAAGCCTAAAAATGAAAATGAAAAATATCAAGTTGACCCTGGCTGCTGATTAGGAAGCCTCTCATAGCCACTGGGAGCCTCAGGTTGAAGTTGGGACTCTTGATACTGAAGTGCAGTTCAGTGGATGGCCTTATGCTTTGGATGGCCTTGTGCTCTGTACTGTAGAATCCAGCCTCTTACAGGAATCTCATTCCCACTTAAAGTACCTGCAACTTGCAAAGTGCTATAGTGAATTGTAGGAATGTTAATCAGTTTTGGATAACTCCTGAGGCAAAGCAAGGTTCCCTGGAGGGAATTTTCAGCTTGTTAAAAGTAAGGTGGGATCTGTACAAGGCAACACATGTTGTAGCAGGGACGTCAGCAAGTTAGCCATCAAAAGCAAGCGGCAGGCAGATGTTTGCCGAAAGTGAAAGTAGTATCTCTAAGCTTACTGTAATGCCAAGTGTGTGGGGTGGAAGAGGGCAGGAGGACTAAGTTGTGACTGAGACTTCAGGTTTGTAATCAGAAGGATTTTACTGTGCTTGCAATGTCATTTATTTCTGTAAAAAGTAAAAAAACCCCAAACCACACCTTTTTTATTTCTCAGTTGCAAAGGGTTTCTGTTCTGAATGTTATCGTGTACATATTGCAGCTGAAATGCTAATGTGTTCTATGCAAAAAGAACAGTGAAAAGAAGCACAACTCATTTCAAAATGCTGAAGTAACTGCTTTCCTTACCTTTTTCAGAGCTTTACAATTTCCTCCTGAAGGTTGGCTTCGGATATCCCTCAACAATGGCAGCATCACCCACCTGGTCATCCGCCCTAGTGGCAAAGTGGCGCTTCGATTGCTCGGTGACACAGGCTTTATGCCTCCTGAGAAAATCACACGCAGCTGAGTGGGCCTTTTCTGGCACCGCTGGTGCCGCTGTGGTGTACAAGGTTATGGCTTGGTAGGAAATTGCGTTTCACAGTGTACTCAGTGAACGCCTACTCTTTCCCCCACTTCATTTATCTGTAAATAGAAGGGCTGTTCAGCATTGCTGTGTTCATGGTGCTTTTGGCACATTCCACAAAGTACTTCTGCAGTACAGTCTCCTGCTCCATTAAAATGAATGGAGACTTTACAGCAGTACTTAATGAATGAACCTAAAACCAGAGAATCTACATACTTAACTCATGTAAGGGTGCCACTTGCCTGGCTGCAACATGAAAGGTTCCCAGGCTTCTTACCAAAGCATATTGCTGTGTGTAGAGATGATTTCCCCCTCTCTTCTGTGGAAAGAGGATACAGAAATACCACAGGATTAGAAAGCAATTCTTTGCATTGGTAATCGGCAAAATTATTTTTGCTAGATCAGCAAGAATTGGGGCAGAGCGGTTTCAGCAACTACAATTGTGGCTGAGTTTTCATAACGTAATAATTTAGCTCCCTTACATGTCTGTGTTACTTTAGAGCAAAGGTTGGAAACTGAAAATGTGCAAAGGGCATGTATTAGAGGGTGTCCCCTGGCTATACACACCTGTTGGCGGGAACAAGAGTAGAATATGATGCTGCAATAGCTGCTTGAACAGCCCTTCTCACGATGGTATCCAAGATGAAGAGACTATCTAAAAGGAGACTGGACTTGATTCTTTTCTTCTTGCCCTTCAGTATCACATACAATTGTTCTTATATGAAAATGAGTGTTCTCATTTGCTTTACAAATGCCCCTCTCACACAATTAGTGTAAAAGTCTGAATTGAACCACTCTCCAAGGCCTGGACTTATTAGCAGTAGTTATGGTTACATGTCATTTGTCATTATTCCCATTGAGGCAAAGCACACCTGGGGACACGGGTGCTAAACTAAATTTAGAAGTGAGCCTCCTCCTTACCACCCCCAAGAGCATAGCCTGCACTATTTCTTCAGCATGCTTATTTGTCTTATTTTATAATGTATCAAAACTACTTTTTGAAATGGAATCTGCTGTTGGTGAAATGCTACCTGGAAAAAGGTGGTGGTCTGTCTTTCAATCAATGCAAACAAAGTTATCTTTGTAAAATATCTGCAAATATAGTTTTTTATTAACTTTCACAAGGCTTCCTTGATATCAAGAGTTGCTAAAAATAGCAGTGGTTATTTTCTCTTCAGGTAAACAATTGACCTCTTAGCATTTATAGACTGGTTTTTAGTCTGTTTATGGTGCTGTATGTACATGATTTTGCTAATGGAGTAAGTTCTAAGTGTGTGTGGGAGATCTGAAGGGGTGAAACTCATGAGCTGGTGCCAAGCTCTGAATTTAGAGTCCCTTTCAATGCAGCCGTGGGAACGGGAAGCGGTGATAGCACTGATGGAGCATACCCAAGGGGAGCTACATGGCAATCTCACCGCAGGTGTGGCACTGTGGGGCCCCTTCCCTACCCACGGGGATCCTTGCACACACACCCAGCCCCATGGCTGGCGCTGCCCGGCTCCATGGATCCTCTTGTCCTGGGCGCTGCTGCTGCTCCTGGCTGCTCCACTCTGCAGCACCAGGTACTGGGGCCCCCATTGTTCTTGTTTATTTCTCCTGTTTTGTGTTCAGCAGCAGTTAACGTAAGCACTCTGCTGTTATCAGACCAAACTAGTCCAACATTTTCTTCACAGCAGACAGACATGAAGGCAATGGCACTCTTCCACTCATAACAAGCAGCTGGCGGTAGCCGCCTTCAAACGTGGTGGGTATACAGGCATTACGACTAGTAGTCACTGAGAATCCTATCATCTATGAATTGAGTGCAAGTTTATTATTTTGGAAGCCTGATTCTACCAGGTTGCTGCCGATATTGCTCAGGGGCTGGGGGCAAGAATGAAGTCCAATTTGCAAAAGAATATATTTGCAACACACAAGCACTAAATAGAGGCAAGAGCTTTTTAAATAAACAAATTTAATAAGATTGTTAAAAATTCACTTGAACACATTGACAAAAAGGACTCGAATGTGAATTCTAAACATTAATATGTGTCAGGGCTGCCTGACAATATGTTTCTAACACTAACCCTTTAGACGCCCCCCTGGCAAGTGTTACAAACTGATCGGCTTGTGCTGCTGCAACACAGGGTTATATCCAATGTGAGTCATACTGAGAGTACACCCACTGAAATTAATAAGCATGATTAACTTAGGTCCTTTAATTTCATTGGGTCTGCTCCAAGTATGACTTGGTCACTACAACCCCTACTCTTAAATACAAGAAGGTATGCATAACAAGGATAAAGCAAAGAAGTTACAACAAAACACTGTCAATTTTTTAAAGTTGGTTTTCTTTTAAAACCAACAGTCTGAAGATTCTAAGCAAGAATGCTCTTTATACACCATAGAGAGCTTCACGTAAGGGGCAGCTGTGCCTTGGAACAGTGGCATATATATTAGCTTAAAGATCAGTGAGTGTTGAGAGCTTATTTTCAATATTGTGGAAGGCTTCGTACCTCAGAGTGATACTGTTTTCAGCAAGCTATTTTAAGTTGGTTTGGACTTCCTGGATAACCATATACCATGGTGACAGATTTATAAAAGCTGACTTCTAAATTAAGCACCTCTAAATATTCCACTACAGAAGTCAAGAAATTCCTTCTATAGTCTCTTGTCAAAGTTATATAAACCTATATTAGAAGGCAGCTTCAATATGTATATCTGTTGAACAGCACTCTAATTTCTAATGGAAAATTATACAGAAAAGAATAGTCATGTAAGGGAATTGAGGTGCACCCAAGAGAGGCTGTATATTTGCATGCCCATTTAAACAATGGGATAATGATAAAGACCCAGCCAATCTGGAAATATTTTTTCTGTAATTTACATTTAGACCACCTACATTAAATATACAAAATAATAAATGGATGGTTACAGCATCTCTTCAAGTCTTTAAACTATAAGGGAACAGCTTAAAAAAACCTGCATCCAAAAGTGTTGGAAAGTTAAACATGGTTACTGTTTACATAAGAGAACAGCACTTATTAAAAAGCAAGATAAAAATGTTACAAAAGGCACTAATAAAACTGGAAGAATCTTAAGTGCGGTTCTGGAGTTTTGTACCAAAACATCACACTCAGAAACAGTATACAAAATGCTCACACTTGGTATAAGGAAGCCACGACAGCTCTATGTGCAGTAGAGATCTAGGCTACTAAAAAGGCTTGCAGTGAATACAGCCACTAATAACACAGACTTTATCAAAGTCTGAAGGAGTCGTTCCAAAATGTCAAAACTTAAGCTGCCCGAAGTTTGACTATTTTAATGGCAGCTGCATTATCTATTCCAGAAGTCTCCAAAAGGGAATTAGTTTTCCTGTAGCTAACAAACTTTAGCACTGGCCTTTCATTTAAAAGTTAATGTGCCCTGCCCCCCCGAAGAACAGAAAAATCTGCCCATGGTAAGTGGAATTGTGGTAGAGAAATTGTTTGGATACAAAATATTAATTTCTATCATTAAGAACATAGGACACTAAAGTGTTTGGCTCTTTTAAAATACCTCTAATTAGATAAATTAACAAACTATAAATTTGCAGTCTACATACATAGAAAAGAGCTTTCCTCCTTTCAGCTCAACTGGAAGACCTTAAAACTTGACAGCTTGCCTTGAGTTCCCTTTAATCTACAGTTGCTACAGTGAAAGGGTTCCCAGTGAGAAGCACTGTACAGATAGTAAAATGGACATGGATAAATGTCCAAGAAAAGTAACTTCTAGGTTCTAGGAAATGCTTAAACTCTTCAGGCATTCTAATTTAATTTACTAATCTGCAAATCACCAATAATCTGGTAAATGGAATAAAAATATTTGCTACAAGCAGCCCTTTCTCTGACAGCAATAAATAAAATGAGTTTGGGGTACATTATTTGTGTGTTTCAACACCCTATTTTACTCCTTCCTTTTAAAAATACTTAACTGAAATTTTAAAAAGAGTCACATTCTAATGGATGAGCGGGTGCTTAGAAGTGATGGCGCTTAGATAACATAACGTAGTTCACATATGCTGGGCTGTACCATCCAGGGCTCCCAGAATCGGGTGAGAAGCTGGCAGCAGCTACATTGTACTTCCCAGGACTACCAAATACTGGACTGCTCTTTCCTGGGCTACAGCATGCCAGACCACTTGAAGGGCTTGAAGCTGTTTGAGACTTGAATCTTCCTTTTAGTGATGGAGTTGACCAGCTGGAAGAAAAGACAACACTTTTTATATATCAGGAAAATGTAACAAGGCGGAGAAGTTGAATTGCTGTGAGAACCTTTACTCTAGATATCAATATTAATACCCACATATAGTTGAGACATTATATTTAAATGCGAGCATTTATCACTGAATATCATTTGTAAGTAAATTGGCTGTTGTCTTCTAAGAAAGATCTTGTCCAGGTGGTTATGCTTTGAGCACCCAAATACAGTGGTACCTCGGGTTAAGAACTTAACTTGTTCCGGAGGTCCGTTCTTAACCTGAAACTGTTCTTAACCTGAGGTTCCACTTTAGCTAAGGGGGCCTCCCACTGCCACTGCCGCGCAATTTCTGTTCTCATCCTGAAGCAAAGTTCTTAACCCGAGGTACTATTTCTGGGTTAGCGGAGTCTGTAACATGAAGCATCTGTAACCCAAGGTACCACTGTAGAACAGTTTAGTTAATTACAGTCATACCTTGGGCTGAAGTAGCTTCGGGATGAATATTTTCGGGTTGCACTCCGTAGTGACCCGGAAGTAACAGAGCGCATTACTTCTGGGTTTCACCGCTCGCACAGGCGCTCAAAATGACGTCACGCGCATGTGTGGGAGCGGTGAATTGCGACCCGCAGACACGCAGATGCAGGTTGTGTTTGCTTCAGGATGTGAATGGGGCTCCGGAACAGATCCCATTCGCATCCAGAGGTACCACTGTAGTTCTTAGTATTATGCAAGACTTGACACTTGCTCCCCTAGCCAGGTTCTGGTGAGAGTTTTGGAACTGTGAACCCTTAAAAGTAGCTGCGGAGTTTTGACTTGACCCTGTGCTTTCCTCTGTCCCATCTCCAAACTGGAAGTAAACACTTCTGCTTGTATTTGCCCATGACAGGATTGCCAACTGCCTGTCAGGTACTGAAGAAGGCCCGGTGCCTCCAGCTCATGTTTCAAGCTGAGGAGAGAAGGCAGAGCGAATTTTCTACCCTGCCAGTAAGAACTAGCTACTGGGGAAAGGTGGGAAACATACCGGCCAATCAGTACATTAGCAAGCATTATGCCATGCCACACTGTAAACCTATAAGCCGTACCACACAGACCGGGTTTAGTTCTTTTAGCAAGCACATCAGCTAACTTTTATTGAAACCAAGTATACCTTTGCCGGTCAGAAGGAGAGTAGGACTGAACGGACACACTCCACTTGTAAATAGCAGGGTATTTTTGTGGATCCATCTCTAACCCATGTAATGCTGTTAACACATCATTGTCCAGCTTTGTTGGCTGTTCCCTAGAGACAGAAAGGGAGCTAGATTAGGAAAACAGAATCTGGCAGTGCCACAATCCCCAATGATTATTGCCCCACAAGACAAGAGGTCAGTTTGTTAAGCAACAGTCCATTTCATACCCTAAGAGAAACAGCTGCTTGGCTTTTTCGTTTGAGGATGAGACTTTTAGGAGACATTGCGAGGACATCTCAGACTGCAATTCAGAATTGCAAGACTGTTTTGTCTCCCCTTCCCGGACATCAGTTTCTGCTGACAGCCTCCCCACTTCTAGTGGTGTTTTTTCTTCTGTCCTTATTTTTGTATCCTCAGCAGCTGCACCTGCCTTGAGAAGCGGTGAATAAGTCTTAGTGAGATGGTCCTTAGGTTTTCTAAGCTGCCTTGTATTTTCCATCTGAGCACTCTCACACACACTTTTTGTGGCAGCCTGGCTTGGCTTCTCTGGTGAACATTCTCCTGCCACCATCTGATCCTGACAAGACAGCTTATCAAATTCTTCCATTAAATTGGAGACCGGAGACGGAAGGCACTCTTCTCCTCGACTTGGGTGCCTCCTATGAGGATTTACTGTCCTATCGCTGTTCACAGGGCTACAAAATCCATTTTTACTGGCAGGAACTCCTTTCTCCGAGTGCCTATCAGAAGTTTCTGCTGTAGGCATTATGCTTTCAGTCCTCTCAATGGACAAGATGTCACACTCTGAGCTTCTGATGTCAGTGATGGTTGGTTCATTGGATGCAACAGTTCGGCTGCAATTTCTGGCAGCATTCTGCCTGTTCTTTACTTCTTCCAAACTCATATCATCATCATCAAGAAATGCCCCAACAGAAATAGAATTGCAGCTTTTTTTACTTTTGCCTTTAAAACAAAATAAAAGAATTTTGGTGTGTGACATCTCATCCGCCTGACTAGTCACTTTTTAATAACAAACGTTCTATATTCCACTTTGTTTCAAGGGACTCAGTCAGATTCAAACAAACAATGTTACCCGACCCAGCACTGAAATACAAATAGCATTCTCTCATCAGTACTGGAAATTGGAGATTTCCAACTACTGGCTCACATGTCTTGGTTTCATTTTAGTTACCCCCACTCTATACCACAACTGGGAATGCAAGATGGGGCACCACTACCCTTTACCTGTCATATACTGCTCCCTGAAAGATAAGGGCTGCTGACTTGAAATCCCCAACCAAAATAATGCCTGGACTGATGTAACCTTGGCTAAAGGGGCATGGAAGACAGCTTGCAATCAAGCAGTAGCCAGATGATGTGAAAACCTAATTGAGGAAGCTTGGTACAAGTATCTGTTCAAAGCCTGGAGCAGCTCCTTAGAGCAGGTCTGAGAAAACTACCTAGGGATGAGGGAGCTGGGCTATACCTGCACAGATTGGAAAAGTTTTGGGGAAACATTTCTAGCCAGAATCTGGTAATGCTCAGTCAACCCTTATACCCATTGAGTGATATCTAACTAAGTCATATCTGACTAAGAGCAGACCCTCTGAAATTAATGGACTTAAAGGGTGATGCCCATTAATTTCAATGACTACTCTTGCGTATGACTGACTAGATATTGCCAATTACATTAAGTATTCCATCCAACAAGCACATGTCCCACCTCCATCTACAGAATGTACAGCTGGTTGAGTGGTGGCAAAATAGGCATCTAGGACAACACAGGGGTGCATTTTCTGCTTGTCTCTCTTCAACTCTGTTGCTTAACCCCTTTGCTCAGGACACTGATATTCCTCATCCAGTTTGACAGTTTTCTGGGTAGCAGTTACCCCACTTTATTGGGCTGGTATGGGGAGAGACTGAACTCAACACCAGTATTTTGCCATCTACACAGCTACAGCGATTCCTGTGTCTCATTCTTGTTGCAGATGGCATAAACCCAAAGAATCCATCTACAAGCCCTTGCCTTCATAAAACTTGGAAGTTTCCCCCCTTAAGCTTACAAACAAAACCCAATTCACAGCTGGGGAGGAGATTTTATAAGAGAGACTGAAGTCTTCAAAAGAAATATTATTTACACTGTTTAGAATACAATCTATTAATTTGTTCAGGACCTCTACTATAAAACAGTTTGATACAACTGTGGGCAACTGTCACTTTGACCTGATTGCTCCAAGTGTAACATTGGGGAATGCCAGTAAGGCTACGGAGTTCAATTTGCAGCATGGAAGGCATGTTCTGAAAGTCCCAGCAACATGAAAGTGATTTTTTAATTCTTAGGCCCATCCCCAAGAACCCGACATCATAATTTCTGCATTTTTATTATTCCCAAATATACTAACAAGCAGCGACCTTCCAGTTCAATACCGGCCTCAAGGATTGGCATGAATAGGCATTTGCCTAGAGTTCACATCCCAGCAGGGGTCCCATTAACAGGAGCCCCAGAGACTCTGAGAGGGAGCCCCACAGAATGCCTTGTCCAAAGGCCCAAGAAACTTATACTGCTCTAACTTAGACTTCTAAAGTGTCCTGTGCTAAGCGACTAATCTAACACTGGTAAATCTCAAAACTTGAGAAATTTTTATTAGACTTATTTTGGAACGTCTGAAAAATGATCTATTCAGTAATCAAACATTTTCTAACCTTCAGCTACTAAGATATGCTTTGCTCTTACCAGAAAGCTGTGGGGTTTTGTATCTGTTGTGGGTTTCATTCTCCCCTTTTTCTTGCTGAGCCTTATAGCTCATTTCCCGTTGACTCAGGTATGCTTCTAGCCTTTGTAACCCCTCCTGGGAAGACAGATCAACAAAACAGCCCAGAAATTCCCAGTATTCAACCCACGGGAACCCTAGTTCATGAGCTAACTCCCTGCAATAAACAAGATAGAACGAATCATTTGTGAAGACATAAAATTAATTTGACAAGTTTAGTAAAACACATGTTTAATTAGCCAGCCCCAAACTGTACATCAACTGTAAAAATCATTTTAACAAGTGAATTCTGCACCAAGCATGACCATAAGCCTTCACCAAATTCTTTTTAATTGTTATAATTCCTGCATTTTCAAAAAACAATTCAGAATAATTTCCATCCCATCTTGCTTTCTACTGTCAAAGCATATGAGCAATCTCAACAGAAATTCTATTACTGAATGAAACCTTTAAAGGCACATAAAATACTCTTAACACAAAATAAGCATTCTATGAGAAATAAAGAGACAGAAGCTTTCCAAAAACAGAGCAGATATAGATGAATGCACTGCATTGCTAAGTCTACTAGCATTGCTCCTGTTTCTGCAATGTATTTATTTGGCACTTACAAAACACAGATGATACAAATAAGGCCAGGTGGTAGGAAAAGTGAAAACGTGTAGAAGAAATGGTTGGGGAAAGGCAGGGTGCAGGAAAAATGGGGATTGCCTGACAAGTAGAGGAGGTTCCAACATGGCAAAATACATAAGCATGCAAGTGAAGGAAGAGGGGGAAGGAGAATAAGATAGGGAATGAGCCAAAGTTGCTAAGTGACTTCTGCACTGAAGTCAGAATAAGCCAATGAGGAAGAGGTTTTAATAAAGTAGGCTGTGTATTGAATGAGCAAGACCAGAAAGGATAAAAATAACAGTGCAGAATTCAACATTCTTAGAATATCAAGATCTTTTTCATATGGTTGCAGAAGTCAGCTTTTGTTGGGATGCTATTTCAATTTAAGCAGAGAGTGTTCACAATCCTGGATGCTGTGATCAGAGCATGGGCTAAGAGTTTTAGCAAAGGTTGGACATTTTAGTTACAAAACAAAATGATTGGGAATTTTTGCCTTTTGAAACATTCTGGGCCCTTAAGGAGTGAGAGAGATGAAAAGCTGCCATGGATACATGTCATGGAGGTGCAATCAAAGAAGACAAAATGACAGACGACATGGAAATCAGAAAACGGATGATGACAAATCTTAGAGGTAGATTTGCAGACAGTCATCATCAAGTGATCCTCACAGAGTGGTTAAAAATTCATTTTAAGAGCCAGAATATGCTTTAAAATTGACTTTTTAAAAAGCTTGTGTAAAACTTAATTTTGTTTGTTATTGTGGTTTTTTGTTTTGTTTTTATATTGCAAATCCTCAGATAAAGGGCAGTATAGAAATTTAAAAATAAATAAACAGTCAATTAAGTTAACAGAACACACTGCCACCTCCAAAGTTCCATTCTCCCTCTGTCCTTATGCACAGATAGACCTTAATAGAAGCTGGGAGCTTTCTCAACAACTTCCTAAGCCTCTCCAGATGCAGTTTGTTCTCATCCGTAGCATTTTACCAAGTTTTGATATTTAATACAATTGAAATATCTTTTATTCCTGTTGCTATATTGTTTCATGCATTAATTCTGAAGTACCTTCCAACTCTTTCAACGCCTCTTTCCACATCAGATTTTCTGAGATTGTTAAAAAATCCTGCTCGCTCTCGAGGTGGAGTCTTCCAAAGTCTGTGGAACTCTTCTGCCTTTAAGGGAGGAAAAATTGCATTCAGTTACTGTAGTTCTAGAGCATGCTAATCTTCTCTTCCTAAAAATCTGAAATGAGCATCTTTTAGTCATCCAGAACCATCCAGCTTTCATGCAAACTTCCAATAACTTAGGGGCCCATCTGATGTAACCCTTTGTGATGCAGAAAGGGTTGTAACCCTTCAGCATAGTACAGCTCCCAACACCAAATAACCTTGAGCCGCATGGATGAGGCCCACAATGTAACTTCCAACAACAACACTGCCCTAGTTTTGGAGAGAGGTTGTGCTAGCACTAGAGGAGCTGCAAGATCAGAATGTCCCAAGAAACATTACTTTAGCAACACAGGATTTCAGAAGCACAACTTCTATTTCCTACATTTTAACTGACTCTATCTGAACAATTACACAAATGCAGCATAACACCTACTTTATTTGTTTTACCAAGTTAAAGCTATTCTTATACTGCTTTGCGAAATAGTGACGATCCATATAACCTCGTCAAAGGACACAGTTTACTTCAGTGTGTCCACATTATCAGAGTTACTGTCTCTGTTATAAGATTCTACTCATTAAACTAGATTCAAAATGAGTTCTTATTCAATTATACAAAATACCAAGAGCAAAGCAAGCTTTATTGACTTTTAAAAACTACAGCTTACACTAGTTATCAGAGGTTTTGAACACCATGTAAAGTAGTACATGCATATCTTATGCTAAGAAATTAAGAGCATTAAAATGGGTTGTTCCATTCCCCCCCACCAATATAGCCATTGCACTCTTCCCCCAAATACCTCTTTTTTTGTCTCTTGCTTGAGTTTGGTTTTTGTGAAATTTCAGTTCTATATGTTATAAGTCTGAGTTGCATATTTACAGTACAAGGGCAGGACATAAATGCCCCCCTCCCAAGAAATAAAATAGTAATTTATCAAAAAGCTTGAAATGAATGAATAAATTGAAAATATCTAATTCTTTCCAACTACCTTTTCCATAGCTGACATCTGAAGACAGCAATTATTTTCTACGTATGGCATTTTTGCATGTGTGCCTAAGATTATGACACTGAAGGGCGATTAATTCCTCTGAGCCAATAAGGTGCTTGGCTATATAGATAAAATGGAGACCTCTAGGGAGCTATTATTTTGTTAGTTGCAAAGAGCACCCAGTGTGGCACTTTATAAATTTAGTCCTTTATAAACAAGGTTCTGCTGTACTTTCAGGTCTATGTAATGGCAAACAAACCTAAGTCCAATTTTAACATAACCAGAATTAATAGGATTGGCTTGGGCTGCAAGACTGCGCTACTGGCACCACCTGCACACACTCAACTCCCCCTCCCCACAAAGTGAAATTGTTAGATAACCCATGTTAAAGTAAAAAAAAGTGCCACACTGTAAAAGGACCTGCACTACCTGGCAAAAGGTCTGCTGGACGGCATAATGAGGATGCAATGGAGGAGGAATTTTCCTCCACTCTCGTTCAAGCAGTCTCCCAGCTTTCTTCACAGCAAGTTCTCAAGTTCACCAAGGCTGGTTTTATTTAGCCCAGATTGAGAAGTGTCACAGCAAATGTTAAACCCACAGAGGGGGGTTGAGGGGGGAGGGAAGAATTTGCATGTGAGGAAGGTCTTTACAATATCTGGGTTTGAAGTAAGCACACTAACCTCACCTGTGCTCCTAAACTTGTAGACCAGGGGTAGGCAACCTAAGGCCTGGGGGCCAGATGCAGCCCATTCCCCTTCTCAATCCAGCCCGCAGACGGTCCGGGAATCAGCATGTTTTTACATGAATAGAATGTGTCCTTTTATTTAAAATGCATCTCTGGGTTATTTGTGGGGCACAGGAATTCATTCATTCTCCCCCCCCCCCCAAAAAAAAATATAGTCCAGCCCACCACATGGTCTGAGGGACAGTGGACCGGCCCCTTGCTGGAAAAGGTTGCTGACCCCTGTTGTAGACTGTTCTACAGAATGTACCTGATTCTGCACTTCTACAGGTGTACTTGATTTCATTTTAATCCAGATTTATGATAGCCCGAAGTAACACCAAAAAGGAAGAACAAGACCAAATATTTTTTTGGTTTCTATTACCTTAGAAGGGCTCATGGGGCCTCCATAAGCCCTTACTGTCAACACAGGATCTTTGGGGCTGCCAAAATATCTGGGTAAAGAAGCATAAGGGCTATCCTCTGTCTGATCAGGTGACCAAGGTGCTCCAATCACAGGTGGTCCAATCACAGGTTGTGAGGCATTGTCTTCTGCTCTGAAGAGTGGCACATAACACTGACCTAGGTTACAAATAATTGAAAATGGTGTTAAGTTTCTATGAATGTTTATCATACACTTAAATACTACCCAGGTCGGTGGTTTCAATTTCCCTACAATTCAAAAATAAAATTCTCACTTGATACTGGATCATTCTGTTTCTACTTCAGAGACCATGTAAGTTTTATTTAACACCCCAGTTACATAAAATAATACATGCCATTTGCTTCTAGCATCATCCAATAAAAAGTTAAATGATGATACAATTTTTTGGTATTACTTCTGCAGAACCTCTAAAGGCAACCAAGATTAAATACAAACCTTTCAAGTATTCCCTGATTTTCTCTTTCAGATCCACAGTTTTATTTTTACTTCTTTCACAAACTACCTGTTAGAAAAAAGCATCAAGGTATTGGTTAAAGAACAGAGTAGTTGCACATTTTGTACTGATCTATCCATTTGGAACAGTTTAATAGGCAGCACTTCTGTCCCAATAATTTATAAAGGTAAAGGAACCCCTGACCATTAGGTCCAGTCGTGGCCGACTCTGGGGCTGCGGCACTCATCTCGCTTTATTGGCCGAGGGAGCGACGGCTTCCAGGTTATGTGGCCAGCATGACTAAGCCGCTTCTGGCAAACCAGAGCAGTGCAGAGAAATGCCGTTTACCTTCCCGCCGGAGCGGTACCTATTTATCTACTTGCACTTTGACGTGCTTTCAAACTGGCAGGAAATAATTTATAGGTTTAACTAATAAAACCCCACTGCAAGCTACAAATAATTTGGGGAGGCTTTTGCCAACTTACATGGCAGAAAACTACCAGAGAGCACTAAGGTAAAGAACAGTCACATTTAAACAAAAACCAAAGTGGTCATAACATGTTTTAAGGACAACTTACTTCTGCTGGAGTTTGGTTGTACTTGTTCCTTGGGTTCTTTACAATATCTGGATGCGAAGCAAGCACACTAACCACATCTGGGTTCCCAAATTTGCAAGCAAAATGTAGTGGTGTATCAAATCCCTATAAAAAGAAGAAATACAATTATTCCTATTCTGGACCCTTGTTTTCATCTAAGTATATATGTGCATTTGGAGAAGCCTCTCTATTTGCATGGGAGAACGAGATCCATGTGACACTCACTTGAGGTATGTGGAAAGGTATGTGTATTAATAAATTAAGAGTTGGGATGCACATAATCACATATTAACCCCAATACTGCAGGAGTCCACTGGTTGCCCCATTTGTGGGTTAATTTCAAGGTGCCGATTCTTGATTTTAACCATTAAAGTGTTCTCTATTATCCGTCTAGACTTCTGGAATTTCATTAACTCTTGAGATCCACCCCGTTCAGAGGCTTGCCCCATTTAGATGACTTTTCTTTTTAAGCAGGCTATTTTGGGGTTGTTGATTTTTTTTAAAAAAAATCTCTTTAATAACTCATTTAAGTTGCAAAATAGATTATGGTTGTGTTCACCCATCACATGAACCCATGAATTAGTGTTTAACTATAGTTTAATACAAATGAGCAATGCATTGGTGGCCCACTGCTTAAATGTCCACATCTCAGTCCTCTCCAGCTCCTGGGTGCACAGGGTGTAACAAACCACATACTGCAGCTTGTTGTATCGTCCAAACCTGAGCTGGGTTAAGTTGCAAACCAGACCCGTAACTCCCCAATTCTAAAACTACATATCTAAAAACATTACTGTATCTTGTCTGACAACAGGCCTCCATGGGATAATCAATAATTACAAAAACAAGAGATAAAAAAATATTGCTTTAAAAGGCAGTGGTGACTGAGGAAGGCAGGGGGAGGCAGTGATGTATAACAGTCACAGTATGTGGAGGTTGCTACTGCTGCCCCAACTGCTAATATGGCATTAAGTCGCACTGGCTTTTAATTAAGTCTGCCTGGAGCTAGACTAAATTACTTGCACTTTATTTGTCTCAATGAGACAAATTAAGTCATGACTAACTTTTCACATTAGTCTAACAGAGCTATCTTTAGGCTGCAATCCAGTCCTCACTTACCTGGGCCTAAGTCCCCTCTAACTCAAAAGGGCTTAATTTCCAGTGGATATGCATTGGTTGGCTGGATCCAACCCCATATGTTCTTCACTTAAAGTAACAGGCTAGTGGTGTTATTCTTCAGTATCCAACACAAAGAAAAAGAAACCAGTGAGACACTGAAACTCACCACTTTATCTGGTGTGTTAAGATAAAGGTCAACAATGTACCCGATGCGCTTCTGTAACATTATCTCATCATCATCAGGATACATCAATCGCATAAATTCAGGATTTTCCAAAGTGTCCAATAGCAACCGGCAGATACCAGGTTGATTCTCCTTGGCCGCAACATGCATGACATTGTATCTACAGCCTTCCTAAAAAGAAATAGGCACACATTCACTAAATATGAAATCGGAACGATTTGCTAGAGAGAAATACCCTTACAGCAATGTTATTGTTTTTCCCCTGATCTTACATACACAAAAATTCAGGAAACACACATATACTGTAAAGCCTTCAGTTTACCTGGAGAACTCTATATTAGCAAGCTGATGGTGTTAGGTCTCAAGGGGAAATCTAAGTATTTGGAAAACAGCAAACATGGAGCATTTGGGGATACTAGTAAAGCGCCACAACAATCTGTTCAGAGAACAAGCCGCTCTCATGTTTATGCAAGTTATTGCTAACATTTGAGCCTGTATGTTCAGTTTTCACAGCTTAAAGCAGGCATAGGCAAACTCTGTCCTCCAGATGTTTTGGGACTACAACTCCCATCATCCCTAGCTAACAGGACCAGTGGTCAGGGATGATGGAAGTTGAAGTCCCAAAACATCTGGAGGGCAGAGTTTGCCTATGCCTGGCTTAAAGTGTAGGGGGAGAGAGAGAGAGAGAGAGAGAGAGAGAGAGAGAGAAGAGCAAACCTATTTCTAACAAACAGGAACAAGATTCTGGTTTTTTGAGCACAATGTTGATTGAAAGGATGGAAGATCTGCATCCCGTGTATGTGTATTTGTGTGGTGTCCCATTTCAGCATTTGTCAGTATGCCGTGGTGTATGTGTGATGTGTCTGGGTGGTTTGTGTGTGCATGTCAGCTGTGAGGTGGCTATGAAAACTTTTTTGGCATGTAGCACCCAGAAGGGGATGGAAGGTGGGGCCACAAAAGCTAGTCACCTCTTGGCTACAGACTTTCCAAAAACAGCCAGCAAATTTAGATATTTTTTTTTACTGATTTCGTTTTCAATCCTCTCCCCCTCCCAATATCATTTTTTTAAAAGTGAAGCCCCAAGGTACTCTACATGAAATAAAGACTCCAGAAGCAGCACAAAAAAACACTGTAGAACTAACACTATGCCCATCTCTTGTGCAGATGAGTTTTGAAGCCATTTCCCTTGGAAGTAGCAAGTTGGGGGAAGGATGCAAAGGGTTTAATTCAAACTTCGTTTTGGCAAAGGCCAAACCATTCCCACACCTGAACAATTGTCGGGTTGTCTCCAGAGCCAATGAGATAGCGAGGATTACTCCAGATAAGTTCCAAGAATGCTGTTTCATCTCCTTTCTCAACCGCCTTCCGAAGCTTGGCAGTAAGATCCTGCGTACGAGGACTTTTATAACTGTTGGCTCTCTCTTTACTAACTGTTTCCATCTCAGGAGAGCATAAGCCGTCTATCAAAATAAAAATGGTATTCTACTCATGATGTGATCTTTGCTCATGAAAGTGTGTCAGGTTATTTTATATGCAAACTCTGTATACCTATTGTTCAGAACTTCTAGGCAGGTAAATTAAGAACAGATCCTTCAGCATTAATTTTGAAATAAAGAATATTTATAAGCTTTAAACCAGTTTAGGAATTCACATGATCCCTGTCAGAATAAAGTTCTCAGAGCTACATTTTAGAAGAGCACTGGCAGTATTTTAAGTATAAATTACAGTCCCAACTCCAAAAGCCACTTAAGTAGTTAAAGAATTGGAAAACATTTAAAAGCCTCCACTTACCTCTGTTGAACACCGAACAAACTTTCACAGGTGACAAAGATAAGGAGGGCTTGTTTGGAGATGGGAAATAGTCACATATGCCTTTGGCAAATTTCTCTGCATCTTCCCTATTTGTGAAAGCTTTAAATCTTGAACCTTTTATCATTTTAACAGCTTGCAAGGCTTCCTTTTTATCCTCATATACATGCACCCTCTCTGGAACAGAAACAAATCAAATTAGTTTATTTCCATCGTGGTAGTCTGCAGGAGAAAATGCTCAAATGAGTTCAAAATTGGCTTGGTGAATATTACTTTCAGGAAAAGAGGCTTAAATTCTTATACATTTTCGATAGCAAATTTGTAGTAATATGCCAAATTTTGGGGGTCTTACAGAGAAAGAGAACAATCGTGATAAGATTGCACTAATGCTGCAAATCTGGCTCATTACAAATCATTCTCATCATGATTATGATGCAACTCTAAACACTTTTTCATCAGCAAGCAAAGAAAGGACAAGCCTTTGAAAAATTCCCTACCAAACTACATCAATGTGACACTGTCAAAAATCTTTATTGAACACAGTTTCACATTGCCTGGCATGAATTCTCCCACTCCCATCCAGAATATCCTCTGCTACTATAATAAAAAAATAACAATATATTGAGATAAAGTAGGCTAATTCTTCAGTGAAGTTCTGATATTTGTACACATCTGGTATTCTTGCAGCTTAAAAATAGTATCTGTATATTCTAGGACTGACTCCATAAATAGCATTAGTCTCCTAAATACTTAATCTCAAATCTAATCCCATACCAAGTAAGGGTGGAACCGAGATCAGTCTTGAAATGTTTTGAGCATCCCAAGAGCTGTTATGTCATCCTTGGTTGTTCGGGATTATGCTTCCTCAAAGAGAGAACATTAGATTCTCTAGTTTCAGGCTTGCAGCAGTGTTCGAAACTCCCACTGTATTAGGCGCATTTTGCGACAGGGAATTTCATTACAGCAAGCAATTTCTGAGCTCTGGATGTAGTACTGCGCCTAAGATTTCAGATTAAAACTGCAGAGTGGAAGGAAAGGAGGACCCTTTCTGCCTCCCCACTTCCAGCTACCGTATTTTTTGCTCTATAAGACTCACTTTTTCCCTCCTAAAAAGTAAGGGGAAATGTTTGTGCGTCTTATGGAGCGAATGCAGGCTGCGCAGCTATCCCAGAAGCCAGAACAGCAAGAGGGATCGCTGCTTTCGCTGTGCAGCGATCCCTCCTGCTATTCTGGCTTCTGGGATTCAGAATATTTTTTTTCTTGTTTTCTTCCTCCAAAAACTAGGTGCGTCTTATGGTCTGGTGCGTCTTATAGAGCGAAAAATACGGTATTCTCTGAAGACTGGAGAAAAGACCCTCTTAATAATATTAGGGGGTGGGCAGGGGAAGGACTAGACCATGTGAAAAATGAACATAATATTTTAGCTGCAGTTCATTAATTTTCAGCTTTGTATTCTTGTTACAAAAAAAAGCGCGCCTAGACACTCTTGTTGTGCCCATAACTTAGGTTTAAGGTGCCATTTAGCTCCTAGCTTTCATCTTAGTTTCTATCATCGGCTTGCAGTACCTATTGAAAACTGCTTAATTGCAAGAATTTCCTTTCAATTTACTTCCCAATGGAATGCTTATTGGTAGATTACCAACAAACTCTTCTACAGTAATAATGAATATAGAAAAAAACTAAAGCTAGAAATACATGAAAAGGCTATATGAAAGAACACATGATTCTGTTTTTTTGCACTTTTAAAAAATTTAAATGCTGGCCACCCTGGACATTTTATAAAAGAGTGGGGTATACATTTTAAATAACTAATCTGTAAAATAAATTAACCACAATTACTATTCTCCAATAGCACCCTTTTTCCTCCATGAAAGGTACATTTGCTTAACTTGATCTTTAACTACACTGCAGTGGTAAAAATAAAAATAAATTACCATTTCTTGCCAATATATCATCATAAACCGGACATACACCATAGTATAGCAGAGGCTCCTTAGATGGAGTCTGAGAACTGATCAGAGAATCATTGTCTGCCTTGTGCATTAGGGCTTCCTCTTCTGGGGGGTTCAAACCCATACTGTACCCAAAATCGCCATCCTCAGAGGACCCTATGTGACCATTTTGATTCCTTGAAGGTTTCTTTGTTTGCAGTTGGCTGGCATCAGCTGCAGCAGTTCCAAGTACACCATTCAAAAGCGAGGTTTCTGCCTCTAATTCTCCTTGCTGTTCCAATAGTGCCTGGGCCAATCTTTTTTCAAAAATTGATCTCGTTGTAAGTGTAAGAGGCCCACATTTCTGTCCAGCTTTAACGATCTCTTCTCTGAGCTCATCAGAAGTTAGCTGCTTTAATCGTGATAAAATTGCATCCATTGTTACCGTTCCTAGAGAGAAAAAACAACCACCACCAAATGAAAAGACAACCAAACAGATTATTAGCTTTGAGGGCTCAAATACTGAAGAGCAATTTCTCCTAATAAGTCAGCTCATTGTTATCAAAGAATAGGCGAGTGAAAAGTAAAGGGGAAATAGGGGCTGTGTGAACCCTATGGTAAGTTTTTAAATCCCTAAAGGAGGAACACTTGCTTGCATGTGAACCTGTTCATTCATTAATACCTTCCTCAGAGGTGGTTGGCCCCATGACGTTCAAATCTTCTCCCAAGGGTTGCTTAGCTTGGCTCTCGCTGAGACTAGTCTAGCTGATGGTGCAGGTTGAAACAGTGTACAGAAAACCAAAGTCTCCAAAGTTAGATACTAGGTTCTCACACTAGTGGATAGCTGCACCAACTGGGAAGAGAAGGGTTGATAAGGTGCTTGCTGGGCAGATCAATGCACTACCTAGAAATGCAAGGGGAGAATTTACACCACTCCAGCACTCTCCTGTATCTGTTTTGGGCGCCTGGCCCCCTTTGCAGCTGAAGTATCTTAATAAACCCAGGTGTATGGTAAGCATTGCTCAAAGCAACTCTTAAGAATATTTCATGCCAATCAGGCTTACTAGCTACTTTGCTTCTCAATATTCTCTGGTTGGCCTCTGTTATTTTCTCCTACCGATGGGGAACCTACAAAGGATTCTATAAGGGCTCTTGTGTCCTCCATAAGAGAATAAGGGCAGATTTTGTTTATTACACTTGCAATTCTGTTCTGAATGCAAAGGTTCAGATTACAAAGAAAACTTTGAAATACATCTTATCTCAATCATGTGCATTGTGTGGGAAGATAATAGCACCGTGCAACTAAATTTAAACACACTATGTAATGTTAAAACTTTGTAAGCTCTCAAGTTTACAAATGTTTACTATCAACAAGGCAAATATGTGATTAGCAAATGTAGCTGGATGGCTCCATTGGTAAAGCATGAGACTTAATTTCAGGATTGCTGGTTCGAGCCCTGCACTGGGCTAAAGATTCCTCTTTGCAGGAGTTGGACTAGATGACCCTCAAGAGTCCCTTTCAACTCTACAATGCTATGATTCTAATTCAGTAGAGGGGTACAGCACTAAGACAGAAACCCCAGTATTAACCCCTTCCCCAGTTTTGTAATATTTCCTAATAATTTCAAATTTTTACAGGGAAATATTTAAAACAGTGGTTTTTTTATATATAGTAAAGTTAAAGGAACCCCTGACCATTAGGTCCAGTCGTGGCCAACTCTGGGGTTGCGGCGCTCATCTCGCTTTTTTGGCCGAGGGAGCCAGCGTACAGCTTCCGGGTCATGTGGCCAGCATGACTAAGCCGCTTCTGGTGAACCAGAGCAGCGCATGGAAACGCCGTTTACCTTCCCGCTGGAGCAGTACCTATTTATCTACTTGCACTTTGATGTGCTTTCGAACTGCTAGGTTGGCAGGAGCAGGGACCGAGCAACGGGAGCTCACCCCGTCGTGGGGATTCGAACCGCCAACCTTCTGATCGGCAAGTCCTAGACTCTGTGGTTTAGACCACAGCCCCACCCGCGTCCCTTTTCATATATAGCTACTGTCAATAACTTACAGAATTCAAAGCTATGATTCAGTAAGAGCCTCTTAGGAAACCTGTGTATTCAAATATATAAATTCCAGCCTCAAACAATTTACTCTGTAACTTCATATAATTGTAGAGTTGGAAGGGACCCCAAGAATCATCTGGTCCAACCTCCTGCAATGCAGGAATCTCAACTAAAGCATCCTTGACAGATGGCCATCCAACCTCTGCTTAAAAACCTTGAAGAGTCCACAACCTCCCAAGGGAGACTGTTCCTCTTGTATACTAACTACACGCACTGTTTCTCAAACTTGAGTCTCCAGCTGTTGTTGGACTACAGCTCCCATTATCCCAAGCTAGCAGGACAAATGGTTAGGGATGATGGGAGTTGTAGTCCAACAACAGCTGAAGACCCATGTTTGAGAAACACTGACTAATGCTAGCAGCAAGAATATTGAGCACCATTTCAGTACTTAGTCATTAAGCATCTGGCAGGAAGCTTTAGATCCACGTCTGCTCTTCTACTTAAAAAGAGAATGAAGCAGATCCAAGAATTCAACCATAAAAGGAAAACTGGAAGAAGTTTTAAAATAGATTAGAATAAATAGAATATTTCAGTGGGATAAGAACATCAAATATACTCAACCATTTAACCTACTGCCTCTATTTTTAGGTCACAACAAACTTACTGCCCACGTTCCCAGTGAATAATTTCAAACAGATTAGCTACTTATTAACATTCAAAGTAAACTGACTCTCCTGGCATAAGATTGTGTTATGGAGGGTGTGCAATTAATACACAAGCCTGCAATTCTCACATGCAATATGACACTCAATTCTAGGGGTCTTTTGCATTGAGACCTGGTCACTCTCCAGAGTTTGGCACCCCAAGAGTTAACACAGAGGACAGATGAGAAGCAAATGTGAATTTATTCTATCAAGAGGGAATTAACTTGTCTCAAAAGGGAATTTACTAAGAAAATATTAGACAAAATCAGTAAGCATGCAAATACTAGTCTGAGTTTAGGAGAATTAAAACCAAATACAGTGGCACCTCAGTTTAAGAACAGCCCTGTTTACAAACTATTCAGTTTATGAACTCCGCAAAACTGAAAGTAGTGTCCCGGTTTGCGAACTTTACTTTGGTCTCAGAACGGAAGCTGAACAGTTGAAGGGCACCAGCAGCAGGAGGCTTCATTAGGGAAAGTGCACCTCGGTTTAAGAATGGTTTTGGTTTAAGAACGGACTTCCGGAACGGATTAAGTTTGTAAACAGAGGTACCACTGTATAAGAGTTCTTGTTAGAAGAATTCCTATGAATTATTTAGGAAAACTAGGATGAAGTCAGGGAAAGTAGGTGGGTGAGGATGCTGGCTGGTGGTGCTATCAGAAGAGGATAGATCATGGGTGAATTATTATTATTAATAATAATTTATACCCTGCCCTCCCCGGCCAGAGCCGGGCTCAGGGCGGCCAACACCAATAAAATTACAATAAAACATAATATGGGGGGGGACCAGTTTAGTAAAATACGGCTTAAAATACTATTTAAAATGCAGTCTCATTTTAATAGTAGCCCATAAATCAAAACCATAAGGGGAGGGAAACATATGGGTGAGACTGAGTCCAAACCAAAGGCCAGGCGGAACAACTCTGTCTTGCAGGCCCTGCGGAAAGATGTCAAGTCCCGCAGGGCCCTAGTCTCTTGTGACAAGAGCGTTCCACCAAGTCGGGGCCAGTACTGAAAAGGCCCTGGCCCTAGTTGAGACCAATCTAACCACCTTGCGGCTTGGGACCTCCAAAGTGTTGTTATTTGTGGACCTTAAGGTCCTCCACAGGGCATATCAGGAGAGGCGGTCCCGTAGGTACGCGGGTCCTAGGCCGCATAGGACTTTAAAGGTCAAAACCAGCACCTTACACCTGACCCTGTACTCCACCGGGAGCCAGTGCAGCTGGTAAAGCACAGGATGAATGTGATCCCATTAGGAGCCTCGTCGCGGCATTCTGCACCTGCTGGAGTTTCTGGGTCAGCTTCAAGGGCAGCCCCACGTAGAGCGAGTTACAATAATCAAGCCTGGAGGTAAACGTCGCATGGATCACTGTGGCCAGATCAGGGTGAGAAAGGTAAGGGACCAACTGCTTGATATGGCGGAGATGGAAAAATGCCACCTTTGCTGTGGCTGCAACCTGTGCCTCCATGGAAAGGGAAGCGTGGAAGGTTACACCCAAGCTCTTGACAGAAGGTGCTGGCTTTATAGTAAGAGAAAGGGAGGTTGTGGTGGTAATAAAGGAGTTTGGGTAATGGGGCTTTTGGAAAGTGTTTAGGTAAAAATCAGAAGAGATCAGGTAAGATATTTTGAGGGAAGGCTGAGAGAAAAGGGTTAATATTTAGAGTGGATGGCTGTGGATTGTAAAGAAATGAGGACCTGAGTTTTGGAGGTGAAACAACTAACGGAGAAAAAATGAGCAAAAAAATGGAAGAGAGCAGGAAACAGGAATCTGACAGAAATAAAACAGAGGATTTTGCCAACTGATATGATTGCTAGGAAAGAGAGGAAAATTTTATTCTGTTTCCTTGTTCTAAGAGGCTGAGTTGTTTTTTAAAGTGTGGGTACCTCTTCAGCGGCAAAAGGGATAAGGAGATATAGTCCGGCCCTCCACAAGGTCTGAGGGACAGTGGACCGGCCCCCTGCTGAAAAAGTTTGCTGACCCCTGGTGAAAAGCATCACCTCTGTTCTACCAAACATTGTGCCAGTTGGTATAAGGTATATTCCAACAACATAATCAAGGTACAGCACTCTTGAGTAATATTCCACTGCACTTTTTCCGAGCACCTCAAGGATAAAGGCAATTCTTATCTGCCTAAAAACAAAAGTAGAAAAATATTGTGGAAAACTCAAAATACAATATTTGAGTAAAACAGTGTAGGTGGCATGCCCCATACAAGAAAAAATATATTTAAGAGCAAAGGGAAAAGAAATATGGTAAGGAAGAGCAGGTTGAGATCTGAGCTAACTTTTCTGGGCAAGGTTTTTACATTTAAAGAGTCTCAATAAAGTATTCATGTCAATAAGAACTCCATGTGTGATAGAAAAGACTCCCAAACTGTGAGTCAGTGCTGGCAGCTGGAATTCATCTTAATAAATGTATTGATGAGTAGGCAATTACTCTGCAAGTGGAATGTTCCCAGGAGTAGGCAGGCTTGCAGCGACAGTTCAGATGTATTAATAGAGGTGTAACTATAAATACAGATCTCTTTACATAGGGATGTACATCAATTTGGGGGAAGAATCATCCACACTTATTTATAAAAAGTGCCCAAAATATATATTAGGTCAAGGTGAGTACATCTGCAGGCTTAAAACAAAATTCTTTAAAAAAAGAAATTAAGAAATCTGCAACAACTGGCTGGGTGAGACTAAAAAACAAAAATCTAAATGTTTAAGTAGGAAAACTGAGAAATATTAAAGAAATCAAGTGGAACATCAAGAAAGAAGTGCAAGAGAGAAAATATGAGACTACAGGCTGTGATAAGACAGGCTATGCTGTACAAACTCATCAACTTTAGTGAGATAAATTTCTGACAGCTTGAAATCTCAAGTTATTAGACCTAAATGAGCAGGGTAAAGTATTTTTCTCCTCCCTATCCCTAGTTCTCTCACTTGTTCTCTCAGGTCGTCCGTCCCCCCGTCCCCCCCGATTCTTGGGTGCTGGGGTTTAATCAGAGTAGACAGGCTGAGCTTGTTTTTTTGCCAGACAGAATGACAAAGGGAGAGGATGGCCTTGACATTAACCCACAGCAAAAGCCATCAAGTCAAAGAGCCTACAGGTAACTGAGGGGTTTTTACACAGAGGGTTTTGGCAAGGTGTTCTGGGAACAAGAAGGAAACTGGACAGAACTCCATGTGCACTGGCTGGGAGAAACTGCACCGAGAGAGCAGGGGGCCAAGACTGACTGCTGGACCCAGTCTTGCTGAAGCTATGAGAGGAGCCACAAGACACTCTTGAGGTATAACGTTCTGGGCCCCCCTCCACTGCAGGCTTCAGGTGTAAATGTGTGTGAATAAACCATATTTCCTAGACACTGCAGACTCTGATGTGCCTTGATTTCCACTGGCACACAACGCTGAGTGGGTGCTTGGGACCCCCTGGAATCTTGTTATCACTGGGCAGAGATTGGAGTGGCATGTAACAATATAATGACACTCATCTCCAACATGACAACTACTATGAGAATTATGCTAAATACTAGACACAAATTAAAAGTAAGGTTAGACAACATTACGTTCTTGATTAATTAAAACTGCATGTTATTTCCACATAATCTGCATGGTATATGCTTACGCCAGTCTCCACACAGCTTCCTCTGCTCTTTCTCCTGCTTACTTCTCACGTTAAAAGGATTTCCACTCTTGCGCTTTGTTAAATACCATACACATTTATGTCACTATTATTATTACCGAGTTTTAACTAGGCCATACTTCCAGTAATCATACTAAAATCAATTGTTAGCCATGGCGAACTTAAATTCATCATTTTCAACGTGTCTATGATCTAACCCAATATGTATCTGCATTTGTTTTGTACCCCGCCTTGAAGGCCTCTATTGCCCAAAGGCCTACAAATAACAAATGGGACACACACAAAAACAAAACCACCATATAATTCAGGCACCCCCAAACTCGGCCCTCAATATGTTTTGGGACTACAAGTCCCATCACCCCTAGCTAACAGGACCAGTGGTCAGGGATGATGGGAATTGCAGTCCCAAAACATCTGGAGGGTGCCGAGTTTGGGGATGCCTGATATAATCCATCCTACTATTTCTTAAGACCAACGCTTAGGGCTTTTTTGCGTCATACAAACTTAAGAAAAACCACCAGGGGGGAAATAAAGAAAACATAAAACCAGAGCCACGTCACAGGAGACAAGGACAATCTTAAATGACTATTAAATCTATGAAGGAAAACAAAATACAATGGTACCTCAGGTTAAGTACTTAATTCGTTCTGGAGGTCCGTTCTTAACCTGAAACTGTTCTTAACCTGAAGCACCACTTTAGCTAATGGGGCCTCCCGCTGCTGTGCCGCCGGAGCACGATTTCTGTTCTCATCCTGAAGCAAAGTTCTTAACCCGAGGTACTATTTCTGGGTTAGCGGAGTCTGTAACCTGAAGCGTCTGTAACCTGAAGCGTATGTAACCCGAGGTACCACTGTATTAAAATGTACTTTGAGAAGGAAAAAAACACCATCGCATTTGTTGCCAGTTGTTGCAAAGCACGGACTCCCCACGCACACCAGGGATCATAAGATTAGCTACTTATTTGGCTACAGAGCCAAAACGAGATACATATATATATATATATATATATACACACACACACACACACACACACATATACTGTATATATATATATATATATATAATCGTTCAGAGATCCCTCCTTCCTTTCCCCACAAGAAAGCCCTGATTCTCAGATGCCAAATGTGCACATGCTATAAGAAGAAGCCGCAGGAGCAGAGAGGTCTGTGGGGCGTCTCTCCCTCTCACCTTGGTGGGGGCTCCCGCGGCAGCGCTGCTTCTCCTCGGCAGCAGGCGGCGGAGCAGTCGAGGCGGCGGCGGACGAGGAGGCCCCCTGGGCGGCAGGTGCGGGGCCTTGGCAGCGGCGCCGGCCGCCGGGCCTCCTCTCCAGCAAGCGCAGCATCCAGCCTAGGGCGCCGATCACCGCGCAGGCGGCCAGCAGCTCCCAGGTCGGCCAGCGGGCCCACGAGGCCTCCCACAACCCGGCCCAGCCCGGCCAGCCCGCAGCAGCGGCGGCCGCCGCCCAGCGCTCCATCGCTCCCCTCTTCTTCCCTCTGGAACCGAACGAGGGAAGGAGGGATGAGGGAGCCAGTGCGCGCGCGTGCGCGGACGATTCCCACCGCCCCACCCCCTCCCGCAAAAGGGGGAAAAAAACACACCACACCACGCCCTTTAAGGGACAAGTCCAAGTACCTCAGGAAAAGCCTCCCGGCTTCCGTCTCTTTCCCTCGCGCTTTTTTCCTTCCCTCCCTCTCCTCGCGGAGGCGGCCCAGTGCGCAGGCGCCTCGCGTGCGAGGACCTCCTTCAACGGCCACTTGCCACAGTAAACCCGCCCTACCCGCAAGAGGGCTGTCTAGTGTACTGCCTGTCAGGGATTTTTGTAACAGTTTAGCGCCTGGGGAAAAAAAGGAAACGTCTTTCTCCCAAGTGGCGCTTAGCTTAGTTGAACGGGGAGCGTTTTATTTATACGGCCCCCCCTGCAAGATTCCTGCATTTGAAGGGGGTTGGACGACGCTTGGGGTCCCTTCCAGCTCTCTATGGGGTGACATTCTTATAACGCGGAGCCCCTTCCTTAGAATGGCATTCACAGGTTTGAGGCTGCCTGTTCTTGGTGTGAGAGGGAGAAATAAGCGAGGGCCAGGGACTGAGCGAAGATAACAATGGAAAGGGTTTTGGCAAAACGCCAGGGTGGGGTTTTTTCCCCTCCCCCCGCCGCGGTTTCCCTGACAGGAATTTCAATCCAAAGGAAAACGGATGAGGGAGCATCAGAAGCGATACCGAATCGCATCGAGCCACGTCACGGGTGGGAATGTTGCCGCGACGCATGATGGGAAATGAAGTTTCCCTCGGGAGTCCGGCGGCGGCCTTGAGCGAGGCACCGCCCCTTTAACCCTAAGGCTAGAACTGCGTTGATGGGAGGGAGGGAGGCGATGTGCCATACACATTCCCAGAGACAGACGGGTTGCAAAGTGCCACTTTTAATTTCTTTGTAATTTTATGTATCGTTTTACAAGTTTGCACAATATTTGGCCGAATTCAAACCATAAATTTATCATCGACTTCCCTTCTCCGTGGTTCATTTTATTAAGCCTTTACCACTGCGTATGAAAAGGGGGAGGAAACAACTGCTCCTGGTCCTTAGAGGACTCTCAAAAGCCCGGTAGAGTCCGAGAGTTCCCTGCGGTCGAAGATGTAGAACAAACACAGCCATGGCTTCTAGAGTCATATTTCCGAATCGTTTTTCTGAGTGGAACAAAGGTGGAATGGAGAAGATCTGTTGGGTGGTTGATTTTTAGTGAATTTATATTAGTTTACCTTCTTCCATGGAAGGTAAGACTGGAAGAAATTTAAAGAATATTTAGTGAGAAACTGTAATATAAAATAATTAGGAAATCCCTAGAAGTAACAGATTAGGCTAAGGGATAGAAAAAGATTAATAATAAAGATTACCATGGATGACAATTAGTAAGGTCAAGAAGTTTGTAATGAAAGAAGATACTGATGTTATAAATATGAAATTGGGAACTGCTAAATATGTAATAGGATGAAATCCAGATTGGAGGGTGTCAAAGAAGTCTTTTAGCAATGTAAATACACCAGTTTTTATGTTGTGTCAAATGTAATGTTTTTCTTTTGTGTTTTTGTCTATGTGTTATAAGAGAAAACTAATAAAAGTTTTTGGAATATATATATATATATATATTAGTTTACCTTAGTCTGTAACCATCTGCAAACTGCCTTGACCTAGACAGGAAGTAATTAATAAAAGTTGCTACATTGAAGCCTTGCTGGCTTGATAGGATTTTTTTCCCTTGACAGAATGGGTTGAATGGAAAGGAGTGCAATGTAAGGCTGTAGTACCAGCGATATATACCCTAGGTGGCGCTGTGCGGTAACGTTGATTGGTCAAAGCTTGACAGATCATTTTGACAGTGTTTTGTACAAAGGTCTACCCAAGTTATTGAATCAGTGGTGCTTCTCCTGTGATCAGTTGGCAGTATCGGCTGCCCTTATGTATGGGGGCCGTGTAATAACTAAGTTATTAATATTAGCCTCAAAGGTAAAGGGTAAAGGGACCCCTGACCATTAAGTCCAGTCATGGCCGACTCTGGGGTTGCGGCGCTCATCTCACTTTATTGGCCGAAGGAGCCGGTGTACAGCTTCCGGGTCATGTGGCCAGCAGCATGACTAAGCCGCTTCTGGTGAACCAGAGCAGCGCATGGAAACGCCATTTACCTTCCCGCCAGAGCAGTACCTATTTACCTACGTGCACTTTGATGTGCTTTTGAACTGCTAGGTTGGCAGCAGGGACCAAACAATGGGAGCTCACCCCGTCATGGGGATTTGAACCGCCAATCTTCTGATCGGCAAGTCCTAGGCTCTGTGGTTTAACCCACAGCACCACCTATGTGCCAATGTTAGCCTTACCTTAGGGTAATAGCAGGTAAGTGTTCATAACAATGTTATGAGGCAACTCACGGTTTCCTTGTGTGTGTAAAGCCTGGATGGGGTTACAGAGTGCTAATACTGTAGTTTTCTGTCTGCTTCCTCCCCACAGGTGTGACATTGCTAGAGGCACTAATTGTTTTTCCTGTTCAGAACAAGTCTGGGCACATCCTAGTGTTTGGCATAACTATTTATCTCAGGCTTGAGCCCACATCCTTGCTGATAGCAGCTGTGAATGTGTGTTTTTCCTTATCACTGTTCTGCGGGTAGTTATTTTGTCTTGCTTATGTAACCCTTTTCACAGAACAAGCATGGCTACAGAACACTTTAGAATCTATAGTTTTGATTCCCTGCAATAAACTAGGACTTGGACCATAGTGCAGCTGTTCTTCCAATGGCATAACTGAACATTACCATATAAAATTCCAGAAGGTCAACCCTTCCCACTTCCCTCCGTTTAGAACACATATTCTAATTTTTCCATATTTTCTTTTTCAGTTTGGTTTTAGTATACTTCACACTGCTCAATTTATTCTAATCCTGTCAATGTTTTAATATCTTTACAATGATTTTTCCAATTATCTACAAATATTTTCCAATCTTCCTTACAGGTTCTTTCATCCTGGTCTCTTAATCTACTCGTTAAATTAGCCATTTCTGGCAGTTGATCTAGTTCTAGTGTATCATAGCTGGGAAATTCACCTCTAGCCAGTTACCAAAAGAACTTCGATAAGGTTCCATTTAAAGCCCCTTCTTTGAAGTTGCCACTTCATTATTGCTTTTGCTGTTCTGCAGGATGTCATCATAAACCAGTTCAGTGAGAGGAACAGAGGTTCTGGTGCCACGTCTCATCCTCACGGTGATATGATCCTACTGATGCAAGAACCTTTGAATTGAGAATTCAATTATAGCCCACCCAGTAGCGTAGGTAACCCAGGGTGGTGTGTGTGTGTGTACAGTCAGCACCAGGTGGGGGGTGACAGCGTAGGGGGTCTGTACTGCAGCATATTGGCTGCTGTGTGTCAGGGGTTGGGATTCTGGGCAGTAGGGGGAGCTTGAGGGCAGACGCTGTCTAAAATTTTTTTTGGACTTCCTAAAAAAAGTTGCTATGCCACCCTATTTTTAAAATACATATACTGTAGCTTATAAAGCTTGGATAGATACTCTTAACATCCTTCTAACTTTCCTTGTTTAAAACAGGGAACTGGTAGAATTTCAATCCCTAACTTGAGCTTGGACAGCTCTCCATTCTTCTGTTGTCTTGGTATACTGACCTTCATCAGCTTGTGGGTCATCTTCCCTGTTTCCTATCCTTTAAAATGTGCTTCTAGCTCTTCGAAATTTGCTGTTATCTTGAATCACCCCCTCCCCATTTTACCATAAAAAACAATGGAAACACTTTTTATGAAAAATAGTTTATTGCACAAAACCTGTTCAAGAACTTTTATGCACATCCTAATTATTTTTTTCATTAACATGCTTTTTAAAAAGGTCACAGTCATGAATCCTTAAGTCAAAAACTTCATAACTCCTCCCTTGCTTGGAACTCCCAATTGAACATTGTTATGGAGGTGATGCTTTTCCTTATCAACACAGCAACTGATTGAAACCTTTAAGATGTGACAGAATATGTATGAGAAAATTCCAGTATTATTTCTTCAAATAACTCTGTGCAGGTCCATTCAAGGCAAGGCAGGTTTTCATAGATAATTTCCTAGTGGCTAGAATGATATGCGCCACTGGGACATAAACCATCTAGTTCCAGCAGGTTAGCATTAACATTAACTCTGAGTTTTCAGGAGGAAGAGTAAACAGATCAGTACAGTTAGAGCCCTCTTATAAATAGAGTGACAGGGATTAACTGTTTTTAATTGCGTGTCTATCACATCGAAGGAGGATTTGATACATTTTGGTTTATAAAGATCAGAGTTATCTACCTTTAATGCTCTCATGCTGATCAGCACACCTGCTTATAGATACTCCCACAAGTACTGAATTGTACATACTGAAGAAGCAGTAGTGCGCAATACATCCAACATGCATATGTCATTCTAGAAAACTGCTTGTCTTTACCGAAATAACAACAACATTTTCCTGATAGGAAAAAAAGAACATTGTCCTCCACAAGGAAAAGGAAGAAGTGTGTTAACAGAGTACCCAAGTTTCCAAACAACTTGGAAGACAGTGGAATTAACATGTGACATTCTGCAATAATGCAGACACTCAATTTAGAGAACCATAAAATGTGCCTTTTTCTTTTTTACTGTAACACTGAAAGACTGCAGAAAATCCCTCAAACAATGCTCCAAAAGGAATGCTGAAGCTTTTTTTTAAAAAACAACAACAACAAACAAACCTCTGCAATATTCAGACAGAGCATTTTGTGGTTTCTTCCCCATTTTGCAATTAAAAATATACCTTAATAGGTATTGACCTCTAGGGATGAAGAAGCCAACAAAAGAAGCACATTCCAATAATCTTATACACTAGATCCCTTCAAGATGATTCTTCCGATCTCTAAAAACATGCCAGTGTTAAACTGAGGCACCTGTCCACTTGGCTAATCTGTGGTTGCTCTTTTCCTTGAACTATGGATTTAAAAGACAGCACCTTTTAAAAAGGGCACAGTCTCTGAAGACAGAGGGAGAGAACAATAAAAGTTCTGTAATTAGGTTTGTTGCTAGTTAACTGTGCCCTCTTTTGCTCTCTCAAGTTTAGACCTATTTCCTTCCTGGTCAAAATGGCATGTTAATAGTAGATATAAACAAGGGAGGGGAGATGTCTTAAAAGAAAGGAAGGAAGCATTTTCAGCTGGGAAATAAGAAGAGAAATAAGATTTCTTTTCCCAAAGGAGAAAGACCTACAAGGCTACATACTGCTTTATGAATATACAATCTGGTTTCTTTTAAAGAGCTGGTCAGGAATTGGTAAAGGCCTGAAAGAGGTGTGTTACCTAATTTAGTATTTAACACATGAACAGAAGTTGCCAAGATTTATAAATACGAGAATCATTCCTGTAAATAATACCGTGTGCTAAGTAGAACAGCAACATGAAAATCCCACTGGTGCAAATTGGGGAGCTGAATATATATTAATCATTACATAGTATTACCTTTGGTGTTTAAATACTATAGAATTTTTTCCTCTTTAAGTTAGCAAGTACATAAGCTTCAAGATTGTGAACAGCAGCAAAAAGAAATCACTCATTACTATTTACTCTGCAAAATAGACTTACTAGTAAAAGCTATAAGCATATCCGGGTTAATCAATAAAGCTTTCAATGTTTTGTCTTGATAACAGTTTGATTAGTCTTATAAAATAGTCATTGTCACATTAACAGAAACAAAAAACATTTACATTTTTAAAGTACCTTTCCTTCATATACTATATGCAAATATTAAAATGTTTTACTGCAGTTTCAAAATTATGGTTCATAGTATTAAAAAAAAGACTATGGGATGTTTCCAATAAATTATAATCGGAGTAGATCCATTGAAATTAATGGACCTAAGTTATTTAGGTCCATTAATTTCAATACATCTGCTCTGAATATGATAAACATTGGATGCAAACCATAGAAAAATCAAATCTTCAATATGAAGCCAGGGTTGTGGTGAGCGGGGGTTTTTCTTTTCTTTTCTTAAAAGCAACATGGGAATACCATACTCTGTCTCTGATGGGAAGATGGTCTCTATGTTATCTGGAAGGAAACCCACAATAGAACTATCCTTATCCAGAGACATTCCTTCCCCTCAATAAGCTTGTTTAAATTCGAGTCTAATACAGTATGCAGTTTGAGAATGATGAAGAGCCCAAGACCCTCAAAGCCACTTACCCCAGAGTTTTTGTTTTTCCTATCAATCTACCCTGAAAGTCAGGTCAGAACTAAATACTATGGAAGTGGCAATCATGCATCTAGTACCCTGTTTCCCCACTGTAATATCTAATATAGAAATCTTAAAATTTTTCAAAGCTGGGGTCCACCTTTAACCCCAGCTTGCAACATGGGACGTTTAAAAAAACACCCACCATACGTGTCTATCTTGCTTTCCATTTTGCCTTCCCTGTTTCTCCCCCTTAAGTCAACTACTGCTAAGTGTTGTCACTGGTGTGACCCGCCTTAGGGTGGGGCATGATCAGCTGTGGCTCCTGGCCCACCCACTGAAGATCATCAGTCAGTTAAACACACCAACATCACTGCTGAGCTGCATTTAATATTGCAAGAAATCAGAGGTTGCCACCATTTTTGGTAGTAGCTAGGTGTACACCATAATGTGATGTTGCAGAAGACCAGGGCAGGGTGGCAGTGGTGGTAAGACAAGTAGCTATCATTTTCAAACCAGCTTTGTCTGCACCTTAGCTTCTAGTTCCGGACTCTGCAATTGTTACATCCCAGATTTCTATATCCTTCAGTCAAGACTGCTGACAATCCGTTTGTTCTCTAGCAGTATTTTTTCTCTAAAGCATCCTGGGGCAATATTCAAAACAGAAAGTAAATCAAGCCAAGTCAATGTGCTTCAAAACACAGCAAAGATGGCTTTCTGTTGTCAGTAATGTGGGGGGGGGGGTAGATAAAAAGAGAAAACCTAAGGCATGTTGTTTCAGCCTGCTAATTATAGCTCAGCAGGGTCTATATGTAAAGGCAGCTACATGAGCACTAGTCTCCTAACTAGTTATTAGACCAGATGACGTTGGACTCCAACTCCCATCATCCACAGCCAGCATGGCCAATGGTTAGGGATGGTGGGTGTGGGAGTCTAATGACTTCTGAAGGACTGCAGGGTCTGGATCCCTGCATAAGGCGGGGGGTGGGGGGTGGTTTAAAGCCAACAAACAAGGGTTTACAGGCAGTATGACATTCATGTTTGAAATATACAGTAAGTAAATTTCTAAAACTCCGTTATTTTAGGGGCTGGCTTTCCTTAGGCCCCAATACATACATACATACATACATACATATATATATCTCATTTTCCAACCAAAATATAAGATGCAAAAAAAATTAACAAAGCAAAAATAAAAACCAACCCCTGGTGATTTGTAACCTACAGATTAAGTCCACTTAAAAACAGATACTCCAGGACAAGAACAGAGTTGAAGTATTTATATACACCCTGCACTGGAAGAGTCCTCAAAAAACTGGAACAACAACAAAAAAAGGTGCAAAATGCATCTGCCAAAGTGAAATCAAAGCTCTCCACTGGCCTTTGGTTGTGGATCCTCAATCTATTTCCTTTGAAGTAGTCCCAATTGATGCAATGGAACCACTTCAGAGTTGGTGGTTTTGAGATTCATGGCCACCAATAAGTTATTGGTTAGAACTGGTCGTCTCTATCAATCAAGGGTGTGTCTCTAAAACAAAACAAAAAAGGGGATTCATTTACCAGCCTAGGGTGTGTGAAAGTTCTGGTTCATATTCTCATGTCTACAGGAGACCAAGTCATTAGCCTTATTTGGCCATTCTGAATTCATATAAAATGTACCATGTGAGCAAGGGGGCGGGGGAGAAATGCAGTCAGCTCCACCCACCCGTCATCCTTCCACTTATGGAGGGTGTAGCCCTGATGCAAAGAGCTCAATTTAGAACCTCAGTCTCTGGCCCTGATTATGCAACCCACAAATAGAAAAGACTCATTGTTTCAAACCTTTGCCCTTCATAAGTTTGGGGGCGGGGAGGGGGGAAGGAGCTTAGTGTGCTCACCCCTGCTCGCAAAGCTTTGCATATCAGCAAAATCCTCAGCCTTTTATATGATTTTTTTTACTAACAACAAAAAAAGGTTGGAAGTGGCGTAATGAAGCCCACATTCCTCTGCAACAAAAGTCACTTTAACCACTTCTGAACAGATGAAAATGTCTTACTGGAGACCAAACATCACATTTCTTTTTCCTCCAAGACAGATTAAAATGTATTTTAATATAGCATTATCCTCAAATGTTTTGCCTCTGACATTTCCCCCCCTACTCAAAAGGAAGAATAGATGGAGATCTCTAAAACTTGGTTTCAAATAGGGCTGATGAACATGTTTCACATACTTCGAACAGCTGTGAAGTGAAGCAACAGGCGAAGAAGTCACTGCATCGGCTCTTCATTTTCCCCAGCACTTAGGTTATTATCCTTTAGGTCTACAATGGAGAGGCTCTGGTTGCCCGTCGTAGTTGCAGCAAAGTTAGATGTAAAGTCCGTTAGTTGCCCTTCTATCTGTGTCCATGAAGACATCGATTCATGGACTGTTATCGTATGCTCTTCCATCTGACGCTGAAGGCTGTCCATCTCCTGCCTTTGTTAAGCAGAAAGGAGCAAAGGGTGGGATAAGAATGTAATATGAGCCCTAATGGATCAGACCAAACTCCCGTCTAGTCCAGCATCCAGTTTTCCACAGTGGCCAAGCAGATGCCTCCAAGAAGCCCACAATGAAAACAGCAACCCCGCTCTCTGTTGCTCAGCAATCAGGATTGAGTGGCAAACTGACGCTGAACATGGAAATTCTGATTTGTTGTTATCATCTATAGCAGGGATGTCCAACAGGTCGATCGCAATGTACTGGTGCAGCGGTTCTCAACCTGTGGGTCCCCAGATGTTGTTAGACTACAACTCCCATCATCCCTGAACTCTGCCCTTGCTAGCTAGGGATGGTGGGAGTTGTTGTCCAACATCATCTGGGGACCCACAGGTTGAGAGCCGCTGTACTGGTAGATCCCTGCGAGGTTTTGGTATATTGCGGTCGATCTGTGGCTCCCTTTCCTTAGCGCCACTAAAACTGACTCCTGCCCCGCCCTCGATTGTTGTTTGATCTCTGGAAGGGAAGAGGAAAAGAAGCTTTCTCTGTGCTGCTGATTTAATCCAAAGCGATTCCTTTGTGAGTGACTTAAAAGGTAAAGGGACCCCTGACCATTAGGTCCAGTCGAGGACGACTCTGGGGTTGCGGCGCTCATCTCGCTTTATTGGCCGAGGGAGCCGGCGTACGGCTTCCGGGTCATGTGGCCAGCATGACTAAGCCGCTTCTGGCGAACCAGAGCAGCACATGCAAACGCCGTTTACCTTCCCGCCGGAGCGGTACCTATTTATCTACTTGCACTTTGATGTGCTTTCGAACTGCTAGGTTGGCAGGAGCAGGGACCGAGCAATGGGAGCTCACCCCATCGTGGGGATTTGAATCACCAACCTTCGGATCAGCAAGTCCTAGGCTCTGCGGTTTAACCCACAGCGCCACCCGCATCCCTTTGTGAGTGACTTAATCCCCCCCAAAAGCTTTCTTTAACCCCTAAAAAAAGCTCAACAACTTGGAGCTGAACCCCTAAAAACAGGGATAGATCACTGCCAGTTTTTAATTCTGAAAGTAGATTGCAGTCTCTTGAGAGTTGGCCACCCCTGATCTATAGCATTTGCAATTCTCCTAAGTGCCACTGTTCTTTACGTAGCTAAAATGATACCACCCACACAAGAGAAGTATCAGCAGCCTTCATGGAACACTAAGGCTTGTGGAAACACAAAGCATCTTGGGGAAGGGGGAGGAACCAAAACTATCCAATGATTACTAAGAAGGCTAACTTGTTTGGGTGGCGAGACAAAGGGGAAAGAATTGGAGTACCCCAGGAGAGGTTATGGCTGGCTAAGAGGCGCATTGGAGTACTCTAGCCCTAGGCCACAACGTTTGGTTACAGGTCTCTCTAGTCATCACCATCGGCAGACTTATTTTCCATGACTTGGGTTTAAAACGAGGATAAGACAAACTAAGCTGGTGGCCACTGCCACGCTTACGGTAGAAAATTCCATAAATTAAGTTTTGTGAAGGTTGTTATTTGGTTGCCCTTGAACCTAGTGCCAGTCAGTTTTCATTGGATGAAATAATGAAGTCAGAAGGCAAGACTACAGATGAAGGCTGAGTGGCAGCTAGCAGTATTTCCACAAGGGGATGGGTTTATATCACAGGATTCACAAGATTTCAGGAAGACACATTTCTGGCTGTCATAATCCAGACTTGAGAGAGATTATAGATCTTTATCATCTAGAACCTCTCTTTAGTCTGCACTGCGATGGCCAGAAAACATGTCTTCTATATTAACATCTATATTATAAGAAAAAATACAGGTTTTCCATTTTCACAATGGTAACATACAAGAGTCTATATCACTTTAACGGTAGCATTAACAAGGGGGCAGGAAACCAACTTTAGAGGTGTAGTGTGGGGTAGTGGTCAGTGCTGAACTAGGACTACTCAGTCATGAAGCTCTCTGGGTGAGCTTGGGCCAGCCAAATCCACATCACAGATTTGTTGCAAGGTCAAAGGTGAAGAGGACGTGGGTGGCGCTGTGGGTTAAACCACAGAGCCTTGGGCTTGCTGATCAGAAGGTCAGCGGTTCGAATCCCCACAATGGGGTGAGCTCCCGTTGCTCGGTCCCTGCTCCTGCCAACCTAGCAGTTCGAAAGCACGTCAAAGTGCAAGTAGATAAATAGGTACTGCTCCAGCGGGAAGGTTAACGGTGTTTCCGTGTGCTGCTCTGGTTCGCCAGAAGTGGCTTAGTCATGCTGGCCACATGACCCAGAAGCTGTACCCCAGCTTCCTCAGCCAATAAAGCGAGATAAGCACCACAACTCCAGAGTTGGCCACGACTGGACCTAATGGTCAGGGGTCCTTTACCAAAGGTGAAGAACTGGAGAGAACCATGTACACTGCCTTGAATTCTTTGGCAAGGAAAGTGGGATATAAATGTAATAAATACAAGACAGACACAGTGTTGCAGGGATAAACCTGTGGCCCTCCAGACGTTCTTGGACTCCAGCTCCTATCAACCCCAGCCAGCGTGACCAAAGGTTTGGGATGATGGGAGCTGGAGTCTAGCAACATCCGCAGAGCAAAGATGCCCCATGCCCTGCCATGTTGTCTACTTTGGATTGGAAAGGATGACTCCTTTGGCACCCTGTCTTGTTTGTATTTAGCAAGCGAAAAGAACAGTATCAAAAAGCAGCACTGGGAGGCAGTGGCGTAGCGTGGGTTGTCAGCACCCCACAGCAAGGCAAGTAATTTGCGCCCCCTAACCCGTGGATTTTAGTAGGGGCAGAGAGCTGCGAGTGCGAGCGCCCCCCCAATGTTGCGCCTGGTGCGGCCGGCCCCCCCTGCACCCCCCACGCTACGCCACTGCTGGGAGGAAAACAAAGTGTTAGGTAAGAAGGTAGAACTGAATAGTGACAGAGGGCAATGTACACGGCAAGGAAAGCAATTAAATTGTACGGATAGAGACTTCTACGTTTAGAATCACAGAGATGGAGCACTTAGCCTGCAATCCTAACCACGTCTACTCAAAAGTAATTCTGAACTCCAAAACAAGTGTGAGTAGGATGGCAGCCTGGGTCTCTAACCCAATATCCTACTAGTTGTCATTTGATAATAATATATCTTAAAAGAAGAAAGAAAGAAAAAGAAAAAACCCCTAAAAGCAGAACATAAATATTGACATATTTCCTACAGAGAAGACCTGAGCATTTCAGACAAAAAAAAGCAAACACCATCTGTCCATGTCACTGTTCATGAAGCTGCTAAAATACTTATAAGTAGTAATAAGCAGGTTTAAAAAAAAAAAATACCAGAGAGACAGCAGGATTTTACTCACTTGAGTTGCTGGAGGCAGCTGTTGAGGTTTTTCAAAGGCTCTTTATTCACAGCTGCTGAAGGTTTCAGCAGCTCTTCCAGCAAAGCTGCCGGGACGGGGCAGTCAGGAATCTTCACTGGAGTCACCGGGTTTGAAGGATTTGACTCTCCCTTCAGTGTTTTTCTCTTTTTGAAAGAAGAAACAAATCAATCCACATGCAATAAGCCGCAGCTCTCTCTACTGTGAATACCTGAAGCACAGTTCTTAAGACATGCTTTCCACCAGCAGAAAAAGGTCATTTGTAAGAACTCAATCTTTTACCATGGCAGCAACTAACTTTGGAACTCCTGCTTAGTGATTTTTCGGCACCTGTTTAGACAAGCCAACCCTTTATCTAGAATGCGGATTTAATTTATTGGTTTTAAATTCTGAACACCTTAATTAGTTATAATTGTTTTTGCCAATAATATGACTTTTTTTTGTAAGCTGTTTGAGGTTTCTTACAATCAAGTGGTAAATAAATTTTATTAAATGATAGATAGATAGATAGATAGATAAAAAGAACAAGAAGGAAATATTTTGGAATTAAATAGGGCTGGCATCCTGTTCAATTGATAAAGTCGCCCCAGACTGCATAAAAATTGTTGTGTTTCCTTTGTGTAATTACACAGTGAGGCATACGGTAGGACAGGACCTATAGTCTACAGCACAGTTTGGCATGTATGAAGCACATATTTTAATTATTATTTTTCTCTTTTCCTCTTGCCTTTATATAAACTGCTATAGACCATAATTGCTGCCGATACACTACATTTTTGCTGCTTGTTAAAATTATAATGGTTTTAGCATATACACTTAGACTAAAGTTTGTTGGTGTATTCAGAGACAATTCTCAGTGTTTGTTGTTTTATTTTTCATTTTCTGTAACTGCCTAATTATTGTGTGTTATATTTTTTAATAATAATTTATTAAAATTGACTACGCTCTCACTAGACCCCCAAGTACGGTCAAGACATTTAATCAGCCATGAATGCCACTGTATAAATGGCAGCTTAGATTATTTTATTATCCATTTCTCATTTCATCCAACTTAGGGCTATCAGCTTTGAAATAAGCCACAATGATAAATCCACGGTTTGGGAGTTAGCTTAACATCTTGGATTGTTCCGAAGCTGGTGACAACTGTTTTTCAGTTCATTAGAAGCTTCCTATTTTAATTGCAGCTTGTGAAAGTTCAATAAGCCAAGACAGATGGTTCAAAGCAGCTCATAATGCAATACATTTGTACTGGGGAGACGACGACGACACACACTCTCTCTCTGTGCATCTTACCCTGTGTGCACAATCCCACTCCACTCAATGTACGACAACTGTGAACCAATAAAAGCTGGATTCTGCGACGAGTCTAAAATGAAGCACGTCTCAATTTACGTTGTTTCGTCTTTAGCGAAAAGACAACAGCTGCTTCTAACACTTCACCAGGCATTTAAGCTTAAGTTAACAGCCATAAATGCCACTGTGTATTTGTTTCAAATAAAAAGCAGCCATTGGAATTAATAGACGTTACTCACATGTCCATTAATTTCAGTAGGTCTAGGATGAGATACAACCAATGGTCTTGCTCTTATAGCTCAACTGTTCTCAGGGAAAAGCCCTTTTGTTCTACTGTTGTTTCTCAAGTACCATCAATTCCTGGGGCCTTGCCTCTTTTGAGCTTAGAGATGACTCTTAATTTTTGAGATGGTTACTGCAGGACAATTTGGAAGGTTACATGTATTACCCTTTTATTTTGGGCAGTAATAGCAATGGTTATCTATCCCACTCCATCCTTGCTCTCAAAGGAATGAAACAGGGATGCATCTTTGCCCCTACTCTTTTTATATACCGTATTTTTTGCTCTATAAGACGCACCAGACCATAAGACGCACCTAGTTTTTGGAGGAGGAAAACAAGAAAAAAATTATTCTGAATCTCAGAAGCCAGAACAACAAGAGGGATCGCTGCTGCAGCTGTTCTGGCTTCTGGGATAGCTGCGCAGCCTGCATTCGCTCCATAAGACGCACACGCATTTCCCCTTACCTTTTAGGAGGGAAAAAGTCTTATAGAGCAAAAAATACGGTAAATTATTTGGCAGGAAGCTTACCAGTGGAACATACTCACTATCCTAGTCTGTCAAACAACCCCCTGCCAATTCTATTATATGCAGAAGATGTAGTACTTTTGTCTCTGACAAAAAGTGGGCTTGAGGCGATTGCTGAGAGCCTTGGGGAGTTATTGCAAAAAAGGAACCATTACAAATTAATTATGATAAAACTAAGATTATTGTGTTCTCTAGGAAAAGGATGAAATACAGATGAATATTGTGTTTCTTAAGTACCTTTTTCATCTTTCCATGCTTCAAGTCCAGCTTCAGTTGCTGGTTCTGCTGCAGTAGAGTCTTCATGCTATTCTTGAGTTCAGTCACTTTTGCCTGAAGCGTGATTTTATCTTTTTGGGTTAAGGACAAATCATCCCGAACCATCTCCAACTCTGTCTTGATATTCTAGAAGAAGGAATATTGGAGACATTGACCTTCTGCATTAACCAAAGATCATTCCAAAAAAAGGAAAGAGGTCCCTTCTTTTAGATGGCAAGCCTCAACCTATCTACTCAGGAGCAAGTCCCATTGAGTTCCATATGGGTAACTCCCATACGGAGTTATAGGATTGCAGCCGTAGTCTCACAAGTCTTATAGAATCTGAACTCTGGTGGAGGCTTGGAACGCTCATAAACCTTTTATTTCATTAGCATCTTATTATGTCTCGTAACAGATCTTCCATGACAACTGGCTGACAGTCCAATTAAATACCTGTAAAACGGCTTGTACGCCTTCCAACTCCTTCTGGTTGCGTTGCTCAGTCAAGTCCAACTGCTGCTTCAGGGCTTGGATTTCTCTCTCCTTCTGCTCCACTTCCCACTTGAGATCTTCAACCTAAAAAATGTGTATTGGGGGGTAGTATTTCAAAATATAATTACATAAGAAGCTGTAATACTGCAGGTCAATTAAATCACATTGAAGTTCAGTGAGATTTAATAAAAACAGCTGTGCAAAATATGAGCAGGCCAGGGCTGAACTGATACTACCCTTGCTGGTACCTTTCCTGGGAAAATCAGAGGTTCACTATGTCAGGTTCCTATTGGAAGACCAGACAAATGCTAGAAAATTAGCAGTGGCAAAGTTTTTATCAGTGGTTGCAAGAACCAATGATCCCTATATTCTGAACAAAATGCATGTTTAACCTGGAGGTAGTCTGTATGAATTGTGTATTGCTTTGTAACGATTTGTTGGGTCTCTGGACCGTAATAAAGATTGATTGATTGAATAAAAACAGGAGAGGAGCCCAGTTGGGTCAGACTAAATGGTCTATTTAACCCAGCACTCTGTTCTCACTGTGCCCAACCAGATGCCTCAGCAAAGCTCACAATTTTGCATAAAATGTGCATTTGCTAATTTATACATACTTATGCAAAACCTAGAACCTAAAATGCCGCAGGAGGCCGGCCAGCAAATTCCCACTCCAGGTAAATTCTTCAATTATTTTGCTCCCAACTCCAAATCAGTCGTTTTAAAATGCATTTACTCTAAAATAATTTCCCAAATAAATTCAGTTTGCCCTCAGTTGATCCCATTCATCCCCCCAACCCCGCCATAATCTCTAGATAAGGTAATTTTGAATGAAACATATTTCACCCAATTGGTGCCCTGTTTAATAACCTAGATTCACCCATCAAATCATTGCCCACTCAGTGGTGTGACATTTGACATTATCTTTTTCTAACAATGCCCCTGGATCGACATGCAAGTAAGGAAGATGAGCAACATTGATGCTTCACCTCTTGGTTTTCTGCAGGCTGCTTGCTAAGTTGCTCATCCAGCTGCTTCTGGAGGAGCTGGAGCTGGGAACGAGCTTCTGCCAGCTCTTCCTGGAACTGGGATACTTCTGCTGAATGCTTCCCATCTTCAACTCTAGAAGAAAAAGACAGATTCACACCACTGTGAGGAGAACACAGTTCTCAGATTGCAGAGTGCACCTCTCGAGGAGGCACAGCAAGAACACTGAGGGGAGATAAAATAAACTGTACAGTGGTACCTCGGGTTAAGTACTTAATTCGTTCTGGAGGTCCATTCTTAACCTGAAACTGTTCTTAACCTGAAGCACCACTTTAGCTAATGGGGCCTCCTGCTGCTGCCGCACCGCTGGAGCACAATTTCTGTTCTCATCCTGAAGCAAAGTTCTTAACCCAAGGTACTATTTCTGGGTTAGTGGAGTTTGTAACCTGAAGCGTATGTAACCCGAGGTACCACTGTACATTATCAACCAAGGTTGCAATTGTGCTAGAATGAAAATGGGGGACTGTAACCACCAAAGGCAGGCAACCAACGGACCACAGAGTAGGAGAACTGCCATGTTTCTTGCAGTAGGAGGCACAGAGCAATCAGCGGATAGAATTCTTTCAGAGCTGCTTCACAGAGGATAAAGAGAGCCCCCTCCTGGGGATAAGGGAGATACATGCAGCTTCCTTCAGTTACCAGCTCTGCATTCTGGCTTCCAACACAGCTCAGCCACCTGACTCCATCCCTGACCTCCACTTCTTGGGAGAAGTTCTGAAGTTCTGCACTTGTGCAGGCTCCTCCCCACATAATAAAGGCTCCCAAATGTGTGGAAATCAGTGGGGTAGAACCAGGTGGGATGTTGGGGGGCTGGCCCAGTGGGTTGGCCCCAACTCTCGTTATTCATGTGTTAGCCCTTCATTCATGGTTAACCCATGAGGAGGCCTTGAAATTCCTCCTAAAATATATGGTTTTTTAAAGCAGCCATGGAACCTTGTCCCAAAACACCAAACTATATGTATTTTTAATAGAAATGTAGTTTCAGTTTCCTTGTAATACTCACTGCAGTTTGTCCACTTCAGCCTGAAGGGCCCGGATGAGGACTTCTTTCGCCTGCAGCTCTCGTTTCACCTCGCCAAGTTCAAGGGCAGCTGCTTTATAATGACGGCGATTATGCGCTGCCTCAACTTTGACTGTTGCAACCTATAGCAGCAAAGAGCATCAGTGTATGGATCATTATATCTCTGCCATCCTACCCCATCCATTTCCCTCACCCTTTCGTCCATGTGTGCTGCATCTCTGTTTAAGGACCACAAGTCTACAACTAAAGATTGCCCCTTCTCCATCTTTATTACTGGGCACCTGCGGTTTCTCTCTCACATTCCAGGCTGGGGAGCCTTTGGCCCTCCAGATGTTGCTGGACTACAACTCCCCCCATCCCAGACAACTGGCCACACTGGCTGGGGCTGATGGGAATTGTAGTCCAAAAACTTACATGCAATACCTTGGCAATCATAGCAAAAGCCTATCATGTGGCGATTTTGGCATCCTCCTGCTGCAGATAGAAATAGGGACTAGGGAGGTCTTAGCGTATCAGAGGCCATCCACTGAGCCTGTGGCTTCAGCCAAGATCTGAAATGGAGGGCTTCACAGCTCACTGCCATTTAACCATAATCATGCAACAGTCCTTAATGGCTGCTGCTCATTTATATGCATACCACACACAGGGCCCTCTGCCCAGTTGTGCAGGCAAGTCTTAAAATGCTCATGGTGAAAAGTAACACACACACACACACACACACACACACACACACCAGTTCTTACCTGTTCTTTAAGGCTGTTGACTTTTGTCTTCTCCTTTTCCAAGGCCGTCTTCAAGGCTTGGATTAGTTGCTTCATTTGCTGGTCTTCCTCCTCTTTGCGCTTCAGAACTGCCTGGACCTGGGCCATCAACAAAACCCACAAGGTGAACCCTCCGGATACAAAGGACTTAAAGCTGGTGTCCTTGGGCTTGCTCACTGCACTGGCAGATGCTTTCCGAAAGCACGTCTGCTTAACTAAGGCACCACATGCTCTTTAAAGCAGCATCATACTTGAAAAAGTCAACATACTACTTGGAAAAAGTCAATGATTCTCCCAAAGAATCATGGGAAATGTAGTTTGTGAAGGTTTCCAAGAGTTGTTCTGAGACTCCCATTCCCCTCACAGAGCTACAGTTCGCACAGCACCCTGGGAAGAGGGATTGGATGTTAAACCACTCTGGGAATTGTAGCTCGGTGAAGGGAATAGGGGTCTCTGAACAACTCTTGGAAACCTTAACAAACTACATTCCCCATGGTTCATAGTGACAAGGAGCTGTGCATTCAGCATTGTGGGACCAGTTTTGTGGAACTCTCTTTCTGTTGAGGTTGACTTCAAGTGCTTTCCAGCAGGCTTTTTAATCAAACTCTGATTTTATAATGAATTTTAGCTCATTTTTAGTCTTAGTGTATTGAGCTTCTTGTGCACCACTTAGAGCTGACAGTGATTAAATGGTGTACAAATGTGTGTTTTTGTGTGTTTATCCCCTGCTTTTTCCCTGACGGGACTCAAGGCAGCTTACAGATAAAAACAAGAACCACTAGAAAAACAGGGGGGGGGAATTAAACATTGAAATTATTAAAACTATATACAATCTGCTTTAAACATACAAATAATTACAATAAAAACAGCACAGCACCAGCCCTTCATTGAAAGCAGTCAGTTCCCAAGTTGGAACAAGAAGGTCTTCACTGGTCAGCGGAAGAACAACAAGGAGGGAGCCAGTCTAGCTTCTCCAGGGAGGGAGTTCCAAAGCCTGGGAGCAGCCACCAAGAAGCCCCTTTCCCGTGTCCCTCTAATATGATGCATCCCTCCTATGTAATATTCACAGACTGCTGACCAAAATGAATGAGAACCTAAAGAACTGGAACTGATTTACAGTACCAGCCCAGGCAGAAACGGCTCAGAGTACCTGAAGATTCAGCTGTACCAGGTCCGCCTCTCTCTTTGCTAGCGCTGCTTCGAGGATGCGGTTGTGTTCCCGCAGAGCTGCGTTGGACTGGCCGAGGCCAGTGAGCTTCCCGCGTTCATGCTCCAGCTCAAGGGAGAGCTTCTTGTTCATCTCTTCCAGCCGCTTTATCTTTCTCCGGAAGCCCCTGGCTTCCTGAAGCTAAATGAACAATAAGAACAATTACTGCAGCCACCATAAGGAATCACTTTGCAGGCTCACTGAATGTCACTGAGTAGCAAACAATGAAGAAACACTATAAACCAATGAAGTTCCCAGACCCTAAAGTCATCTTCAGAGGCCCTTCTGCTTGAATACCTGTCAGATGGCTTCTAGGGAGAGGGTCTTTTCAGTGGTGGCACCTAGTTTTGGAATGCACTGTCCAGAGAGGCTCATCAAGTACAGATTAAAACCTTTCTGTGTTCCATTTTTTGTGCTTTTAAAGTTCTTTGCTTTATTTCTGTTGCTGGCTTTATTCAGGTGCTGTTTTATACCCAATGCTACTGCCATAGTTGGGGGCAGGATGCTTCTGAACACCAGCTGCTAGGAACCACAGGAGGAGAGAGTGGTGTTGCACCCAGGTCCAGCTTGCAGGTTTCCCATAGGCATCTGGAAGGCCACTGGGAAAACAGGATGCCGGACTGGATGGGCAATTGGTCTGATCCAGCAGGCTCTTCTTATATTCTTACTCATAGGAGACCCACTGAAAGTAATGGGCATGACTAACTTACATCCAGTAATGCCAATGGGTCTATTCTGAGTAGGACTAAGTTGGATGCGACACTAGAATCATAGAGTTGGAAGGGACACAGAGGATCATCTAGCCCAGGCATCCCCAAACTCGGCCCTCCAGATGTTTTGGGACTACAACTCCCATCATCCCTAGCTAACAGGACCAGTGGTCAGGGATGATGGGAATTGTAGTCCCAAAACATCTGCTGAGTTTGGGGGTGCCTGATCTAGCCCAAACTTCTGCAGTGCAGGAATATGCAGTTGTCCCTTATGGGAATCAACCCTGTAACCTTGGTGTTATCAGAACCAGGATCCAACCAACTGAGGTATGACTATGTTTGTTTGTTCATTTGTTTGTTTCACTTCTTGGTTCCACCTTTTGTCTGTGGCACTGCCCAGATAACCTTTTTTCGGCTAAAGGGTGGTACAGAAATATAGCTAGCAAAGTAAAACAATCAAACTGTATTCCAGACGTATCCTTGTATCACCTTACTTGCCCGGATATGCACAGCACAGAGGAATTAATTGATTTTTCTCAACCAAGCTTTTCAGGTTGTTTAAATGCAAATCTAAAAGATGGTTTGGGACAGTCCGCTGTGGAGTTCCTACTTTTTAAATGGGCTGTAGAAATATCCAGTGTTTTCAACTCAAAAATTATCACGCGTTAAAAGAAAATCACTTCTCCCTGGAGGAGTAAAGCGAGATAACGAGTATATTTGTGCAACTGCAGAGTTGAGAAGTGTTGTGTATAGCTGCAGACCCTGGAGGCATCCTGGTCAAAACAATTTAAGGTAAAGCTGTTGCATCAGGTTTACTTCAGCTGGTACACCCGCGAATCTGGTTCTGTCGGGACCTGAAGGAGGATGTCCTTTCATCATCTGCATTCATTTCGATGTTGTCCTATGCTGCACAGCTTAGCTTCCCGCATGGCAAAACTCACAAATCAATGCCCAGTCTAGAGCATCGTAGTGCCTCATGTTGCACTGGCTATCGTGCATTAACCAGGGGACTAAGGAATCTGTTAGGCCTTGAACCCAAGCACCACATATGGCATTACAACAACAAGCATTTGTACAGCTTTTTTCAGTGCTCAAGATGCTTGACATATACTACGTTATTCTAATGTAACAATGCTGGCAGGCAGAGCAGGATTGCCCCCATACTGCAGAAGGGACTTGTAAAGCATAGATTTGCCAAAGGCAGCGCAAGTTCCCTTGGGCAAGAGACTCTCTTAGCAGGGGGGCCCTCCCACTGGCTGCTGTTCCTGCTGCATATTTACCTCCCTCCTTCTCTTGGCCTGAACAGGCACTCGCCTCCCAGGGGAGAGATAGGGCAGGGCAAAGCACACAGAGGTTATTTGGAGAGAGCAGGTGTATAGCGGGCAAAGAAGAATAGCAGCGGTAGAAGAGCAAGGAGGCTGCTGGAAAATGGCAGTAGGGCCCTGGTGGAACATGGGCAGTGGGTGGCACAGGGCATCAAGCCGAGGGGGAGCAAAACTGAGAAAACACATAACTGAGAAGATCCATTTGGGGGCACCAAACTTTGGCCTCGCACGGGGCGCCATATTACAAAAGATTACCAAAGTCCACCCCTGCATGGGCCTTAGCAGGTGCCCAACGCTGTTGACCTTCTGTGCTAGCAATGGCAGAGTGAGCTCATGTCAGGGGTGAAATTTGAATCAGAGCTCCATAGTTGTGGGGTTGAGAACCTCAGGGGCAGGAACCAATGCAGCGTTCCAAGTCTCTCCATCTGACCCTCAGTACTTTTCCAAGGCTACACACCTTACTGGCCTGGCCTTTAGTGTTTTTATGTCTGGCTGGAAGGTATCCTTAAAATCTGATAATGCCTCATTTTTGCCTAGATAGAGAGGGGCATATACTGTATATACAAGTTTTTTCATGTTTAATGTTTCATTATTTTTATATACAGTGGACGCTCGGGTTGCGAACATGATCCATGCGAGGGGCACGTTCACAAGCCGCAGCGCCGCATCTGCGCATGTGCAGGTTGTGAATCGGCGCTTCTGCGCATGAGCAAAGCGCAATTTAGCGCTTCTGCGCATGCGCGACCGCCGAAACCCGGAAGGAACTCATTCCGGTACTTCCAGGTTTCGGTGTGTCCGTAACCCCAAAAAAACACAACCTGAAGCGTCTGTAACCTGAGGTATGACTGTATATATTGGAAGCCTCCCCGAGTGGCTGGGGCAACCCAGTCAGATGGGTGGGGTACAAATAATAATAGTGTTGTTGTTTTTGTTATTTGCCTTCTGTACAAACGCTAACATGTACATTCATGGCTCCACCCACTTTTGCCTCTGGCCCCGCCCACCACGGGCATGTAGACCCCAGAAGGTTGCCAAGAAAGGAATGTGGCCCTCGGGCTGAGATATATTCCGCACAACAGCTGTAGTTCATAGGTCAGTTTCTGCACCAGTCTGCCTCCACAGATCTAGGCCAGTGCTGATCCTCAGGAACTGGTTACATGCATCCAGCCTACAGAAGCAGCACCACATCAAGGAGATATAGGATAACAAGAAGCCAACACAATTACCTCGTCCTCAAGTTCAAGGACTTTCTCTCTGTACTCCTCCAGTTCCTGGCTGGTGAGCGAGATCACTTCTTGCAGTTCCTTTTCTAGAACCATCTTACTGTGGCCAAGAACCTCCAGTTCTGTCTCCAGAGCCTGAATCCTTTCCTGAAGGCGAAAAAGACAAAGTCTACTTAGGCATCTCAGTTGCGGTAGGAATTCAATTGCTTAAAGTTTGAGTGTGGAACATTGGCCCCACAAGCAACATTAGGCCCCACAAGGCCATTTTGGCGATGCCACACCCCTTGCCATCATATAGATAGATAGATAGATAGTTAGCTCAGCCAAAAGGGGTTTTGCAGGCCCTGTGCAAAGCACTTGGCAGAACCTTACCATAAGTTGATCGTTGGGTTGTGCAGAGTCCATCACAAATCACTCTGCAAAATCCAGCAATGAGCTGATTCTCAGAACTTGCAGAGCACTTGGAAAGGCACTCTGAAAGAGCTCTGCAAAACTCAATGATCAAAGGGTCTTGCAAATAGCTTCAAGACATGTTTTGCGGGCTGCACATCTGCCCAAACAGTTTGATTTCAAACTGTGCAGGGCCCCCAAAATGGGTCACCTGATGTCTTCTGGACATCATGTGGGTGCCCTCACCCACCAGTGGTCTCCAGTGAGGGAAGGAGATAGACAACTGACTCACTGGGCCAGATCCAGTTCCCCACTCCTGTTTTAAGTGAGTGAAGTTAGGCCTGCTCAGGAATTTTGCTTACTAGGCCAGCCTGGCTGTTTTCACTGTCAGAGATTTGTGCCTTCAACTTGGCCAGCTCTGCTTCAGATGATTCTTTTGCTGAGAGGGCTTCCTGTAGCCGGCGACTGAGGATCCCAACTGCATTCTCGTAAGCTTTGTGTTTTGTTTTCATCTCCTTCTGTGCTGTGCTCAAATCTGAGCCCAGTCGTTTCATTTTTTGCTTCTGTTCAGTAAAGGCCCTGAAAGTAATATTTTTTGAAAGTTATATAAAAAAACTACCTCAAAAAAACTCCACATTAAGATGAACAAGTAGGACCTTGCCTTCTGGACATTTAAAGGTTCCAGCCAGCTATATACTCTTCCATAATGTGAATAAGCACGTTTCAATCTGAACTTATTCTATGGTTTATTAAAAGTTGACATAACTTAATAGACAGGACACCCTCCATTACAAACTTTCCTGGCCCTGGTACCAGTCTGATCTCAAAAAATGTAACCTGGAGAGCATTTAGAAACATCCCGAGATTCTCATGCCTTGCATAAACGTCAGCAGGTGTAAATCTAGCTACCCTTAAAATCTACTTAACACTTGAATGGATGCCATCAAGATAATGGTGGGATACGTTGGAGACAGAAGGCAGACAAAGATGGCCTGTCTTAGTCATTGTTCACTAGGATCATGTTCTCTTTCAACTGTCAATTAAATGAAATGGGCAAAGTGGGAAATAGGCAGGAAACTCTGAAATAAACCCAACAGCACAATAACTAGGGAAATGATAGGAATTACTCTCTCCAAGTCCCTCTTCATTTAATCCGCACAACTACCCTATGATGTACGGTTAGGGCAAGAAGCAGTGATTTGCCCAAGGTCACCCAGTGAGCTTCATGGCCAAGTGGTGAATTGAACCATGGCCTCCTAGGGCCTAGTCTAGCCACTCTACTACACAAGCTCATACCCAAGCCTCATTGAAAGCGGGACTGCATTAAGCCCCACAGGAGAATTTTCCAATGGGCTTAAGTCAGATCAGTCTGTATTCCAAACTGCTAGCTTAATGACTACCCAAAGCCTGTCACATTTTGCATAAAAGGGTGTTGCAGCAGAGCTGGTCCCCCGCAAGGAAGGGGGGGAGTCTACTTAAGACATTGGCTATCACTCTAAATTTAATCCAACCTGAATCTGACCCAGAAGGCTGATATGACATCAGTGGTACACAGCATATGCTAAAACAGCATTAAAAGCAGAACGTTGGCAATGTTCCCAACAATAATTCCACTGTAGTTTGATACTAAAGAGGATTAAGTAGCAAATGGGATCACAAACATGCACCGCATTAACACAGGCAAGCAAATTAATCATACCACACAATTAAACAAAGGCATATTGTAAGAATCAAACCCACTCTTTTGGCTTTAATGCTTTTTAATCTGCCATACATACATTTTTAGTCTCATTGGGCAAGAAAAGCTTATCTTATTTTAAAGGCAATTGAAGCTACTTCAAAGTACCCATTTACCTTTAATTAAAAGAGCAACTCCCATATAAATAGTGCATGTTTGTGATCCCAACACGTCAAAAACTAATTTGGTGCTGCGTTGTTCTTAGATTACCATTATGTGACAAATGACATCAATGCTATAGGAATCAGAAATCCAGATAAAAGGCAAAAAGGAGAATATGCCCCCATTAATAGATTGCAGACCCCCCCTCCCCCGCATAGGCACTTGATGAACAAAATCAATGAGTACTAGTTGCTGTGGCTATTCTAGGCAAGGCATAATCTGTCATACTCACATTTTGGTTTCCTGCTGCATTTCGTCAACCTGCCGTTTTAATACTTCATTCATTTCAGCTAGAGCAGACATCTGTTCTCTGTCAAACTGCAAAGTCTGAAAAGCAGGACAGGAGAACTGTAAGCTACATGTTCTTCTGTAATAAAAAGGTCTTAATTTTATATACTTGGGCAAAGGCGACACATTCAGTGGGTGAACTCAAACAAAACTAATTTGTGGACCTTTTATGGCCCACAAACAATCCAATTTACTCTGGGATGGTAATTTATGAACTGCCTTTCTAGATCACTCCAACATCTATGCAGGTTAATGTTCTGGCGGCATTGTCATTATAAACCATAGTTTATCATGATGGGAATCAGCCTTGCTTTCCCCTGGTCTCATAGTTCTGTCCTTCCCCTCCATCCTACTCCATTGCAGGCACGAGGAATTAGGAAGGTCTCACTTCTGTTTTCTTAATGAACCACAGCTTGTTTTGCCAGCTGAACCGTGGTTAAATTTAACAATGGTTTATCTGAAACAAGGCAACTTCAAGCCACAGTTGGCTGACTTCAAATAATACATTGCTAAGTATAATAATAATTTGTAGAGTTGGAAGGAACCCCCGAGGGACATCTAGTCCAACCCCCTGCAATCTGGCATTCTCAATGAAATCATATATGACAGATGGACATCCAACCGCTGCTTAAAGACCTCCAAGGAAGGAGAGTCCACCATCACTCATATAACAGGTTTCAAATAGTACAATAAACAATGATTGTAAAGGAAGTAAAAGCTTATGATTTCCCCATTGTGGTCATGCTGAAGGGAGAAGCAGGAGATCATGACAGCTTTGGGAAAGGCTAGGCTCATTCCCATCACAGTTTACCAGGGATGGAGAGCTTGTTGCCATCCAAATGTCCACAGCATAGCTACTGTTCTACATATTCCAACAGGTTGATCCAAAGCATTATTATGGCCGTTAAGAAGGACAACAAAGGCTTCATCTGCACCTGCAACTCTCTCTCCATGTCATCTCGCTCTCTTTGGACTGCTTGCAACTGGCTTTCCAATTCCTCCATCTGCTGCTGAACTCGAGACACTTCCTTCCCCAACCTCGAGTTCTCAACCTCCACGGATTTCTTTTCACCCTGAAGCTGGAGAAGCTCCCGTCTTAACTCTTTCACTTCAGAGTCTAGCCTCTTCTTGGTGGACTTCAGTTCACTGATCAGCTGATCCTTTGAATTTGCATCTCTCCGGTAAGCTTCCACCATCACCTAAAAAAGAAATTGATATGCTTAGCTTTATTATTATCATTATCATTATACATCATTACATATTTATTTACACCCCGCCTTTTCCCCTGATGGGACTCAAGGAGGATTACAGTTAAAAATAAGACCCACTAAAAAACAGGGGGGGGGGAACCATTTTTTAAAATTGATAAAATATATGTATACAAAACAAATTAAAACCAAACCAATAATTACTATAAAGACAGCACAGCACCAACCCTTTCGTTAAAAGCAGTCAGTTACCAAAAAGAAAGTGTTTACCTGCCGGTGAAGGAGGGAGCCAGTCTAGATTCTCTTGGGAGGGAGTTGCCTGCATGTGGGAGCAGACACCGAAAAGGCCCTCTCCCACATTCCTACCAAGCGAGCCTGTAAGGCTGGCAGGACTAAGAGAAGGGCATCCTCATTTTAGAAGAATAATTTGGATTTGATATCCCGCTTTATCACTATCCGAAGGAGTCTCAAAGCGGCTAACGTTCTCCTTTCCCTTCCTCCCCCACAACAAACACTCTGTGAGGTGAGTGGGGCTGAGAGACTTCAGAGAAGTGTGACTGGCCCAAGGTCACCCAGCAGCTGCATGTGGAGGAGCGGAGACGCGAACCCGGTTCCCCAGATTACGAGACTACCGCTCTTAACCACTACACCACACTGGCAATTACACTATATAAAACTACAGCAGGAGTGTTGACTCCTTTTCAGCTCAAGAGCCACATTTCCTTCTTGCCAATATTCTAAAGGGCGCATGCCACTGGTGGGTGTGGCCACAGGCAAAAGTGGGTGGAGCAACCATTGGAAAATTTTGCCCTTGTAAAGGAGGCAAGTTTCGACACACACATACACACAAACCTCTATTCTCCGTCCAGGTTCAAGGATATATTCAAGCACTCATGGAGGAAGAGAAGTAGGGTTGGTGAGGTGTATGGCATGTGAAGAGTTGCAAGAGCCAGACAGAAAGGTCTGGAGGGTGATATTTCGACCCCCAAGTTCCCCAGTCATAAGCTGACATCCTTATGAGCCATTTATTTATTTATTTTTATTACCATACTTTTCCATGTATAAGACTAGGTTATTTTCTTTAAATATCATGCTTAAAAGTGGAGGTTGTCTTATACATGGGTAGTGCTGATTGGTTGCTGCCGTGTCTGTCAGCAGCTATTGGGCGTGTTATTGGTTGTTGCATCAAGGGCTGGTGTGAATTGGCTGACGCTCCAGCAATTGGGTGGGTGACTGGCAGCTTCTGCTGGTGAGGGGACAGGCGATAGGCAGATTTTGCGTTGCATGCGGGTGAGCGATGTTCAGCTATCCCCGCCTAAAAAAAGCTGAACAACCCTATGCAATCCCCCCCAAAAAGCAAAAACAGCTCAACAACTCTGAGCCACCTCCCCCCATTTTATTAAAAATAGATGGAACTCTGAGCCACCTCCCCAAAAATAGATGGAAAATATACACGGAAAAATACAGTATTTTAAAACACTTATATAGACGCACACCTTTTGCTGAAGGAACTGCTCCTTGACCTTCTGGGTTTGCTTCTTGAGACTGGCACTCTCAAGCTGGAGATTTTCTACCTATGGGGGTGGAATAATAATATCAATATTACTTGGGCACTGGACGAGGACTAGAGAAGTGAACTAGTTTTGTGGCATCCAGAGCAGGAATTTTCCCAGGTGTAATTTCTACAGCACATGATCCCAAAATGCACCTGCTGTTTAATAGCAACAGCCAGAACAGGGAAAAAGAAGGGGAAAGTTGCTTAAAAGCCACTCTGGAACATAAGTGGCATATAATATTAATTAATAGGTTTTTTTTATAATGGGAATTGTGGTCCAATAACACCTGCATGGCACCACATCGGCCATCCCTGTTATAAAAGGTTTGTGAACATTTGCTGTGCAGGTTGTGTTGATGATTATAAGTGCATAAAAGAGCAGAAACGCAATTAAGAGGAGTGTATATTACCTGGCTTGACTTTACAACTATTTCTTGTCTCAGCTGCTCCAGAACATCTGATGCCGCCTCAGTGCTCTCCCCTAAATGTTGGACTCCTTCCTTGAGTCCTTCTTTGCCGGCTTTTGCTACCTGCAGAGCCACCTCAAGGACAATCTTCTCGTTCTGCAAATACTGGATAGTGTCGTCTTTTGAGGTGGCTTCTCCCTGCAACTCCGTCAGCCTGGCCTCCAGCTCATCATAACGTGTCTGGAGGTCGCCCAGTGACTGCTCTCGGGTCTGTAGAGTCTCCTGGGTGGCGGTCAGCTGCTTCATGAGGTCCAGCTGCTCCTGCTGCAAAGCCGCGACCTGAAGATCTCGTTGATGCAACGTCAATTTCAGCTGGATAGAAGGAAAAAATGTATTAGGGCGTTCTCCCATTATGAATGCACACATCACATACCCAGCACTTAAGGTCTACAGAGTGGGAGTGAGGAACCCAGACTACAGCTCCCGTCATCTTTGACTGTTTGCCATGCTGGCTGGGGCTGAATGGAACTGGAGACCAACAACATCCAGGCAGGCACAGGTTCCCCATCCCTGAGCCTAGAGTACTATCACATATGGCAAAGGTAGCCAGCATGGTATCCCGAGATGTTGTTGGACTACAACTCTCATCATCTATGACTACCGGTCATGCTGACAAGGGCTGGTGTGAGTTGTAACCCAAAACCATCTGGAGGGAACCAAGTTGGCTACCCCAATCTAAGGGATTAGGTCAGCGGCAGGAACGAACCTTTCCTAGGGTTGCATTCTATGGAAATCAAGGTGCAGAATTCAGTGGCCAGGATGCTCATCAGAGCAAGACTGTTTGAGCATATTACACTGATCCTGGTCCGACTGCATTGGCTACCAATTAGTTTCCGGGCCCAATTCAAAGTGCTGGTTTTGACCTATAAAGCCTTAAACGGCTCAGGACCACAATACGTCAAGGACCACCTCTTTCCATATGAACCTACCCAGACCCTGAGATCATCTTCTGAGGCCCTCCTTCGTGTGCCTCCTCTTCAAGAGATTCAGAGGGTGGCAACACGAGAACAGGCCTTCTCTGCAGTGGCTCCCCATCTGTGGAATGCTCTTCCCAGGGAAATTTGCCTGGCGCTTTCATTACACACCTTTAGGCACCAGGCAAAAACGTTCTTTTTTAACCAGGCCTTTGGTTGATCTGATTTACATCCTATGCCATTTTAAAATGTGTTTTTTGTGGGGGGGGGGCGCTATTAGGTTGTTTTTATTTTTATTATGTATTTTGTGGTTTTATATTTTGATTTTATTCTGTGAACTGTCCTGAGACCCCTGGGTACAGGACGGTATATACATTCAATAAATAAATAAATAAATAAGGTGTAATACGTTGCTGTATATAAGAAACAAAAGAAGTAATAAAAAATACAGTTAAAAATCCTACAGCATCTAGCACAGTGCATTGCAATTGCTACAATAGACAAAAAAAAAACACCCCTAAGTGGTCCCCCTAGACCTGCAGCAATTTTCATGCGGCTTGGAGTAGGGGGTTGGAATTTGAAACCAGTGTGGTAGGCAAACAAGGATGATGTGGAATGTAGACGTGTAATAGATGGGGGACGCGGGTGGTGCTGTGGGGACGCGAGTGGCGCTGTGGTCTAAACCACTGAGCCTCTTGGGCTTGCCGATCAGAAGGTTGGCGGTTCAAATCCCCGTGACGGGGTGAGCTCCCATTTCTTGGTCTCAGCTCCTGCCAACCTTGCCGTTCAAAAGCACGCCACACAAAAAAAGTGCCAGTAGATAAATAGGTACCACTCCGGCAGGAAGGTAAACGACGTTTCTGTGCGCTGCTCTGGTTTCAGTGTTCCGTTGCGCCAGAAGCGACTTAGTCATGTTGGCCACATGACCTGGAAAAACTGTCTGCAGACAAACGCTGGCTCCCTCAGCCAGTAAAGCGAGATGAGCGCCGCAACCCCAGAGGTGTCTACAACTGGACTTAACTGTCAGGGGTCCTTTACCTTTACCTTTTAATAGACGGGGGACTCTAGGAAGCAGCAGTGGTGGGAATTAGAAAGTAAGAGAAGAACTGTATTCAAATAAAAATGCCCTTTGTTGCTACTACCAAATGGTTGGTTGACAGGTGGAGGCAGCTACCTTATCCTCACAGCTGGCTCGTCATGATCAGCATTTGCCTTCCAACAGAATTTTCAAAAGCACTTTAAAAAGAACTCCTGTTTGCTGGATTGCATCTCCTGCTTCCAGTTTTGTTTCTCTCCAGTCGTAAGATGCAAACTAGGAATAGGCTTTTGCTAAGCTTTCTGTGAAAAGCTCTTCGCTCTACCAGCTGCATATACCTGTTCTAGCTCCTGCTCCAATATTGCTGCAGAATCCGCCATTTTCTGAAGCTGCTCCTTCTCATCCTCAAACTCCTCCAGTTTTCTCTGCAAGTCCTCTTCCACCATGGTCTTAGCCTCTTGGATCTGCAAGAAGGCTGCTTCCTGGTCTAACATGTCAGCCTGTCAGGAAGAAGCAGACAATTCTAATGAGTGAAAGAGGAAGTGGCCAACACAATACAGGCAGGAGTTTTGGGAATCAAACAATCCAGTCCGTCATTCTCTTAATAAGTTATGTAACCTTAATCAAGATTGCTGAGCTCTGAAGAAATGACTCTTCAGGCCAGTGTTGATGTTAGGCTATACATGTGGTTGATCTTCCACTTATTCATCACCCCAAATATTTTTAAAATTAAATTAAACCCCACCCCAGATACCCCAAATCAGTCCAATTACTAAACCCGGTACCCCAAATTAATTTCCCACCCAGATGATCCAGAACCTGCTCCAAAAAAATCACTCACTTACCACATTACCCCCTCCAAATTCAATAAATAATGTGCATTCTGATTTCTTTTGGGTGGTACAGGGGGGCAGGGGAAGTATTTTACAACAAGGTTGTCCTATTATTCATTTAACAAATATTCAGACCAGAGGGCAAGCTAGCAACTGAGCAACCACTGCTAAGCACCATGTGCTGTACTGCAAACTGAGACTGCACAAGCCCCTGGGAGGTGATCTGAGTTATTCAAGCCCCTTCGCCACAAGAAGGCAGTGATCCATGGCTGTATGGGATACGATCAAGCCAAAGCACTCTCATTAAGCAATGTGTAGCAGACACAGAGCGCCAACTGGATCTAGCCAGGACCCCAACTTTTATGGCCAACGAATCCATCAGGTACTCTGCCTCCCCCATGGCATATCTAACTAATTTTGAAGTCCCTAAGCACCGGAGGGCCTTTACCCTGGCACGATGTCGTGCCCTTCCCTCGGCTGTCATTGAAGGTCGATACAGGAAGATTGCTTACTCGGAGAGACAATGCCCCTCCGATTCTGGACAAACAGAAACAATAGAGCATGTGCTTCTCCAGTGCCTATACTATAGAGACATTTGTATTAGCCTCAGCTCCCCACTACTTTGGTTTATGAACTTAATATGTTCCGGAAGTCCGTTCTTAAACCAAAGCATTCTTAAACCAAGGCGTGCTTTCCCATAGCAGCGCGGGACTCAATTTACAAATGTAACACACTCAACAGGAAGCGGAACATGTTCTGGTTCCAAGGCAAAGTTCACAAACCAAAACACCTACTTCTGGGTTTGCAGCGTTCTTAATCCAAGTTGTTCATAAACTAAGCTGTTCTTAAACCAAGGTACCACTGTACTCCATAAGTACCCAGGACGCACAGGACAATTCTATACCACTCCCCCACCCCCAGCTATTTTTAAGAAAAATCATCCCCCAAAAATGGACATTTTAGCCATTTCTGCCCAGACACTGCTTCTGACTGCAATATTCTTGCAGTATTCTAAGCTGACTGCAGTATTCTAAGCTATTACAATTCTGAAGTTTTAGAGATCCCCATATTACAGGAAGTACTAAGAGAGTCCAAAGAAAATTCCTATGAAGTTTACCTCAATATTTTGCAACTGTGTAGCTATACGCTCCTTCTCTTTGATGGACCTGTGCTGAGTCTCCGTTAACTGATGAGAGAGTGTTACGTTCTCCAACTTGAGATGTTCCAACATGCCCACCTGGGTCATTTGACCAGCCTGTGAAAGGGGAAAGAAAAAAAGCCATACAAAATGTTGGTTAACAGCAGTTCAAAGGGGAAGTTCATGTCCTCTGTTCCGAAGAAATATACAAATATTTCCTTTTATTGGACATGCTTCAGAGGCCCTGCTCTCAGAGCCATCTCACGATATTTGAGAGATGGGAACAATGGACAGGGCTTTCATTGTGGTGGTTCCATGGCCTTGGAATAACATCATGATCAAGGCTCCCTCTCTGAGTGTCTTCTGCCAGAAACTGAAGACATTCCTTTCCAGTGGGCCTTTCAATGCATGATTTTAGCTGCCAAATGTTTGAATGACATCAGGACCAATGCCAGATACCACCGCTCCCAATTGACTGTATCTGGACAACCATCTCTCACCTTCTTAAGAAGCTGGGATATGCATGAATCTTCTCCCTGCCAGCACAGCTTCTCTGCTCCTCTCTTCACCTAAAGCCATGATTAAACCATGAAGCCTATAGTTCCTCATTTTGTCCAATCTTGGAAATGCGTTACCAGCTTTGGAAGAAGCCACAATATTAAACCATGGTTTGTTGATGTTTTTAATGCCCAACTTGTTCCAAAGCTGGTAACCATAGTTTCCAGGGTCACACAAAACAGGGAACTATGGTTAATCAGATGTTTCCCTGTCTAATCATGGCTCCTGACAAAGGGAGAAGGGGCTCTCATTTTAATTAAATTATCTTTGGGATGTCCAACTAGGGTTGCACCACATCTTAGGTTTCTAGATGGCAAGGCACCAATTGTCTAATTCCATAGTGGCCTAATTTGGCCCCAAGTGTCAAATACACATGGAATCACAGAATCGCAGAGTTGGAAGGGACCTGGAGTGTCAACTGGCCCAACCCCCTAGATTGCAGGAATCTCAGCTAAAGCATCCATGACAGATGGCCACCCAACCTCTGCTTAAAAACTTCCAAGGAAGGAGAATCCAAAACCTCCCAAGGGAGACCATTCCACTGTTGAATAGCTCTTGCTGTCAGAAGGTTTTTCCGTATGTTTGGTCGGAATCTCCTTTCTTCTAACTTGCAGAAGAAAGGAATATTTATGTATGTCTATACCAAGGGTTGCCAATTTGGTGCTCCTCCAGATGTTTTGGGTCTACAACTCACACCATGCTGGTTGAAGCTGATGGGAGCTGGAGGACAACACATTAGTTTCCCCTGATATATATAGTTATACATGCAAATAACGAAGCAATGGTTTCTTGAAATATGTTGTGTGTTGTGGTGGAAGACCACCAGGGCAAATCACCTTTCAGCTGCTAAAGCTCAATAGGTGCGTCCTGGCCAAGCCTCTCAGCCTAACTTACTGGGGAATGGGTGTAGCTCAGTAGAAAAGAACCTGCTTTGCATGCAGAAGGCGCTAGGGTTCAACCCCTGGCATCTCCAGGTAGGACTGGACAAGAACCCTGCCTGAAATTTTAGAGAGCCACTGCCAGTCAGTGTGCAAACTACTAAGACAGCTTGACCATTGGTGCGTCTCAGTATAAGACAGCTTCCTCCATCTCAATTACAAGATATTATGCGCGCACCGAGAAGTGCCACAGCAGCTAACAAGGGAGAGTCCCCCTTACCTGTATGTTTGCCATCTCACTCTGCAGCCTAACCCTTGCCTCCTGGGCCACCACCAGCTGCTGCTGGTACCAGTGCCGCACTTTCTGCAGCGATGCAATCTCTGTTTGAGACGACTTCAGCTTATTGGTCAACGTGGTGCGGTCCAGTTGCACTTGCTGGAGCTGACTTTGCAACGAGGAAAGCTGCTGTCGGAGATCATGAACTAAGAAGCCAAGCGAAATCATTCGAAAGGTTATGAAGGTCGATCAGCAGCAATGATCAAGCAAGAAGCATCTAATTTTATAGACATTTCCATTGCACCTTTAAAAACAATTACTGTAGTTCTTAAAAGGTAAAGGTAAAGGACCCCTGACAGTTAAGTCCAGTCGTGAACGACTCTCGGGTTGCGGCGCTTTTTTAAATTACTGTTTTTTGATTACCTGTTATATGCTTTGTTGCAGTTGTCAACTGCAATAGAAGCCTCTCTCTGACTATAGGAGAGCTGCAGAAGCTGCAGAAAAGGGCAACACAAATTTATGATCGCTAAAGTTTTATTTTTTAAAGCTCCTCATCGGTCTTACTTTTGCTTTAATGATGATGGTTTTATAGATTTATTTGCATCTATCTATTTGCTCGGTCCCTGCTCTTGCCAACCTAGCAGTTCGAAAGTGCAAGTAGATAAAATAGGTACCGCTCCGGCGGGAAGGTAAATGGCGTTTCCGTGTGCTCCTCTGGTTCGCCAGAAGCGGCTTAGTCATGCTGGCCACATGACCCGGAAGCTGTACGCTGGCTCCCTCGGCCAATAAAGCAAGATGAGCACCGCAACCCCAGAGTCGGCCACGACTGGACCTAATGGTCAGGAGTCCCTTTACCTTTACCTTATCTATCTATCTATCTATCTATCTATCTATCTATCATCTATCTATCATCTATCTATCTATCTATCATCTATCTATCATCTATCTATCCATCTATCTTTAACCCATTCGTAGATTTTAGCTGTGTTTTCTCTACCATTTTATTACTACACTGCTGGGAGGCCTTTCGGATCAAGCCATTTAATAAATATTTTAAATACATTTACAAAGCGCCGCTTGAGAAATAAAGAGTGTTAGGAATCAAGAGAGCAGCACCTACTCACCTGTGCTATCCTTGCTGAGGACACTTTTCTGCATGTCTTCCACCTTCCCCATCAGTCTTTGGTATTGCTCTTCTGCCACCTGCAGGTCATTGTTGGAGGCAGCCAGGCTGGCATTCTTGGCCTCCAAGGCAGCCTGAAGTTCCGCCATGGCTCTTTCCAGGTCCCAACAAGACTGCTTCAGCGTGGCCACCTCCGAGTTCAGCGAGTCTTGCTTCTGCTGGCTGCTCTGACTGTGCTCCATCTGGGACTGAAGCTTCATGTTCAAAGCAGCAAGCTGGGTTTGCAGTTCCGTCTTTTCTTTGAGAGCCTGAACAAAAAACAATGATTAAAAAATAATAATTTTAAAATGATGGTTTCACAAGGCACCTCAAATGAGGTTCAAAGGATTCTTCAGTACCTCCTTAAAATCCAGCTTTTGCATAATCTTCTACAAATGTCACCCCCAACTGAAAAAGAAAACCCCACCCTAACTCCTCTACAATCTCTTTTCTCCTCAGTGTAAAACTACAGCTTGAAACCCCACAAACTATTTATTTTATTTATAGCCTGCCTTTCTCCCAGTACGGAACCCAAGGTGGCTCACAAGATGCCACAGAATTGCACACCAATCCGTTATAAATATTGAAGAACAATTAAATAAGCTATCATATAAAAAAACCAACACCAAATCAAAACAACTTAGAACCATTTACGCCACCCACCCTTAGAAGTAAAAGGTAAAGGGACCCCTGACCATTAGGTCCAGTTGCGGCCGACTGGGGTTGCAGCGCTCATCTTGCTTTATTGGCCGAGGGAGCCAGCGTACAACTTCCGGGTCATGTGGCCAGCATGACTAAGCTGCTTCTGGTGAACCAGAACAGCGCACGGAAACGCTGTTTACCTTCCCGCCGCAGCGGTACCTATTTATCTACTTGCACTTTGACGTGCTTTCAAACTGCTAGGTTGGCAGGAGCAGGGACCGAGCGACGGGAGCTCACCCCATCGCGGGGATTCGACCCGCCGACCTTCTGATCGGCAAGTCCTAGGCTCTGTGTTTTAACCCACAGCGCCACCCACGTCCCTTCACCCTTAGAAGACCCTGCCGCAAGAGCCAGTTAGTGGCCAAAGGCCTGTGGGAATAAAACAGTATTTGCCTGCTGGCAAAAAGAAAACAAAGAGGAGGCCAGGCGAGCCTCCGGTGGAAGGGAGTGCCACAATCTGGGAGTAGCGATGGAAAAGGTCCACTCTCATGTCCTCCCAAATGTGCCTATGAGGCTGGCAGAACTGAGAAAAAGGCCTCTCTTGAAGATCTCAAAAGCTGACAGGTTCACAAAGGGAGATGCTGTCCTTCAGACAGCCTGGAATCAAGCTGTATAAGCCTTTGTAGGGAATAACCAGCATTCTGAATTGTGCCCAGACACAGACATGCAGCCAGTGGAGATGTTGCAATAAGGTGCTGCAGCAAGGTTCTGCAATAATCTGCCTGCAGCATCTTGGACCACTGAAGTTCCTGAACACTTTCCAAAGGCAGACACACATACGGTGTTTTAGAGTATACCAAATAACAACCACAACAGCAACAACAACAACCATAACAATAATAATTAATTTATATGCCACCCATCTGACTGGGTTGCCCCAGCCACTTTGGGCGGCTTCCAACAAATTAAAACATTAAGCACAGTAAAACATCAAGCATTAAAAACTTCCTTATGCCTTGTGACTAAGGCATGTGTCCCTGTTCCCAGATCCGACATCTCCAGGAACGGGTGCATATTGTGCATGGCTTTTAAATATGCAAGCACACTTCCAGCTGCTGCCGAAACCTGGGCATCTACACTCAGGGTTGAATCTAGGAGTACATCTAAGCTGCGAACCTGAGTTGTCAGAGGAATGTCAACCCACCCAATACAGGTTGAATCCCAATTCTCTGATCTGCCGTTCCACCAACTAGGAGCACCTCTTTCTCGCTTAAACTTCAATTTGTTCACCCTCAGCCAGCCCGTTACTGACACCAGACACTGATTTAAGCCCTGAAATAGCATTCTCACATTTAGATGAAAAAGAGACAGATTGGTGTCATCAGCATATTGGTGGCACCGAACCCCAAAACTCTGGACATCCTCTCCCAGCAGTTTCATATGAAGGGTGCCCATTCCTGCTTTAAGTAGCCTCAGTAACATCCTGTACAGAAGGGGTGGCGTCATTTGTACCTCATTGGCTTCCAATGACAGCGCTTCAAGCTGCCCTTCGAGACGCATCTTCTCTTTGAGGACCTGCAACATTTCGTCATGCGTGCCTGCGATAGAACTCTCCATCGATATACTGGGGAGAGACAAAAGCGTGTGCACACTTTATCAATGTACACGTTGTGCCAGTGGCATACATGGTTATTTCGCAGCTCATGATATCGTCCCTGTTATTTTCTTATTTGGAGCATTTGTACCTGGCTGTTCTTTCAACAACAACAAAAAGGCTCCCAGAGTGGCTTACATACAATGAATTAAAACAAGACAGTCCCTGCCCACTGGTTTACAATCGAAAAGATTTGACACAAAAGGAAAAGGAGGACCGGAGAGGGGAGAAAAAGCAAAAGCAAAAGCAGGGACCAATTCTTAAATTAAGTGATAGCCCCTTACTGAAATACCACCAGGATGGAAAGAGTACAAAGGCAGGAGCAACATGATGGAGCTGATTTTTCAGCAGAGCTGAATGGATGGGCCTTGTTTCCCAATAGATTCTCCATAGAGAATCTCCATGAGATACTAAGGCAATCTGATTGTATTCCAACCCTCCTTGCTGACATGCCGCTGCTGCTGCTGCCACCACACCCCATGAGTGCAGCTGCCATTTGAAAACATCAAAGTGACACTGCATCATGAGCCTGAAGCGAGATGATGGCACAGGATGATGACAACGATGCAATGTGGGCCATTGCTAAATGCCCTTGGGAACTCTTTACAGCCAACCTACACTTGCTCAGAAAAATTAGTTCCTTTTGAGCATGATGGAGAGTAGATTTTCTGAGCCCTGCAAATGGACATTTAAAACAAACTATGGGGTGTTTAATATTTTTATTTCATTCAGATAACTTTCGAGCCAAAAAGGATACCTAAAAACTGGCCATCCATTTATAAGAAAGATGGAAGGGAAAGAACAGCAACCACAATCGGCACTGCAATATTGACCACTTGCTAATTCTATACTTGACCTGAAAGAGATGGGCACTGAGAAACTCATTATAGTATCATGGGTGAGTAAGCTTCTGAGAACCAACAAGTAATCCCATTCTTAAAAGGGCTAAAGTGGATAAGTGCATCTAGTTAAGTGCTAAAAGCTGGAAAGATCTGTGCATGGATTAAATACTTAATGGGTTGTGTGAGAAGGATGCTGTAAGGTTCATAAACAGGGGGACACACTGAAGGTCCTCTTCTATGACAAAATGCTGAATGCGATTCAGTCAACCACCTGACACGGAAAGAGGTCAACCCACAGGGGCGGTCTGGGTGCATATTGTTCACTTATTACTTAAGGCATTTATAGCCAGCCCTCTAGGCAAAAAGGCACTCAGAGTAGCTACATACCGAGTCACATCATTGGTCATTCTGGATCAGTATTATCTACACTGATTGGCAGCAGCTCTCCCAGGTTTCAGAAAAGGAGGCTCTCCCAGTCCTACTTGGAGATGCTGGGGATTGAACTGGCAACCTTCCGCATGGCAAAGCGGTCATTCTGCCACTAAGCTATTGCCCTTCCCCAATGCACTGCAACTACACTTACTCCATGCATATCCCACCTTTGTTTCATGATGGATCTCATGGCAGTGTACACTAGGGATCTGTAGCTTTGGGAAGAACTGCAAGCTCAGTAGCAGAGTGTAACACCTTGCACGATGAAGGTCGCAGGTTCAACTCCTGGTGTTCCCAGGTAGGGCAGGGAAAAGCTCCTGCCTGAAACCCTGGAGAGATGCTGCTGGTCAAAGCAGACAATGCAGGATGAACGAGGGCCAATGGTCTGACTTGGTATAAGGCTGCTTCCTACCTTGCCAGGGAGTCTCCCACCCAAGCTGCTGCCTACTAGCCATGATGGCTCAACGCTGGCTCCAGGAATCAAAGGCAGCATATGTCTCTGAATATCAGTCTCTGGGGAATGGTAGCTGTGATCATGCCCAGCTTGTGGGCTCCCCAGGAGGCACCTGGCTGGCTGCGGTGGGGACTAGAGGGGCCTTTTGGTCGGACCTATCCGGACACTTCTTGAGAGCTGCTGTGAGTCAAGGTAGGCCAGGGATGGGGAGATCAGAGGCCGTCCAGATGTTGCTGGACACCAACTTCCATCAGCCCCAACCAGCATGGCCAGTGGTCAAGTGTGATGGAAGCTGTAGTCCAACAACATTTGGAGGGCAACAAGCTCCCTATCCCTGGAGTGGACAGCACTGAGCTTGATGGACTTGCCAACCAAGTCAGCACAGAGCGCCTTCATATAACAGTCCAAGCTAATGCTCTTCACAAGCTGACTGCACACTGCAGAAGACGCCACAGCACCTTTCACAGCAGAGACAGAGGTATTCCTTCGCAGACAAGTCAAGGCAGAAAAATATTCCCTGGAGGTTCAAAAGTTTGAAAGCCATTGCAATGCACTTACCTGCTGGAAATGCTGTCCCTCCTGCTTCTCACTTCCCCATTGACTTCCTGATCGTCAGGATGGTGCTCTGTCGCAGCAGCAGCCTGCAACACTTCCCTGATGGAAGGAAACTGTCCAACTGCATCCAAAGGGACCTCCTGGCCATTTACAGTCAGCGAAGTGCCCTGCCTGCTTTCGGAATTGAGCAAAGCGCCATAGGGCCCCCTTCCCGATAAACTACTGTACGTAGAACTGTCGCTCTCGTTGCCGTCCAGCCTCAATCCTACTTCACTTCCGTCAATATCAGAGACGCTATCTCCGGCCAGGGAGGAATTCTCCAGCCGGTCATCAGGATCAGGGGTTAGCCTGATCTCAGACACAACAGATGTCAGGCTGCTTCGATTCTGCTTCAGGGAGCCACTTGGTGAATCAAGCGGAACATGCCCTTCTGCATCTTCAGTTCTATAGTCTGCCAGAGACCGGATTCTACTTGACCTGTTAGATTTAGAACTTTTCCTTTCTTTTGATTGTGTCGGAAGCCCCAGGCTTCCCAGTTTTGGTCCCCGCGGGACGCTGGTTCGCAAGAATGAGTATTCTTTTGTCATAGACACAGTGCTGGCCCTCGGCAAAGTCTCTGGATGTAACATCAGCTCAGGATCGAGGGTACTGGAGGGACGGCTTTTAGCTGTAGACTGCTTGGACAAGAAAAAGAAGGTGACAAGCAGTAGTATAAATGGAATGCAATTTCTGATCACCAAAGTCTTTTATTTTAAACCAATCAACTGCCCGTCATGTAAACAAATGGAAATCATCATAGAACGGCAACCAAGGTTTCTTTTTGAGGTTCCTGAATGCAAAAGTCAGTCTCCTCCTTTCAGTGCGAGAACTTTAAATGTAATACTTCAAGTTTATATTTATATTTAATATTTAAAGTTACAGCTTATTCTTCCTTCACCACCAGATTTAGGGATGGCAAACACCCCCGCCACATCAGTATGGTTAACACATCAAAATGGCTCTACCTGAACAAACAAGTGTCAGGCCAATCGGTTTTGTGAAAGATCCATGGGTGGACATCAGTCTGGTTTGCACATCACACGAAGTCAAACCATAGCTAAGAACGTGGACTCTGAGAGAGTGAATCTCAGCCACTCTGCTCCTCCTCAGTCATTCTGCTGTTGTGCTACACTGAGCTGAGCTGAGCCATGGCATGACTTGGTGTGTTGTTTGAACAACATGCTACACCAAACGATGGCTTGGTTGAGTGCAGCAGGCGAACACACAAGGAGACCACCCATTCAAGTTAAACCTTGGTTTGGCTTAATGTTTAGTGGGAACCAGGTCATTGATTTGAGCCAAATACTGTTGTTTTCAGTTATCTGTGATTGTATGGAACGGAAATAGGGAGCCTGTGGCCCTTGAGATGTTGCTGGACTGCAACTCCCATCAGCCCCAGCCAGCATGGCAAATGATCAACGACGGCAGAGGTTGAGAGTCCAGCAACAGGTTCTCTATTGGCACACCAGAGTGAAAGTCAAAAAAGCATCAGCCTCAATGGCAAATTGTCCGCTAGCTTTTAATATAGATGGGAGGGGAAAGTAACCTTCTAGGGCATGCACACTGTATATGCTCAGAGAATAAAGAGGGTGAATGCATTCTCACTATTTAGCACACTACTGGCATGTCCATGTGATATGGTAGTGTCATCTGCCACCCAACACAGAGTTATGGGTGGGGCTAGCCACAGCACTTCCAAACTCAGGGTACTGCAGTTAATTATAACTAGAATTAGTGAAAACAAGCCAGGATCAAACCATAGTATACTCGTACCTTGGAAGCCAAACAGAATCTGTTCGACTTCCAAAACGTTCGACAACCAAGGTACAGCTTCCAATTGGCTGCAGGAGCTTCCTGCACGCAACTGGAAGCCACGGAAGCTGCGTCGGACGTTCGGCTTCCAAAGAACATTCGCAAACCGGAACACTCACTTCCGGGTTTACGGTGTTCGGGAGCCAAAATGTTTGACTTGCAAGGCGTTCAGCTTCCAAGGTATCGGATCCTGGCTTAATGACCAAGAAAGGCTTTAAACAAACAACAGTTCCTCAGGTTTAGATGTCACAAGGAACTGTGATTTGTGTAAAACCATAGGCAAGAGCTTCTGAAGAAGATAGGGGAGTGATGGGTGCATAAGCCCAATGTTCACCACAGCTTGTTCATACAGCAAGGGAACATGACATGGCTATCTGTTACTTCTGAATGGGGCCCGTTGTCTGTGAAAGCTGCTACGGCTCTTGGCCTTAAAAAGGGCTGAATGGAGATATGTGGATCACACTGCTGCAATGACCCCCTCCACAAACGGAGTCCATCCCACAGCATCACCTAAAATGATGCTTTGCAGCACCAAGGAGCAGTTTACAGGATTTCCCAAGTCATTAGAATTCATAAACACCAGAGAAACCACTTGCTAGGCTCTTACTCTCTCCTGGTGCCTTTTTACACGATACTGTTTGAGCTGTTCTTCAAGGCGCCTTCTTGCCTGAAGTCTGATTTGTTCTTCCTTCTCTAAAGGGAGAGAAGAATCAGCTGAACCTACAGGATGAAAGACAGGTTTTATGTATTTAGATGTGTGTGTGTCTATTACTAGGCTGGGTAGAAATGTATGTTTCTTAGCAAAAATTAGGGAAGAAGTAAAAACAGCAAGAGAGACAGAAAAGTGACAGTTCTTTCATTTCAATTACTAGACTGAAAGGTTACATGCTTTTTTGGGGGAAATGAAGTTAATTTAGTGAGAATCCAATGAGGCTTCTATCTACCAAGGCTTAACAGTACCCATTCTGTACCCTGCCCAGAATGGGACCCAGTACCTCAAAGACACCAACAAACAAAGACATTTTGGGATGCACTGTGAGATTGTTAACAATTGGTCATGGAGAAGATGCAGCTCAAGGGAACAAGGACATCAATTCCAGCTCTTGGGTTTGACTAGTCAGCAAGACCCACCTCAATGTATAATTTGGTTACATCTGAAGATTCCGCTTGCTTTAAATTGGGCACAAAGCAAAGCAAATTGGACGCAAAGCAAATTCAGAACCCTCCATTTTTACATCCCCACAAGGGTCAGGTCAGTAGAGTCTCCTCTTACAAATGAGGAACTGAGGCACTGTGACAACCTCAGGTCACTGTGAGCTGAGCAGAGGCTTGGATCCAGATTCCCAGGCTTCTCCTCCAACTGGCTATCCACTGAAATGCATCATCTCCCGATATAAGTTGTTCATAAAGAGCTGGCTTCAGTCCCGCTCATACGTGAATTGTGTAGAAGGACTGAGCGGGGCGATGCCAAACTTATTTCCGTAACTCAAGGGCTAATCAACATGGTGGCCTCCAGATGTTGCTGGATTCCAATTCCCATCAGCCCCAGCCATTGTGGCCAACAGTCAGGATGATGGGAGTCCTGCAACATCTGGGGGGGGCATTATAACTACCCCTATCTCACGACTTACTACAATATTCATGCAGATAAGCAAAGCATGCGGTTTTAGCCAGGTGAGCGTGCAGCTGAAAAAAGTGCCCCAAACCCCAATGCCTTGTGTAAGCACTGATATTAAGAGTGCACAGTTTATGATCCACAGCTCTTCAAGCAACTTGTTCACAGCTCCCTCCCTGTTGCAAAACCCTAATTGCCATGTTTTTATTGGGTTGAGGGAAGGGTGGGCAGCCACAGGACAAGTTGACTGAACTGTGGTCTCGCGGTTAGATTTGAAAACAGATTATTGCAATCACTCTCAGTGGTGACATCCCACTTGTAGAAAGCTCTCCACAAGGAAGGTTTGTTTGACCTTAGCTAAAGTTTCACCCCCAAGTATTTTAATTATGTGCTTTTCTTCCCTGCCAATTGATTATTATTTTTTTAATGCTGCTTGTTTCATATTTATTTCATTACATTAACTTTTAATATTATGGGCCATTTTAAAAGGTGAGATATAAATGCCCACAGATAAATAACTAGCTAAACCTCAAGTGTTTTGGGCTTTTATCTAAACAGGTGATGTTGTGCAGGGTTACAGGCTTGTAAGTAAGTGCAACAAACAGTTATCAGCCTGCAAAAACATATATACGTACTAATATATGTAGTCTATATTCTCATGCTGGCCAAGGAGAAGATTCCAGTAGAAAAAAATCTAGCTTTCTACCAAGTAGGCAATTCATCTCTCCTCTGCCAGCACTTTTATTCACCTGCATGGATTTCCTGGTCACCTATGGCAAGCTGTTAAAATACAAGCCTGGCTTTATACAATATAATTATTCTGAATTTGCACTTGTCTAACTGGAATGCAAAAAGTAAAAAAAAGGAAAGCAATAAGGGTCCTTTGTTTTTAACAGTGTTTTAACGGCAACATTTATTCAGCCCAACAATGTTAAGTAAAGTAAGTGTGTTAAACACAGAGTCACAAGCACCAATTGCCACAGAGCAAAATTACAGTATCAGATCAAGCTTTTTTGAAGTGATATTTGGAGACAGAGTCTGCAGAGGCCAGGAGAGTAATGGAAAGTGGGGGAGGGAGCTTTTTTTTTCTTGGAGCAAGAGAAAAAAACAGGGGGCTCCGCCATAAACAGATGCTTACACAATTTGGTTTCTTGCATGGGAAGGCTTAGTTTGAGGGACTGCAACGCTTCCTTCCTAAGCACTATGCCCTCAGCACTAGCTCCCTGAGACGGCTTTAGGTTGTCATGGAAACCGGGCACACCTGGAGCTGGTACTTCCCCACGTGGGCTGCCGTTGGGGTCAGAAGAGACAGGGTAGCGAGATGCTGGTCCATTCGCACATGGCACCTCGCAGCTGTTTGGAACCAGGCATTCCCCTTCAGCTGGCGCTTTGCTGTCATTTACACTAGTCACTGGAAAAGAGCAGAATATTGGGTTGCACTAGGTTCACATCCCTTACAAACTTAGGGGTGGAAGGATGGGTCTCCAGTCTGTTTCCCCTTCCTATAAAGAGAGGATATCCTAGGTCTTTAAAGCATCCCTGCTATAAGAAATACCTTGGCAAAGGCCTACCTGGTTTGACTAGCCTGGGACCTTTGGCTGTTCAGAAGAAAAGCACTGGGAACACAGGAAGCTGCATTATACGAAATCTGGGCATTATCTACCCTGACTGGCTGCAGCTCTCTGGGTCCTCAAGCAGAGCTCTGTCAAATTGCCTGCTCCTGACCCTTCAACCAGACCTGCTAGGACAAGGATGGGGGAATTCAGGCACAGGGACCTAACGCAGATGGCCATCTGGTCCTATCCAGCAGGGCTCACCTTATTTGATTCGATTGGGTTATTTAATTTCCATATCACTTAATATATTAAAAATATGTCTCAGCGATGTACAAAAAACTAAAGCAACAACGGACAACTTAAACAAAATATTACAAAAATACACAGCTACAAAAAATGTACATTAAAAATTAAATATATATTCAGTTTCCTTCTGACACACCACTACCCTCAGCCTCTGGATTCTCACCCAGGGTCTAAACCAACTCTCAGCTCACCAACCACAGCAGTGGTTCTCAAACTTTTTTCTCTGTGCCACCCTTTCAGAATGAAAATTTGCTCGCAACGCATCAAATTTATCACTTGATGCTCTTGCTCTCATTTTGAATATAAAAAATGGATACTATAGTATACTATACTACACTGAAGCATTTGAATGTTTTTTTGATGGTCCTTTTATCTTCCTGCCACCCTTGTCATCCTTTCCTGTCACGCCAGCGTGGCACGCCATGCCCTTTGGGAACCACTGCACTAAAATCTCAAAACGAGGAGAGATCCTGGAAAGAGTGGACATCACCTGTGTTCTCTTGACAGGCCCAAAGTGGGATGGCACTTCCTCAGGTTGTCCACTGCCCGCCTTATGTCCTTAGCCTGACTGCACTACCTTCAGAAACACATTCCTCGCAGCAACACAAATCTGATCTGCAGAAACAGCTTACCATGAAGGCCATCTCCTTCTGCTGGCCGCTCCAATTTGGCCTCCATCTCCACAGGCTGCTCAGAGCTGTAGGGCCCCCCGTTGCTGGCTTGCTTCTCCAGCAGGATCACCGAAGAGTCCATGGCAGATGCTATTAAGATGCGGGGGAAATATTTCCCCAGCTGAACAAAACTCGCTTTTCAAGAGAACTGCCGAGTCCTGGTTCTATCCATCAGAAGAAGTGCCAGCAAGGAGGCTGCGCAAGAGGACACAATACCAAGCTTCTCATCTGTAGTTTTACAGCAGGCAACTCAACTCAGTCCAAGTCCGGTCAGCAGGCAGCCCAGGATTTCCACGAGATCATTACTGTAGCCTGAAGGGGGTGAAAGCAATTACTAAGTTGCGTCACTCTCTAAAGCAGGCTTCCTCAGTCTCGACCCTCCAGATGTTTTTGGCCTACAACTCCCATGATCCCTAGCTAGCAGGACCAGTGATCAGGGACGATGGGAATTGTAGTCTCAAAATATCTGGAGGGCCGAGGTTGAGGAAGCCTGCTCTAGAGACAAAAGGGCATTTTATTTTTTGTAAAAAAAACACACACAAAAACCCAACCCATTCTGTTACAGGGGAACAATCACATGCAGTATTTAAACCAATAGCTAACTGATTCTTTTTATTTGGACTCTCTATATAGGGAAAATGGCACCATCCATACACAAGAGGGAAATAATAGCTGGCTTGACAGAACCCAAAGGTTTCTGGAAGTAGGAAGAATTTTTGGGGGGAGGGGGGACCATGGGGAAGAGGGAACCCCAAAACTAGTGAGGGAATGCACATACTCAGCAGCCCCATAACATGTTGGGGAGGGGTTAGTGTTTGTGTTGGGAGGGAGAATAGAAAATGGAGAAAGGGAAGGAGAATGGAATGGAGTACAGTGGTACCTCGGTTTACGATCTTAATCTGTTCCGGAAGTCCGTTCTTAAACCGAAACCATTTTTAAGCCGAGGTGCTTTCCCCAATGAGGCCTCCCACTGCTGGTGCCCTTCTACCGTTTGGCTTCCGTTCTTAGACCGAGGTAAAGTTCGCAAACCGGGACACTACTTCCGGTTTTGCGGAGTTCGTAAACCGAATAGTACATAAACAGGGCTTTCTTAAACCGAGGTAACACTCTATCTTGGGAAAGATTATGGCTGGCTAGCTGCAACTCCACACTGCGACATTCTGTTCTAGATCGCACTTGTGTCCATCGAAAACCTAGATACAAACATTCTTCTTGCGCTCTAGCAGGTCCCAGACACAGAACCCTTGGCAGATCTACATGCAGATGAAGGGGCAGGAAATGCCTTACATGGGATTCACTGCCACAAGATATGTAGGTGGCCACCAAGATGCCTACAGGAAGCCCACTAGCAGAAACAAAGCTCAGCAGCACCTCTCCCCAGTGGTGATCCCATTAACTGGTATTCAGAGGCAAGAAGCAGAGCTTAGCCTCCATGAATTTGTCTACTCTTTTAAAGCCATCCAAGTGGGTGGCCATCAGCTTGTTGGTGTGAATTCACTCCTATGGAGAAAGAGTAAAAAAAGCACTGAACTTAAAGGGGAAATCTGCCCTCTCTTCTGAATTCTGCATGGCAGGTCCATCATAGACAGGGATCCTATGGCTGACTATTTGTTTATCTGTTTATTTCATATATCTCTCTCTATCTACTTATACATACACATACAAATTTTCCAATTCCAAAATCTCAAAGTGCTGCACCATCCAAACAAAAATCATTAAAATAAGCAAACAACCCAGATAATCATAGAACATAGTTGCAGCAACTATAGCAGCCAGAAGCAACAATAACAAAACACCCTCCTTGAACTTGACTCGGTGGCTAATTGGCAGTACAGGGGTTGTGCAGCAGATGCCCCACTGAGCAACCTAGCTGCAGCTTCTGAGCCAATCTCAAGGGTAGCTCTTCACAGACCACATCACAGGAATCCAGTTGTGAGGTTACCCTCAAGGTTCCTAAGCATGAGTCACAACAGTTTAGACTATCCCAGCCCAAGAATGGTATTAATGACTGGGTGATCATTATCATAGACCTCTGGCTTCTTTAGATGTTGTCGCACAACCTCCTCTTTAAGGGTGGCTGGAGTAATAATGCATGCACCACTCGCTTGACCCACCTGCCTAACCTGAATGATGGGGAAGAACTGGGAGGACACACGATACAGCAAATAGCTACAAGTGTTGTGTCCACAATCTTAGGCACCATCAACTGAAACTAGTACCACAGAACTCAATCAAGCTCAGGGGATCTCAAACGGTGGTCCACGGCAAGCTTCATTCAGACAGTTCTGGGTCTGTGAAGAACGGTGGGAGCAGCAATTGTGGAAGGTGAGCACAGTGCATTAAATATCAGATTTTTAATTGTATTCTTATTGCTTTCTCTTTTTCTTCTATTATGTTTTATGGTATTTTATATTGTACTATACAGAATTCGAAATGCAATATAAAAGAATACAATACAGAAAATGAAAGAAGCCATAAAAATACAATTTAAAAATGTACAGCTTCTGGCACAACACATTACAATTGCTGAAGCAGGCAGAAGAAACTTTTTAAGGGTCTGCCAAGACAATTAGCAACCTTCAAGAGGTCCACAGTGGAAAAGGTTTGGGAACCACTGGTCTAGCTTGACTGGTAGTGGCTCTCCAGGGTGAAATCGTGCCTATTATATGCCACCTGACCTTTTAAAGTAGAGATGCCAGGGATCAAACTTGGGATGTTCTGCATGCTAAACAGGTAGGCTCTACCACTGAGCTACAGTTGCCCAGGAGGAAACAGAACCAGCTCTGATTTTTGCAGGTGTTAATAACCGCTCAGCTTGCATAGTAGCACAACACTCCCAATACTTAAACAAATAAGCTTCTGATAAAAGGGCACTCCCTAGAAAGTAAGGTTTACTTAGCCCATGTGTAGTATTCAGAACATACCAGCATTACTCTATGTAAATAAACAGCTAGAGAAATAAGCAAAATCATTCTAAGTGACCAGGTGGCTTGATATGACCCACTTCCTCACAAACTCAGCTTTCCTGCTCTCCGTTCCTTAGATGCAATAAGGAAATAATAGTTACTTGCATTACAAGGTTATTGTGAGGTTTACATGGTAACATATATGAAGCACCTAAAACTAAACGCATACCAAGAATGAACAAACATGGTACAAAAGCAGCCAACATAAGGTGCCTCCAGTAGCTCTTTAAAGCACAACCAGAGTGTCAAATGTGCAGCTATCATAGGACTGCACTAAACAACCGGATTGGAAACGGCAGCACAGAGCTGTATCTGGAGTGTAGATGGTGAAATGAAGATGTAAGAAACAAAGCACCAGACAGGTGCAAGTCCCAAGTAACCCACCCACACAAGAATTATGAGGTTACTGTGCATGAAACATATATCTGTACACTGACGGCACTAGCTGGATCAGAGCAATAAGGCTGCCCCTTGCAATAGGCATAAACTATTTTCATTTGCAATTTGTACCACCAGTTGCCTTTTATTTTCACCATTCCCACTGACAGCTAGACTATTTTATCCTTCCGTGGCCAGACAGTTTCACTTACAGGACTAAGCACTTGTTTATTGAAGTCTTATACATCTGGCAGAGCAACCAACACTCATATCATATTGCAGACGAATGAATTAGGACAAGAGTGGGCTGTGAGGAGGGTTCACTGCCGTGCAAGGATGGTCAGATTGAAAAGAGAGACATGATAGCAAAAGTTGCATTGGAGAGGAAAGAAGAACCGTGGAAATCAAATGCAACCTTTAGACCAGCAGAGTTTAAGCATCCTACTTTAAAGGGAGCCTTTCCTCATCAACTAGTCCTCTAAGGAACCTCTGGGATACCGAAGAACCTGTGGCCCTCCTGCTGTTGTTGGACTACAATTCCCAGCATCCCTGAACACTGGCCATGCTGGCTGAGGCCAATGGGAACAACAGTTGGCGGACCACATGTTCTCCAACTCTGTTTTAGAGAGATCAGATTGAATGAGAAGATAGATCATGCACCAAAAATAGCAATCCCTGTTGAAAATATTGGAGCACTATTATATGGCTTTGTTGTTTAGTTATGTTTTGTGTGATCAAAAGCCTTGCATACTCATACTTTTCACCAAGAATTAAAATATCACTGCCATTTATAAATATTTTAAGTCTCTGGGACTAAAGCAGTTACTGTTGCCTACACACATACAATTGAGGTGAGGGTACTGAACAAAACAGAAAAACACAGGCTTTGTATCATTAAACCAGTAAAGTAGGTTTTCAGGAAATTTAGAGTAATTTTCATAGAGTAACTTGCATCAAAATGTTTTCTGGTGCTCTAGGGTGATCTAAATTTAGCATTTTACTCAGCTGCTGACTCCCAAAAATTCACTCAGACCTAAGGCTATGGTCTGAACCTCAACAGGTTTGGATCTGTTGGGAAAAGATCATTTTTCCTGAATTGCCCAAGAACCCTGATGAACATTGCCTCAGGGTTCATGAATGAAGAAACTTGAGGCAGAAATGCAATGAAAAACCAACAACATACATTCAGCTCCGATACACTCAGACTTCCAAACACCGAGTTCCTTTCCATCCTAAAAGTTAATAATTCGTTCCAGCCGGGCACAGAACTCGGCCAAAATCTTCTCATGGAGCAACCTTGGGCCTGTCACTCAGTTTCGACCTCTCAGAGTTGCAATGCATATAAAAAAAGGGAGGGGCCATGCACAGGGCCCTGAACTCCTATTCAGAAGGCAGGAAAAATCACATATAAGGGCATAAATACATCTCCATTGCTCAAGTCTCCATCCTCTTCCTTTTAGCCAGCTGGATGCCTCTCTCTTACACACAGAACACACACTACATTAGATTGTTTTTGTGCAGAGATCTAAGAAGAACTTCAAAGCACATTCTTCTTCTTATTATTATTATTATCATTCCAGGATACATAGTTCTTAGGCTGCAATCCTATGCCTACCTTCCTGAGGGTTAAGTCTCACTGAATTAAGTAGGGCTTACTTCTGACTAAGCATGCATAAGCTTGGGAATCAATATCTTAGATCTTTAAACATATTTATGCCACTGAGCATTCGATTGTTTCCTTAAGATGCACAACATCCACTATTGCATCCTCTCCTTAATATGTAATGCACATAGAAACACACACAAAAATAGATTGGTCTGCCCTGGAATTCTAAACACAGTACCAGATATTTCCCAAAATACATTATATGCACTAATATGTTCCCTCTCTCACACACATACACACAGAGAAAGACACAGAGGCTCCCCTCCCTCTCCAGCTCAGCTGATCTCCTCCACCCTCCTCCTCCTCCTCCTCAAAACAAACATCTGCCTCCCACCTCCAGCCACCACTGCCCTCCCCCCTGGCAGCACCCACCAACCCCAAGACACCCAGCTGCTGTGGAGGGGCGGGGGTCAAGCCAATCCCCCCTCCCCCCACCCACCCCGAGCCAGGCCCCATTCCCTCCCCACTGACCTGCCCGAGCTGGACTCCCATGTTTTCTCTCCCTCCCTCCTGCCCGAGACGTGGCGCTGCTACAGCATCTCCAGCCCAGCCAAAGCGGCGCGACGTTTTTTCCCGTCCCCCCGGAAACAACCGCCCGGGTTGTTGGGCCGAGAACCGTCGGCGCGGGGCTAGGTGTGTGATTATCTCCCCTTCCGCCGGCAAAAAAGCACCTCCCGGATCCCGCCCCCGTCACAGTGCGCCAAAGCTCGGAGGAAAAGACGGGGGTGGGGGTGGGAAGGAGGGGAAGGTTAGGAGTCAAAACAAGGGTGGGGCCGTCCCGGGGGCGGAACTAGGAAAGGGAATCGGTGTTTCCCCACCACCGCTACGCGCACGGCGGCGGACGGTTTATGTGGTCGGACCTGCCGGGAGGGAAGTTGCTCTGGGTGGTTTTGTGACGTTTGACTTTCTGCCACCCCGCCTGGTGCCAAATAACTAGTCTTAAGTTTTTGTTTTTGTTTTGTTTTGGGTTTTTATGGCACGGGTGGGGGAATCGCAGAATAGGAGCGGTTCAGTGTTTAGGGAGCCAGATGCATAAGAGGACAGGGCTTTTAGTAGTGGTGTACAAAAGGGAATTTCAGAAGGTGCGGTTGGAAGGGCAGCAATTCGCTTTTCTGTGCAGCTGTTTAAATGTGCAGGAGCGCCTGTCTTCCCCTACTCAGTGGTCATGCATTGCTGTGTGTTGTTGTTTTTAAATATCTTTTATTGATTTTTCTAAATAATAACTATCCCCCCTCCCCATCCAACATTATGCACTTCCCACTCCATACCCTCCAAACACAGGGTCCTTATAGGAAAACATTGTCCCAAAGTTGTCAGGTGCAAGTGAGGTGGGTGGGTGCAACTGTGAATGATAATCCGTTGTGTGTGCAATAAAAAATGATGTCCTGTCAAAGTTATCCTTTTATCCTTTTCCAGCTAATGCTTTGTCTTTAGTTTTTCAGAGACTTCCAGTGTCTGCATTTTCTGTTTCCACTGTGATAGCTGCAAATGTTCCAGTTTTGAGTACTGGTTCATTGAGGGTGCTGAGAATTGAAGCTCTATGAGGGGTAAACTACAGTTCCCATTATTCTTTGTGGAGTGAGGAGTATGCAGATGTGCAATGGGATTAAGAAATTTCTGCATATGTGTTTGCTTCAGATCAATGCTTAACTGCGAAGGACACCCCCAAAGAAAAAGGAGTGAAGCATGTAGCTCACTGAAAGCACATTTGCTTTGTATTGTTACAGAAGTTGGGTGCCTCCCCCTCTCTCTGCCGAGCAGTGGCAAGAGTCTGTGGGTTTGTGGCACTCATCCAGGCTCTGTGGTCCTTGGAGAATTGAGACACAGCGGAGACTGTTGTAGCTTTAAGAAATACGTTTTATTCGCTTATTTACACCTTCAGTCTGCATGGAGGGAGTCCAGATCTTACAGCATGGTCATTTCAAGAGGGGCTTGTACACCACAGAATTGCAGCCCCAGAGTCCAAGGCATCTCTCCCAGCCAGCCTTCAGCTAACCTGCCTAAAGATGGATCCCAGACCTTCTTACTCCTAGCAACCCCTGCTCAAAACTTTATTTTCCTGACACCTCACACCCAGTTACCCTGGCAACCTTCCAAACCCAGTCCCTGTTCACTCCTCAGGGCAGAGGAGAAGGATAGTTCTCTTGCATTGCCAAAGTCTCTCAATGGCCCAGTATTGTTCCTTAATAGCCCTAGCTTAGCCAGGTTGTTTTGCCCAGGAATTCCTCTGCAGTTTATATTTCTCCCTTCACACCTCATATAATGAAAAACCTATCATTTATTAATTTCTAGAGTTTAGGGGGTCCCCCCAGGCTATCACAGTATGTAGAAGATCCCAATTGGAGTGGGGGGGCATTACTGGTTTTGTTCTTGTTTAATTATGTACAGTGGTACCTCGGGTTACAGATGCTTCAGGTTACAGACACTTCAGGTTACAGGCCCCATTAGCTAAAGTGGTATCTCAGATTAAGAACAGTTTCAGGTTAAGAACATCTCCAGAATGAATTTAAGTTCTTAACCCGAGGTATCATTGTATTTTGTGTTCTCATTTTGTATTTTTATGTTTCTGAAATCCTGGAGAGCTGCTTCCAGTCAGTTTACGTAACACTGAGGTAGATGAACCAGTAATCTGACTTGAGTATGAGGCAGCTTCCTCTTTTCCTATGACTCACGATTTAAAAGCAGTTTTGATTTTATATTTCCTGCTGTAGGAATGGAAATAGTTGAAGTGTGGTGTCCAGGAGCAGGGGGAGGCTACAAACCCCACCCCTATTTTCCAGAGGACCTTTCTTCAAGTTAGAAGACTGCTTCAAGCCAGAGATGCATTTCAGAGGCAAAAACAAAACTAACCCCAAATGGAAGCCTAAAACAACTCACAAGTTTGGGCATAACAAAAGCAAATACAATCGTTTTGCTTCAATTCAAAGTTTACAACTCCTGTAGACTTACTAGATTTACATGTTCCTACTTTCCTTTATGTTGGCTGGGCAACATGGAACAGAAAAAGAAAAAGAAAGGAAAGGTGAACCCCAAAGTGCTGAACATTGGTTTTCTTTGACCCATTTTGAGTAGCTGCTGTCCATCAAAGGCAATACAATGGTACCTCAGGTACAGACGCTCCAGGTTACAGACTCCGCTAACCCAGAAATAGTACCTTGGGTTAAGAACTTTGTTTCATGATGAGAGCAGAAATTGCGCGGCGGTGGTGTGACAGCAGCAGCGGAAGGCCCCATTAACTAAAGTGGTACCTCAGGTTAAGAACAAACCTCTGGAACAAATTAAGTTCTTAACCCGAGGTACCACTGTATTGTCAACAAATGCCAGCTCCCTCTGCCTGAAAGCAAAGATGAGCGCCGCACCCCATAGTCGAATTCGACTGGACTTAACCGTCCAAGGTCCTTTATATTTATCTTTTACCATCAGAAGCAATATTGTCTTATTTTCAGAATCTTGTTTTGATATGAGCATGTTTATTATTTCTTATAAGGAAAAACCTGCTCTTTTCCCCTTATGGGGTACCCAAGAGCCCATACAGAATCCTCTTTTTAGGTTCTCTATTGGTAGGAGAAAATAACAGAGGCCAACCAGAGAACATCGAGAAGCAAGGCAACTAGTAAGCCTGATCTTTATTAAAGCTGCTGCAACAGGGTGCTCCCCTCACACACAGGGGGGCGGGGAGGAGACCTCTTAGCACAGGCGCACAAGCCCTTATATAGACATTTGAAATTGCCCGCCCTGGAGAACAAGACCACCCCCAGAAGCATCATAAATACATCACAGAATACATCACAGAAGGAGTGTAGCCCAGACCACCCCCTTAATACATCAGAGAAGGAGCAGAAATCTGGGTGTGTTGTTTCTTCCTGTCTGGCAGGTTAGCTGATTGGATTAAAAATGGCATCCTGGCCACTCTTGTTATGATAACTACCGTATTTTTCGCTCTATAGGGCGCACCTGACCATAGGGCGAACCTAGTTTTCAGAGGGGGAAATCAAGGAAAAAAATATGATTCTCCCCCCCAGCTCTGGGAGCAGCCAAGTTACAGGGAACCAGGCAGAGCCCTTCTCAGTGGTGGCGCCTTCTTGGTGGCGATCCACTACTGCTTTAAGGGAGGTATTGGAATAAGTAGATTTGTTGCTGATCCAAAACACCCACCCACCCCACTCACACATGAAAACAAAGACCACCACAGCCAACTACAAATGAATAACCACACCCTAGGCCAACCCCAACCTCTCTCACCACCAAAGGAACACAAGCGAACAGCAAAGAACCTGCACAAACAACCCTGACACCAAACCCTACATATAGGAAGCAAAATAGAAAAATCGCCACCCGACCCCACCCCCACCCATCTTTCTCCACCTCTTTCCCCTTTGCTTCCTAATGTCTCAACAAATGAAAATGATTTGTAAAAATGTTACATGGGGGAAGAAAACATGAGAGAGAGACATTGCACACTTTTGTAAATCAACAAAATCTTTAATAAATAAATAAATAAATACTAGTCATAAAAAAGAGGACATCAAAGCCCACCTGAAGTCCCAAAACAAAACTATAAGATCCTGATCCACACAGATCCATGCATCTGCGTGGATCTGAATCTGATAGTTTATGACTCCCTGTTGTAGGGAATCACATATATAATCGTATGTTTGGGGATATCAGGTGGGCTTTGATGTCCTTCAGGTGAGCTTTGGGGTGTATGGCTTTCCTCCATCTCAACCACGCAGGATTCCTCTGGAATGACAAGATCACTTGCACAGCTTTCCTCCATCTCAACTGCGCAGGATTCCTCTGGAATAACAAGATCACTTGCACAGCTTTCCTCCATCTCAACTGCACAGGATTCCTCTGGAATGACAAGATCACTTGCACAGCTTTCCTCCATCTCAACTGCACAGGATTCCTCTGGAATGACAAGATCTTCCGCATGGGTTTCCTCCATCTCCACTGCGGAGGATTTCTCTTGAATTACCAGGTCTAGCAGAGAACCACACTTCGAACAAATAGTTAGACTCTCGCTTTTCACTGCACTTCCTGGGGTAATCACTACTACAGTTACTATTTGAGATGTATCTGTTGCGGTGGTCCTGATGCAACATCTCTCCATCCCAACCAATGCTGCACTCAGCAGCTGGAAACCCGCAGCGATATAGCCTAGATAAATAGAAGGTCCAATATGCTGCTCGCTGGGAATTTGAGGCAATTCAAAAGCTTCTGGGAAGACAATTTCCCCATTTTGTAAGACAGCAGACATGTTCCATATCACGGAAATCAGGACGAGTATCCCTGCAACTAAGTTCAGGAGAGCTGCAAGCCTAAAAAAGGTTAACACAAAATCCTTATGTTTTCTGGGCTTGAACACATTGTACAAGGCAAACGAAATTAATCCTAGGGCCGCCGAATTCATAATGGAAGCTAAGGCCATTAAATCCTGTGCAATAAAAATTTCCTTTGGGAGGGTTGGATGTTGCTCATTGAAATTTTCACAATGCCAGAAAGAGTTGCCGTCGTTAGAAGGGTCTTTCCAAAAACAGACCTGCCAGATTCCAATCCAGATGTTTCCAGAGCCAATCCCCTTGATGTTGTCCACACGCCACACTCGCCAGTTGACAATGGCTGTTGAGGCAATGCACATCATCCAGGCCAAAATATCCATGAGGAATACAGATACCTGGAGGCCGGAAACTAAACTTAGCCATTTGACCACCAGGGAGCCTTCTTTCACCCGCAGGGGGGGTTTGGAGAGGAGGGGAGCAGGGGAGACCTTGGCAGACATCCTGGAAACAAAAGAGAAGACAACATGCAGTGAGAGAGGGACTAACAAGCATGTCTAGTCATTGAAGGACACCCTCCCTCCTGCATTCTTCCTTCCATGCACAGAAAGAAGCAGCAAAAGAAAGAGTTCCTGCTCTCTCCCACCCCCTGGTTAGGTTCCAGAGAAGCTGACACTCATACTTTCTTCCAGCACACTGCTACTGATTTAATATACTCTTGCATTGTTCCTGTGAAAATGGCTAGAACCTCAGCAACCTGTTGTGGATGGGAAGCTGCTCATGATTCGCTGTTCTGCTATCTGCTACTGCAGCTATCCTGAGCATAAACACACCTGATGGCATAGTGAGGAATGTTTAATCCATAAACTTACGTGAAATGCCTTCCTCAGCTAGAGTCTAGCGCGCCAGGAACAGAGCAGCTATTTGCTAGGTGTTCCTGAGCCTCAAGAAGACTGAGCTGACGTTCGCCTGAGCAGCCAGCCAGCCACAGCAGCAACTGCTCTGCAGAATTCTTAGGTCAGTTACAGGCCAGTTAGAATCCTGACAACAACACAAATCATAACTCCAGGGTACTGGTCATTTGGAACATCAGGAAAGTGGAAAATGGGAGGGAACTCAGTTCCCTTCTTTCCCAATGCAGAGTGTCTATTCCAGGACACTGTGCAGTTAAAACGCGTTCTTCCTGAAGTCAGATTCAGAGCAGTTCCAGCAATAAAAATGGTGATACAGTATGTGTATCTCAGTACAGATTTGTTTGATGGGCCTGAATGCATTTCATAAAGGATCTCCATGTACGAGAAAGGCTAATAGCATGAGGCCCTGAACCATAAGAATTTCCTTGGCAAAATTATTGAAGACTCCTAACAAACCTATCATTCTTCTTCCCCATCCCATCTTGTTTGGACATTATAGTAAGGGAGAAGATATTAGCTCTTTTCCTTTGCACTGGGACAACATGGAATTTGTGCCATGAGACCCCATCACTCACACCAATACAGGCAATACCATTTTCAGAACATAGGTGTCCATGATTTAAAATCGCTTTCCTAAGACACTTCCATCAAAATATTTGTGTTGCTTTCTTTCTGTTCCTTTCTGTGTTGATGCTCCGAATGTGAGCTGCTCAGCTGCATGCAGTTTCCACTGAAGTGTGAGTGTGTGTGATTAACATTCGGCCAAGCAATGGGCCTAAATCCATCTATTTCACCTGAAATAACTTTGGGAGCCAGCCTTTAAAAATCTAAAGTAGATATCAAATTCAGAGGAATTAAAAGCTGTCATCTTTTTTGACTATTTTAAACATCTTGGAACATACACAAATGTTAATGTTTGAAGGAAGGCAGCAAATGGATCATTGGAGCCATCCATTCATTTCAGGAGTTGTGACCATTGATAAGATGAAGCACTTTCACATCGCATGGCAGTGTGCAGTGCTTTTAAAAAGGTAAAGGTAAAGAACCCCTGACAGTTAAGTCCAGTCGCGAACGACTCTGGGGTTGCACCACTCATCTGGCTTTACTGTCCGAGGGAGCTGTCGTTTGTCCGCAGGCAGTTTTTCCGGGTCATGTGGCCAGCATGACTAAGCCGCTTTTGGCAAAACCAGAGCAGCGCACAGAAACGCTGTTTCCTGTCCGGCCGGAGTAGTACCTATTTATCTACTTGCGCTTTGACGTGGTTTGGAACTGCTAGGTTGGCAGGAACTGGGACTGAGCAACGGGAGCTCACCACGTCAAATACGCAAGTCCAGTTCTGTATCTGCATGACATCATCCACACCCAAAAGCTCTCCCGTTCTGTTTCCCCCACATAATCAGGATACACCATCTCCATTGAAAACTCTGCTCAGTGACACCCATCCAATAGAAAAGTGCTGACCGTCTTCATGCAGATACACTTCCGTGCAGGGGTTTGGCCGACAAGTTCTTCCCGAGTGTGGGGATGTTTTCAGGGCTCTTTGCTTTTCCCTGCCTCCCCTTTCATCCTCACCTGAGGAGATCTTGGCCATTATCTTGACGGGGACCTCCATTCTCAGGCCGGATTTCTGTTTTCCTTCATTCCTCCTTCTCCCCGTCTGGTTCACTGAGCAAATAAGAGAGAGGAGGTTTCATGCAACTCAAGGTGTGCAATGGATCTTCAGGGCATTTGGAAGGAAGAAAAGGTTCATGAACAAGCGACGCAGCAGCCCCCCAAGCGTAAAAACAGATTTGGACATATCGCTCATGAGATTTGCCCCAATGAGAAAATAGCAAAACACAAATAGCTGCCATGTTGGATGGCAAAAAATGGCTGCCATATGGTGTGGTATGAAATAAAATTGCCTGGCTGTGAGTGTGAAGGCCACTCCCCACAAGGCCTTTTCCACCTGGCCTAGGAGGGCGATGCCCACTCTCACCAGCCCTACTGAAGAGGCTCCTCATGAGGCTGGAGGAACATCACCCCACTGTGAGGCGTGAAGGCCGCTCCCTGCATGTAGGTTAATTCACAAGCAAAGGCAGTGAGCTCCTTCAAGGTGTTTTGTTTTTATGTAACAGTTCAGATTTTGCAACACTTATTTTGATTGCTAATGCTTTTGCTTGGGAAACTTCAGTCATAAAAGAAATAAGAGTATATATATATGACTCACCAGACCACAAGACGCACCTAGTTTTTGGAGGAGGAAAACAAGAAAAAAAATATTCTGAATCTCAGAAGCCAGAACAGCAAGAGGGATCGCTGCGCAGTGAAAGCAGCAATCCCTCTTGCTGTTCTGGCTTCTGGGATAGCTGTGCAGCCTGTATTCGCTCCATAAGACGCACACACATTTCCCCTTACTTTTTAGGAGGGAAAAAGTGAGTCTTATAGAGCAAAAAATACGGTAATTCCTGAATCTAGGTTACAGGTCACAGGCTCACACCCTGTTCATATCTTGAATGTGCCCTTAAGACAGGATTTGTGAGGACAGGATTTGTGAGGAAAGACAATGGGGAGGTTTCGCACTTTGACCTTGCAGAGAAATATTTGAGGTCAATTTGTTCAGGAACTCTTCTGTGGGGTTTCAGACATGTGGTTTATATATACAGTTATGAATATATATATATATATATATGACCTTAAAATTCTATTTATTGAATTTATATATTGAAAATTAGAGAACACTTTATTCTTTCCTGTGATGAAGAACAATTGCACTTGAAACTCATTATGTTACAATACATTTAGTGGAGTGTTTTTCAAATAAGTTGGTCTTCAGCACCTTGGCCTTGGCTCCCTTTTCTGTTGTTGTTTAGGCTGAGTTTTGGTTGCTGGTTTTTGTTAAATTGATTCACCCCCATCTCCTTTTTACAGCATGGAGCAACCAAGTGCTTGATTAACAGTTACAAGGACTAAATAAACTGCACCACAGAAACCAGGCAATGTTCACTGGCAGTCATCAAATGAGTCAAGTGGAAAATACCATGTGCATATACCATGGGTGGAATATATGAAAGAGCTAGAATTTATGTTTTAAGATGACCCATGACTTTTTGATTCTGCAACAATAAATCTACAGCCTCCCCAAATAGGGTATTGAAATTGTCATCTTAACAGCTAATAATTTGTTGCCTTTTAATTTGCCGCTTGAGGCAATCCACCTCATGGCAGAACCAGCCCTGACTTGTGTTTACAGCCAACTTTTCCTGCACTCTCAAATTCATGCCCCTTGTGCTACAAAATGTGGCCAGTAGAGAGCATCGTAAGCCTCTCAAATAAATTGTCATGCATCTATTGAAATGGGCTTATGCCTCAATAAATGTAGTACAGTGGTACCTCAGGTTAAGTACTTAATTCGTTCCGGAGGTCCGTTCTTAAACTGAAACTGTTCTTAACCTGAAGCACCACTTTAGCTAATGGGGTCTCCTGCTGCTGCCACACCGCCGGAGCACAATTTCTGTTCTCATCCTGAAGCAAAGTTCTTAACCTGAAGCACTATTTCTGGGTTAGCAGAGTCTGTAACCTGAAGCGTATGTAACCTGAGGTACCACTGTACAGTGCAGTCCTAACCATATCTACTCAGAAGTCCTTTTGGGGCTTACTCCCTGGTTAAGAGATGTTTAGATTGCCTTGGTCATTTTTGCAAAAAGAAAAGGGGGTCTGGATATAAGTAGGAGAGAAAGGAATATATTAGCATTCATTTAGAATGCTTTGGGTCACTTACATAGCAGAGGCCATGGCCTTCCTCTCAATTTCTAATGAAATCTGCATGATCCATCAAGAGAGGACTGTTAGTGCCAGTTCATATAATTGCTCAGAGAGAGAGGAACGGAAAAACCTAAAATTCCGTGAGATCTTTTAAGGCAAAATAATGTTAACAATTTTCGGATCTCCCTCTGTCCCCTGCCCTGTCCTGTCTTTTGCAAAACAAAGGTGTCAACCCTGTGCCCAGACAGCAAGACCCTCCCCCCTTGGCCTCCCTGAGGTGGTCCAGAGGAAAGAAGAGCAAGGCATAAGGCACCAGCTGGGCTGCAGGAGTTGCCAGAAGGAGGCCTACAAAATGCCACCCAACCATCTTAGGGACTCCACTCTGCATCTGTGTAGGGTTTACTCAGGAGCCTTGTCTTCCCCTGAAGCCATCCGATGGGATCCCTGTCAGTGATTGTAAAAAAAAAGGAAAGGGTTCTGACCTCCCTTTGTCTCCTCAGACCCTTGTCAGCATAAAAGAGTCCACAAGAATATCCTTGCAGAGTGCTTTCTGCTTTTATTCTTAAAAGTCTTTGTGCAAAAGCGACTGACCAACTGTACACACCTCAACACTACCAGCTTTCACTAACCAACCAACCAACCAACCCAACACCAAACTAACATTTCTCACTCTATATACAACCCGGTGCAGACCGCTGACTTATGCTGACCCAGCTTTTTTAAGCATTAAAGAAACAGCGGCCATTTTAGCCGTGACACCCCTTCTATTTCTTAAATGCGAAAAACCCCAACAGGTCAAATACATACATACATACATACATACAGTACACTATGTACATAAACCCAGTTTTGTCATCAATTAATTATGACATGTTGCTGGCAAAGGCTTGGTAAACAAATCAGCAATATTATCCTGTGATTGATAATACTCCAGTTTGATTACCCCACTCTGTACACAATCTCGAACATTTGCATGACGGATAGCAATATGTTTTGATGCGGATTTCATTATTTCTGAGCCCGCTAATGCAATGCACGATTGGCTATCTTCATACACTTGGATAGGCAAATCTACTTTACAATCTAGATCTTTTAGTATCTGTATAAACCACATGATTTCATTGCATGCTAGCGACAGGCTCCCATATTCTGCCTCACAGGATGAGGTCGCAACAAATCCTTGTTTCTTTGACCTCCATCCAATTATGGAATTGGCAAACATCATAACCATTCCACTTGTAGATTTTCTAGTAGCTACACAGCTTCCCCTGTCCGCATCAACAAATACTTCTAGTTTTTCGTCTTATGTACTAGATATCTTCAAACATACATTTAATGTCCCCTTTAGATATCCGATAAGCCTTTTCAAAGCACACCAATCGGCAGTACTGGGTTTAGATACATGTTGGCTCAGAACATTTGTAGCACATGCAATGTCTAGCCTTGACCACTGGCTTAAATACAGCAGTGATCCTATTTTTGAGTGATACAACTCAGGCTGATCAAATTCATCATCACACACTGTCTTTGGGAAATCTGGTGTCATGGGAGTCTGAACTGGCTTGTAGTTTTCCATGCCAAACTGCTCTATCAAATGAAGAATTTTCTCTTTCTGGCTCAATAGGAAGCTTCCATCAGCTTCCTGACTTACTTCTACTCCCAAGTAATTGCTTACAGGCCCTAAGGCTTTAAGCTTAAACTTCTTTTCCAGTTGACTTGTGAGCTTCTGGATCTCATCTGTGGAACTCCCTGCTACAAGCAAATCATCAACAAAGGCTAAGAGCAGTAGATATTTGTTGCCTGTCCCCTTGGTGTACAGGCATGGATCAGCCACACTCCTTTTAAAACCAAGTTTTACAAGGGCTTCATTTAAACACTGGTTCCAACACCTTCCACTTTGTTTGAGACCATAAACAGCCTTTCTCAAACGCCAGACTGTACCATTCCTCTCTTCAAACCCAGGGGGTTGTCTCATTAACACTTCATGGTCTAAATTTGCATGCAGATATGCAGCATCAACATCAAAATGGTGCACTGCTAATTGTCTTGCAGCAGCAATAGAGAGCATTAAACGAAAAGTTTCACTCTTTACAGTTGAAGAAAACACTTCATCATAACTCTCCACTTTAATCTGACTGAACCCTCTGGCTACTAATCTGGCTCAAAAATGTGGTTCCCCAGATGCAGGGGTTTTCCTTTTACAAACCTACTTGCATGACACCACTCTGCCACCAGGTGGCGGCATTATGACCTCAAACAGTTTGTTACGTTTAAAAGAGTCCATTTCTTCTTTCATAGCTTGTTCCCACAAAGCACGTTCCCCAGGGGGTAAGTCTAAGACTTCATTATAACTTTGTGGTTCCACACAACTCACATTGCATATTCTCACTCCTCCTAGGGTCAAACGCTGAGGAGGTACACCCTTGTTTGAACGCTGGGAGTGCCTAGGCACAACTACTTCTTCCCCCCTTATCTCTGGCTCTTCTTCCTCTTCCTCTAGAGAAGTATTATCTATTGCCATATCTTTTGGAGAAATCTGTGCCTCCTCCTCATCCTGCTCCTGTGTTGCCAATGGCTGAGAAGAAGCCTCTTCTCTTACTTGCAGAGGCAGTAGGCAATCTGGGTTCACATGGATCGCAGTCCATCTGTCCTGGTCAGCAAAGTCTGCGCTTCGTGACAGAACCACGCATTCTGGGCATAAATTGAAACGCCACCCTTTGCCATAGGGCTGATATCCCACAAACCGCAGTCTCTGCGCTCTAGACCCCCTTTCTGGCGCTGAGCTTTGGGGATATTTACATGTGCCCAAGAACCCCAGTTATAGAGCATTGTCCACTCTGGTTCTTTCCCAAACAACACAAGATAAGGAATATCTTTTATAGAGCTAGACCAGGTTCTATTAATCAAAACGTTTGCTGTAAGGAAAGCCTCACCCCACAGCCTATGGTTGTTACCCAATCCTGCATCCACTAGCAGGCAATCCTTTACTGACTGTATTACAGCCCCACGTCTTTCACACAGACCATTTTCAGCAGGGCTATAAGGGTTAGTCAGACGGTGAGTGATCCCCTTACGTCGCAACCATGCTCCAAATTGTTTGTTCAGAAAATCTGCACCCCTATCTGTTTGCAACTGCACAACAGGGCGAGTGAAGAGCTTTTCAGCTTGGGCAACCCATTCTCTGAATGTGGGGAAACACTCAGATTTATGCTTTAACAAAAACAACCAACTAAAATGTGATTTATCATCTGTTACCAGAAAAGCATACCTGGAGCCCCCTTCAGTCTTCTGTGGAAAAGGGCCTATCACGTCACAATGGACAAGTTCTAAAACCTCTTTAGATACTCTGTCACTTTTAGAAGTCACAGGCTTCCTCTTAGATTTGGCCATTTTACATACATTGCAATCTAGGAAACAGTTACAGCTATTTACTTTTAGGTTCTTGCACACATTTTGCATCTCTGAAAGCACACGGAAATTGGCGTGACCCAGTTTTCTGTGCAGTTCATGTACACACCCCTTATGAACTGGCAAATTATCCGGAACCACCTGGGCTGCTTTAACAAGCTTGTCCTGCATTACATATAACCCATTTTCCAACTTTGCATGGCCACATACCTGAGTTCCATTCTTTATCAGACAACCATCCTGCGTGAACTTAACACTATACCCTGCATTAATCAAACAGCTTACAGACAGTAAACAATAGTCCAAACTGCTGACAAACAGTCTCTGGTAGAGTAGTGTTGAAGCACTGCAGGAAACATGTTCCCTGGCCATCAATCTTGCTTCTACGACCATCAGCAAGATAGATTGAGTCTTTTCCATCAGCTGGCTTCCCCAGGGTCTTAAAGTCCTCCTGACTGTTGCAGATAATCCTGCTGCTACCAGAGTCCAGCAACCATGTTCCTCGAGGTACCTTCCTCTCCTCTCGAGAAAATGCAGACACAAGATGAGCAGAACGCGTGTTCTTCTTCCCTGAAGAGGACCCCTTCTGCTTACATTTCTGCGTCGATTGCTGTCTCTGCTCCATGTCGTCTCCTGGAGGTCTTGCCCTGCATTGACGCTGGAGATGCCCGGCTTGGCTGCATCTATAGCATCTCCTCACCGCCATGGCCAAGTCCCAAACTTGGCGTTGCCCCATTGGCAGATTCTGCTGCTGGCCCCCTCAGCTGTAACTCCTCCGCTCTTGGAGTTCAGCCTGTCTGTCTGACCTTCTTTCTGCTTATTCGGTCAATCTTCCAACCACATACTCAAGGGTCAGATCTCAGGGACGCATACTCTCCATGCTGTTAATCACAGGCAACCAACTTTCAGGCAAACTTGAAAGGATAATGTAGGTTTGATCAGTTTCATCTTAACGCTTACCTCTCTGTTGTAGTTGAAGAAACAGAGATTTCAGTGTTTGAAGATGAGTTGCCAAACTCTCACCTTCTTTCATAACAGTCCTGAACAGCCTTTTGGTCAGAGAAATTATAGTTCCAGCAGTTTCTCTGACATGCATTGCCCTTAATAAATTCCAGCACTCAAACGCTGTGCTGGCATTTGCTACATGCAATAACTGAGAGTTGCTCAAACACAGCATAATTTGGGCACGAGCCCTTTCATCCAGCCGTCTTTTCTCAGTAGAGTCCCGTCTCAAAACCTCAGTTTCAACACAGTCCCATAGTCCATCTCTCCTTAACAACTGCTGCATTTTTATTGACCAACTCAGCCAGTTGCTTTCTGAGAGAAGTTCAAAGGGATGCCTCCCCCAATATTTACAACTTGGGAAGACTGGAAATCTGCCATCTCTGCTGGTGCTTGCTGAGCCCCTTCTGTGGGGTCTCCAGCAATCTCTCCTGACTCTCTCTTTAGAGTCCGACTGGACAGTCCTGGCTGGCACTCACCAGCTTCTAGCTGCTGCCTCTGTTGACCCTCAGGTCCCGCCTGGCTCTGCAACAGGTGTAGCCGCTCTGTGAGTCGCCTACTGTGGTCCTCTAGCAGTTCAAACTGTTCCAGTAGCCGACGCTGAGTGCTTTCCTGATCCTCAGATCCTGGCCGCTCCAGTGTCGCTGCAGACAGTTACAGCTATATATCCTCAATGATGATGTCATCTGGATGGAAGAGAATGAGAAGAGAATGCAAATGCAAATGAAAATGAGATTTTCCCACAGGCCTTTAGTCAAAGGGCGCTGTCTCCAAGGTGTGGGGCTTACCTTCTTTTGGCTTCCGGCGGAAGCAAGCCAGTTCTGTCATCTGCAGAGGAAAGAAAAATCGGGGTCAGATGAGAGCAAGAGAGCACAGAAGCAGCGCCAAGTCAGGAACGATGGGTCTCCCTCTGTCTTGGGCCCAGTCCCTTGTTCCAGAGGACCTCCCTGGGCCCTGCAGCCTCCTGGGCAAAGGTGGAAGGGCAACAGCAGGAAAGGGGGCAGGAAAAGCTTCTTGCCTCATCCTGGCCCCCAGGGACACACCCCGCATCATCTGCGCTAAAGATCACTTGGGGATGTGATCTTGGGGGGGATGGAAGTAACCAAAGAAATGAATAGAAGAAGGCAAGGTACTTACTCTGAGTTTGGGATATTTCCGGGCAATGGCCAGCAGCAAAGAGATGCTGCTGGCCGCAAGTTGTTGAGCCTCCCCACTTTCCCCCAGGGCGTATCCTCTGAGGTCCTGCAGGAGGAAAGAGCATTTCGGAGTCAGGGGCCAGTCTGGGCCAAAGCGGCCCCCACTGCCCCCACCACAGAGTCCCTGGCACTTCTGGACCATGAGGGGTTGCCAGCTTTGGTCTTGGACCAAATTGGGGGCCAAACAGACTCTGTGCCCCAGAAATGGGGCAGTCCATTGGGTAAGGGACGGGGGGGGCAACCCTAAAATCATCCCTGATGCCATAGGGACACTTACACTGAGAAGGTGGAGGAGGGTGCCAGGGTTGGGTGCTTCCATAAGAAGACTGCCCAGCAGAAGCCGGTAGTGCCTCTTCAGTTCCTGCGGGAAAAGAGAGAAGAGAGTTTGAATGCTGGGTTGGATTCTGCAAGGGTGTGATGAAGAGGAAGAAAGAGCCTGTGAAGGGAAGTCAAAATAAAGGACATACTTCTCTCTTCTCCTCCTCCTCCTCCTCCTTGGCCCCACACAGCACGGCCTCCAACATCCTGTGCAGGATGGCACTGGTCATGTCAGAGGTGAATTTGGGCCTCATCGTGCTGCAGAAATGAAAGGGAGAGGGTTAGAGTCTCCCTTGCCCCTTTCTCCCTCCCGCCTGCTCTTTCCCCCTGGAGTTCTGCCCCCCCACCCACAACCCCATCCACGCCAAAGACCCCACTCACCTTAGCTGGAGGAGGGCCTCCAAGGCAAGGGCCAGGGTCAGGGGCCGATCCCTGGAGTGCTCCAAGGGCCCCAAGATGTCCTGGAAGAGAACAGAGGAGGAAAATCAGCTCCCACCCCAAACACCAGGCTTGGCTTTGCAGGGGAATGTCAACCCCATGGCCTAAGCCGGCAGGGTCCTCCTCCCCACAGCTGCACAGCCCCTTCCCCCCACCTCCCTGCGGGGGTCCCTCACACCCCCCATCACTCACCAGAATTTTTTGGGCCGTCTCCTCCTTGGAGCACTTCAGGGATCGGAGCCCCCTGAGCTCAGCTGCCTGGCAGCTCTCGATGACCCCCAGGATGTAGCGCTGTTCATCCTCCAGCAGCTGAAATGCAAAAGTCAGGCTGTCAGTTCCTCGAGAGGGGAGGGCTTCTCCGCATCTGAGAGTGCAGAGTGGGGGGCAAAGAGCCCGGAGGACAGCGGGGGGCAGGTCTGAGGGATCCAGTCCCTGCTCTTGTTTTCTCCAATACTCACCCCTGGGGCTGGGACGTGGAACCGCAGCAGAACTGCAAACAGAAGGACATGGGAAGAGGTGAGTCCTCTTTTGCATCCTTGGACCAGTTGCCCCCCATGCCCATCCCTGCCCTCCTCTGTCCAAAAAAAGGAGGGCCACTGGCTTACCTGGCGCCACGGGCTGCTCTGTGTCTGGCTGGGGGGCCACCCTGTGGCAGCGGCTGAACAGGCGCCTTAAGCACCTGATCCTAGAAGAGATGAGTGGAAAGAGTGACTCAGATACTGGCAGCCCCAATTCTTGGGGGGTGTTTGGGTGTGAGGAGGGGAGTCTGGAGAAAACAGTGAACCACTGCCGAATTGGCAGAACAGAAATACGTATGTGGAGCCTAATTGATCCTTGCCAGCCCACTCTGACCAATTCCTTCCATCTCTCTGCAGTTCAGTGAGCTGAAGGGGCATCATCAGAGCCTGAAAGAGGCTGCCCAAAGCATGAAGGGCTGGCAGAGAGAGAAAGGAGGTCCCAAGTGCTATGGGTTCAAGAGCTACCGCCATGTCAGGGCCCAGAGAGCCTGGCCCCCTCATTCATGAAGTCAAGCAGTGTATAAATTTCATGAACCATTGTTACCAGAATTTTTGGAAAGGGTGGCGGGGGGTTTCGCCCTCCAGCAGGCACCATACCCCACTCCGACTGTACCCCAGATCAACACCTTCACGTCTGCAAATGTCCCCACAAAAAACATCCTGACACAGTCCTTTCCTTTTTCTATTCCAAAGGCTGCCATAAATAAGGGTAGAACATTTGCTCTAATGAAGGCTGAGCCTTTCGCTCACAAGGCGCTCAACCAATCAGCTCAGACTACCCAAATATCCAATAGCAACCAATGAGCGCCATGAAACAGTGCCCTCCAGCACAAAGCACTGACAACAACAACAGAACAAAGCACACAGGCACTGCAGCTGCCGACCAGCCGTGGCCTCTGCTCTACAAGTAGGAATTCCCACTGGGAAAAGGGGAAAGTCAGAACCAGCCATGAAAAGCATTCTTGGTCCATTGAAACTAGTCTTTCAAGTTTCAGTCTAGGCTCTTGAACTACCAACCCAACTGTACACTTGTGAAACATGGACCACTTATAAACGCCATCTTCAACTCCTTGAAAGATTCCATCAATGGTGTCTCTGAAAAATGTGACACACCACTTGGGAAGGCAGGCGAACTAACACCAGTGTCCTGGAAGAAGCAAAGATCACCAGTGTTGAAGCAATGATTCTTCAACACCAACTTCGTTGGACTGGTCATGTGGTTCGGATGCCTGATGATCGTCTTCCAAAGCAACGACTCTATTCCAAACTTAAAAATGGAAGGCGTAATGCTGGTGGCCAACAAAAGAGGTTTAAAGAATATCTCAAGGCCAATCTAAAAACATGTTGTATAAACAAAATATAATACAAAAAAGAATAAGAGAGGCTAAAATCAAGCATTTACAAGAAGAAATAGGCAAACAAGAAAAATTATTAGCGAAAACACCAAAAAACGAGATCGCAAACCAAACCATTAAAATATTACAAACACAGCTCTCAACACTCTTAAATGATGAAATAGAAAGAAATATAAAATGGATGAACAAAAATCATTTGAATTTGGAAACAGACCAGGTAAATTACTTGCATGGCAGATAAAGAAAAGACAGGGAAAGACAAATAAAGTAGTATATGAAGGAAAAGCAGTGGAGACGAAAGAAGGAATAAATAAATGCTTTGTAAAATACTTCACCAATCTATATAAAAAAGGTGCAGAAACTCGACAACAAATTATAAAATATCTTCAAGGAAAACAAATCCCAAAAATAGGTGAAAACAAACGGAAGCAGCTAAACGCACCAGTAACAACAATGGAGATACAACAAGCAATTTCCAATCTTAAACTGGAGAAGGCTCCAGGTACAGATGGACTATCCGCGATACACTACCCAAGGTTAGAAGATGCTATAACAATGCCTTTTAAAAAATTAATGAACGAGATCATGCAAGAAGGAAAAATACCAAAGTCGTGGCAAGAAGCCAATATTGTATTAATTCACAAACAAAGCACAGCTAGAGAATTAGTTAACAATTACAGACCCATATCATTATTAAATAATGATTATAAATTGTTCACGGGGATATTAGCAAATAGGCTGAAATCGGTCCTAAAAGATGTAATAGACCAAGACCAAGTAGGATTCCTCCCAAATAGGCATATAAAAGCAAATATGAGAATAGTAATTGATCTAATTGAATATTTGGAAATGAGACCCAACAAAAAAGCGGCGTTTATGCTAACAGATGCCGAGAAGGCTTTCGATAACCCATCAAGATCTTTCCTTCAGGAAGTAGCAGAAGCAGTAGGACTGGGTGAAAACTACTGCAGAGCAATAAACACAATATATGAAAACCAGCAGGGATGTTTAATAAGAAATGGTGAAAAGACGGATCCTTGAAATATAGAGAAAGGTTTATAGAGCAAGGATGCCCGCTTTCACCGTTCCTTTTCATACTAACTTTGGAAATCCTGATTTTAGAAATAAAGAAAGAAAAAGAGATAAAGGGAATTACATGAGGCAAGGATGTTTTCAAAATTAGAGCTTTTGCGTACAATATTATATTAGCACCTGAGGAGCCAGAAACCAGTCTAATGAAAGCATTGAGGATAATGAATGAGTTCGGGAAAGTAGCAGGCTTCAAGATAAATATGTCAAAAACAAAACTTATGGTAAAAAACATACAGGAATTAGAAAAGAGCGAACTACAGGAGAAATTGGGTTTGGAAATTGTTACAAAAGCAAAATATTTTGGTATAGAATTGACGATGAAAAATATTAATCTATTTGGAAACAATTATGAAAAAGCCTGGAAGGAAATTAGAAGAGATCTAGAAACCTGGAGTAGATTAAAGCTGACATTAATGGGGAGAATATCTATAATTAAGATGAATGTTTTACCCAAAATGATATATTTGTTCCAAACAATACTAATAATAATGAAAGAAAATTGTTTTGATGAGTGGAGAAAAGATCTAACAAAATTCATATGGCAAACCAAAAAAACCACGCATAAGGAATAAACTATTAACATATAAAAGGGAGAGAGGAGGACTGGCTTTACGAAATCTAAAATTATATTATGAAGCAGAATGTCTGGTGTGGCTAAAAGAATGGGTTACATTGGAAAACACTAGTATTTTAAATCTAGAAAGTTTTGACAATAGGTATGGATGGCACGCCTACCTAGCATACGAGAAGGTTAAGGTACATAATGGCTTCAAAAATCATATACTCAGAAATTCATTGTTTAAAGTTTGGAATAAACTTTAAAGTTTTAAAGTTTTGGAATAAACAGCTATTAGAGCCACAAATCCCTTTATGGATCTCTCCATTAGAAGCCCATGCAGTTAAAAAACACAATATGAATCCGAACTGGGCAACAAATAGACAAATACTGGAAGAAGACCAAGGAAAGTTAAAATTAAAAACATATGAAGAATTAAAACAATATGGGATGGATAATTGGCAATATATACAATTAAAAAGTGTCTTTAAGGCAGATCAAAGAAAAGGTTTTGCCAAAGAACAATAGCTATTTAGCACCATTATATTTCAAAACAATAGGAAATTATTATCAAAAATTTACACTATTATTGGACTATGATTTGATGAAGAGGTAAAAGAAACAATGGTCAAACGGGCACAAGTTATCGGCCATACTATATATTTAGAACAATGGTAGAAACTCTGTCGTGAGGATATTCGCTTTGCCCACCAACCCGAACAGATAAGCTTTGGGATTTTTTTATCAAGGGTTTGTTTAGCATTTTCTTAAGTTCCCCAAAACTTCTTTATTTCCTTGCAACCCCACCACGTATGAATTATCATTCCAGGTTCTTTGTTACATTTCCAACAAAGGTTGGATTTGAATTTATAAATTTTGGCGAGTTTAACTGGTGTTAAATACCACCTGTAAAACATTTTAACCAAATTTTCCTTTATCGTATAGCAGGTGGTAAAGCGAATATCCTCGCGACAGAGTTTCTCCCATTGTTCTAAATATATAGTATGGCCGATATCTTGTGCCCATTTGCCCATTGTTTCTTTTACCTCTTCATCCATAGCGACTGTTCTTTGGCAAAACCTTTTCTTTGATCTGCCTTAAAACACTCTTTTCTGCTCAGAAGGAAGATGGTGACCAGAGAAGGCACTTGGGACATGGCTAGGGGCAGCCATCATCCCTGAAGCATGAGACCACGTACACAGCAACCCTTCTGCTGGGGTGATCATCACTGCCCTCCTGGTCTCTGAGTGCCAGACAGGTAGCCATCTCAAGGACAAGAGTGGATCTGAAGGAGGTGAGGACAGGTGACCCCACCTAGACCCCCCCCCCCGCAACCAGGCCTCAAACTGTCCAAAATTCCTTTTCTCTCCTCTAAAAAATCCACAGCTAAAGTTTTCCTCTGTTTTCTCACAAGATGCTGTTGAAAGGCAAAATGTTACTCTTTCATCAGTACGAGAGAGCTTCAAAAAGCTAATGAACAGACTCTGTCAAGCAAGCCTGAGAACTGAGTCTTATCTCACTCTAGTTGCAACATCTTGAACACGCTGAACCGCAAGGCTCCTCGACCCACCCCCCTATGGCTTCTCATCCCCCTTTCCTGGGAAGAGTCCAAAAGAGTCCCAAGACAGGAGCTTTCTGTTCATGCTCAGAGGCAGGACTCTTGAGGAGGAGGAGAAGGGGAGGGAACTGGAAGGGGAAAATATACTCTGTGCAAATGGCTGTGAACTCGCGCTTGTTTTGTGACAATATCACACTTGCTCCTTCTACCAGCCGGATGGCAGAATAAAGCTTTTTCTCTGAAACTATTCCTTGAGTGTCTGTTGACTCCCATTTCCCTTTCCCGGGCGAAAGCTCTTCTCACCCAAGGCTAAAAAGGCTACAGATCCAACCTACATGGATTGGGGACTTGGCCAGGACAATTGGGGGTACTCAACTTGGCTGGGAAACAGGAACATGTATATATTTTTCTTTGTTTTACTGAATGGGTGTAAGGTGGAGGTCAAGGGAGGGACAGGGACAAACCTGATACTCAGGTGTCCACCAGAAAAACCTCCCAGTTTGTGACACACACCCCCCCCCCCCAGAGATGAAGAGAAAGGGATGCTACTTACAGTCTGCCCATGTCGTCCACAAAAACCCTAACTATACAGACTATGCACAGGTGTGCACAAAAAAACAAAAAATAAAAATATTAAAACAAAGAACAAAAAATAAAATAAAATAAATAAAAGTGTTAAAAAAGAATAAAAGAAAATCAAAATAGATCAAATCAAATAAATCAAATAAAAGTAATAAATGAAATAAAAATAAGAAAACAAAAAAAGAACAAATCACTAAATCTCCGCTTACTCTCACCAACTGCCACCACCAACTGCCACCACCCCCTCTCTCCTCTAAGCTCTCCGCACTAACCCACAATGGCCGCCTGCAAGTCAGTGGCTTTTAAAGGAGAAGCAAGAGATGTCACAAAGGAGGGCGGGTCCTTGTCACTGTGGCAACCCCCCCACAAGGACCTGGCCCCACCTGGCCCTTCCTGAGTGGTGATGCTCCTCTGTCAGAACTCAGAGGCACCTGCTGTTCCGCCTGCAGAATGCTCTAATCCCAAACTCTCTAGCCCTACGACTGGCTCTGCCACGATAAATCCATTTGTTTCTAAGGTGCTTGGTGGCTCTCTTTTTCTACGTTTGCTGCGGGGGGCTTAAGAATATCACTACCCTTCTGCACTCTGTGGATTAAGCAGGGCACGGTTTCCACCCTAGGATTAAGAGTCATGCTCTACAAACTGAGGCATATGTTCTGGTTTAAAATAAAAATAAATTCAGCTGATCTTAAGAAAGACCCTCAGCTGTGGATTGTTGGTTGACACTGCAGGGGTGTGTGTGAGAGAGTACAGATCCTCCAAGTGTCTCTACTTTCCAGGGACAGTCCTGGATTTACAGAAGCCAATCTGATTTCTGATTTGATCCCGGAAAGTCCCGCTTTTCCTTCGGATGCCCCTATTTCCATCGGAGAAATGTTGGAGGGTGTGGTATGATGTCCCTGTTTTGATCAGAGAAACGTTGTGAGGGCATGGAGTCGTGCGATCCTGGAGCCAAGAAGATCAAGTACAGTAACTATGCAACCTTTAGAAGGCAGCTGAACCCCTGCCCTAAGTCTCCACATGCAGCTGCTGGGTGATCTTGGGCTAGTCTCTCAGCCCCACTCACCTCACAGAGTGTTTGTTGTGGGGGAGGAAGGGAAAGGAGAATGTTAGCCGCTTTGAGACTCCTTCGGATAGTGATAAAGCAGGATATCAAATCCAAACTCCTCCTCCTCCTCCTCCTCCTGGGTCTAAAACCCAAAGAACTATTGCCAGGCAGCGTAGACGAGGGATGGGGGATCTCAGGCCTGGGAGACAAATGCAGCCTTCCAAGTTTTCATCTGTTATGGCATACTCTATTTATTTGTAACAGTATTGTAAGTCACTTTGATAACAAGTGACTAGCAAATCTAATAAATAATAATAATATCACCATCATTATCATCATCATCATCTGGGCCTTGGGACTCTTCCCATGTCACATCCTCTTACATCTCTCATTAGCCTTACTTTGGACCCTCCTTGGGTGTTTTTGCCTGGCTGGAATCTGTCCTTGAACTCTCATACAGATCCTTGCCTACATGAATGGCATATACCGGTAATAGTGGCTCTGTGTTTGTAGAAAGTAGCCTACTGTACAAGTGTTAATTTTACATTCTTAGCCCTACCCACTTTCACCTCTGGCCTCATCCACCCCTGACATGTGTTCATTGCAAAATGGTCCAGAAAGGAATGAAGCCCTCAAGCTAAAACTTCCTTCACCTCTGGAGTAGACAATACTGAGCTAGACGGACCATCAGTCGGTGACTCAGTGCAAGTTAGTTCCTTTCGTTTGTGAGCAACTCCTACAGGCAAATTGTGCATAAAGTTGTGATGGTGTCTTAACATACCAAACAGTCCAAATCTTTGTGTTATGACAGCTTAATCAGGAGCTGCCACATGCTCAGAGTTAAACTGGCAACAACACACCTGGGAGTTCATGTAACGTGACCCTTAATCTAAGGTTGAGACCATTTCCTTTTCTTACAAGTTTTCCATGGCTTCAACAACTACCTGGCAGGCTTTGATTCAACAGGTGACGCTCACCTGCATATCTGTGCTCCATCACAGAACAGGCAATGAGGTTGAGGGGTGGCCATGTAACAGACGGAGGCAAGGTTACACCAAGAACATAATAATGCCCACTTCTAAACCTATCCATGCTTCTTAACCTGATGAGACAATACCACTGTACATCAATGTACACCTAGAGGATTGTGTAATAATTGCAGCGGAAGCTCCACTAACCTCTACAAACTAGCAAATTAAAAAAAGCAGGGGTGACGCTGGACCAAAAAAAGGGGGTGGGGTGGGATTTATTTCATTTATTTATAAGAGTATTTCTATGCCAGTATATCATAAAATGTCAGGGCAGTTCTACAGTGTTAAAACATGAAACACAATTTATAAAAAATACAAATAACAAAGTGACTGGCTAATATATATATATATATATATATATATATATATATATATATGGGATTCGGGTGGCGCTGTGGGTTAAACCACAGAGCCTAGGACTTGCCAATCAGAAGGTCAGCAGTTCGAATCCCCACGACGGGGTGAGCTCCTGTTGCTCGGTCCCTGCTCCTGCCCACCTAGCAGTTCGAGAGCACGTCAAAGTGCAAGTAGATAAATAGGTACCGCTCCAGCGGGAAGGTAAACAGCCTTTCTGTGTGCTGCTCTGGTTCGCCAGAAGCGGCTTAGTCATGCTGGCCACATGACCCGGAAGCTGTACGCCGGCTCCCTCGGCCAATAAAGCAAGATGAGTGCCACAACCCCAGAGTCAGCCATGACTGGACCTAATGGTCATGGGTCCCTTTACCTTTTAATAAAAAAAAAAATTAAATAACTGCAAAGGCATGTCAGCATAAAAGGATCTTTAAGAGAAGCTTGAAAGTCAAACACATGGAAGACTTTCAAATCTCTTTTGGAAGAGATTCTGAGGCTGGTCTGTAACCCTGGGGGACAACAGGCAGTGCCCCTCCATATGATCTCCATGATTGAGCTGGGATATAAGGGCTCAGGTGGCCCTTAAGATATCCTGGACCCAAGTTCTTTGGTGGAGGGTTGTATATCAACACAGAAACTGACCTGGTAAGATATAGGCAACCAGTGCTGATGTTCTGGAAGCGATGTCACATGCTGTCAGCTGTCTGCCTGAATTGGCTCAGGAGAAATATACTTTCTGGAATTCATAACATCTTTTCCTACTGAAGGCCCGTTGAAAATTATGCTCTATGAGCCTGTCGACCTGCTGCCACTTCCACTTGCTGACCAAAGGTAAGTTTTGGGGAGAGGATGGTCAGCTGCAAAGGGACAAGCATAATCAAGGCAAATGCAATCTGCTTATAGCAGGCTATGCCTCCCTCAATTTTGCTAGCAGGATTTCAGTCAGAAGTATCCAACTGTGCATGTTCCTCAGATTGAATTCATCTAACTTTCCTAGTAATCAAACAGGCATTCTTTCCAGTTCTTCGTTTCTAAACTAAACCAAAGACGAAGAGGCATATTGTGGATTTCTCAGAGAGCCAGCAGGTGGCTACCTTTCCACATTAGCAGTCTGGGATTAAGTTTATGCTTTGCTGGCAAATAATTTCCCTTTTCAACAGGGACTAAGCACACAACCCAGTCAATTTTAAGCCTTTTTAAGCCCTATTTATTTCCACTGGAGACTTTTCAGCATGAATTTCTTGGTAAACATGTGTAGAATCAAGTAGCACATCAAGGGATGGGGGTGGAGATCCTATTCAGTTCTCATTTTAGGAGAACCCTAATTCTATTTTTTTATGTCCTGAAACTATTCTCAGAATTTGTACTTCTCAAAATTCTGCAATGCAGTTCTCCATCCAAGTCATGTGTACAAAAATGTATTTACTAAGGTAAAGTGTGCATAAAAATGCATTTATTTGGTAAAAATAGCACACAAAGATTTCTTATATTGCTGTACAGAAAAGTGCTTGAAGAAACAAATAGGTGAGAAGGAGCATGCTGGCAGTAAAGCACACCATTCAGAGTTAAAGTTAACTATTCGCAAAAGCACAATCTTCACAGACTTGGCTGCATGAGAAGAGCAGCTCATCCCTGGTAGGTCTGAACCCATGAATCAGTTGCCGAGACCAAAAGCCCCTGTCTCCCCACAAAAAGCCCTCCATGGCTTTTCCCAGGCAATCAGAGACTGGGCCTGCATGCAGTCTTCCACTGCTCCACCTGCTTCTGCCCTCTTCTGGTTCTGGGAGACAAGGTAGGAGTGGAGCTTGTTGAAGAAGCAGGAGGAGACACCCATGACATCTCTGCCTCCCCATCACCTACTTCAGCTTTGAATTGGGCCTGGCAACTAATGGGCAGCCAGTGCAGAGTCGGGTCAAGCAGATCTTGCCTGATATTAGCTCCATGTGGGAAAACACATTGGGACCACACAGAGGCATTTTAAGTCTATCAGTCACTGTAGGACATGAACATAAGTAGAGTCCCGGTGGATCAGACCAAAGGCCTGTCTAGTCCAGCATCCTGTTTCTGAAAGAGGCTAATGGGAAACCCACAAGCAGGGCATCTGATGGCCTTTAGCTAAGTGGAATTTCTACCTACTTCTGCATCAGTAGAAGAGGCCTACTGCCTTCAAGCGTTGCTCATGGGCCTTCCAGAGAAGTCTATTTGGCCACTGAGTGAAATAGGATCTTGAATTAGGTGGACATTTTGGTCTGATCCAGCAGGGGTCTTTTTATGTTCGTGAATTGAAATGCTCCAATCTTCATGGCTGCCCACAGATCCACAAACAACCAGGACTGGCATCCGTACAACATGAAAGAGAAACAATGCTTGTTTCAGTTAAAACCTTCTGGTTTAAGTATATTGCACTGCTAAGTTGGGGAAACAATCCCAAAGTAAATCCGAAACTCAACTGTCACATTGCCAACTAATGTGATTATTACAATGTCATGGCGGCTTTGAAGTTAGCTCTAAATCCTGGGAACAAAAAATAATAATAATGAATCTTAACTTCT